GTTAAAGTGGAGGGGGAATCCCCTTTAGTCACACAAGAAAAAATAAAGAGAACCCAATCAGCATGCCACGCCTTTATGCTTGATTGATAGCCAATGACAGGAGAGAAAATAAGAACTTGTCACTTCCCCCCCTTCAACTTGAATGACAAGTAAGAAGGAAATGAATTTTGCTTCTTCACCTACCCACCTTAATGAATGAATGACGGGAATTTCCCCTTCTTGCTTGAAACGTTCTAGTTCAAAATGGCGGAGAGAGCAATTAATATTTTCATAACTGTAAATTTTTTTAGTTTCCTATATTTATTTTTATAATAGCAATAATTATTTTTTTTTAAATATTTTGTTTTTGATTGATTAGATATCATTCTAATACAAAAACATTATTGCCCGAAAAATAATGTTTTTTAATTTCTGCTTCTTAGATTCAGATCATTTTAATCTCTGTTTACCTTGGGGGTCTATTATACGGAAAAATCGATTATCCGGACTTCGGAAAGTCCCGCCGATTCCGGATACGCGACTTTCCACTGTATTCTCGAATAAAAATAGAAAAATCATATGCATTTTTTTTTTGCACAAGAAAGGTATCTTTTGAATATAATTCTGATGAAAAGATAAAATCTTTCGAAAATTTCTGTAGGAAAGAAAAGCTAAATTTTCTACTTCCCGAAAGAAAAAACTTTCTGCGACCACGTCGCCACGGAAACAACAGAGAGAGAGAGAAACGTCCATGCCAGAGTGGGATACGAACCAGCAGTCAGGCACCTGGCCGACTTATTAATACTAAATGTAATATAAAATAGAGAATGTTTTACTTACAAAATTACATTTATGGAAAATTAATGTAATGTTACATGCCTTAACATGAAAAAGGAAATTGAATGTTAATATAATTTTTAAAATAAATAAATATTGGGGCTAATGTCAATTTGGTGGAAAGTAGAATAATTAGTTTTCATTAAACATATTTTTCATGCTTTTTTCATTATTTTGTATTAATTTAGGTGAAAATAAGTTAAAAAATATTATGATTAGCATTTTAATAATTGAAATACTGATTTCTTTATCTGTGTTAAAGATGAAATCTTCCCATCAATAATTTTATTGAAATCCCCATTAATAATTATCAATTATTTCATCAATAATTCTACGATTAATTTGTAGTTTTTTAGTCCTACCAATTCATCAATAGTTACTCATCATTGAAATTTCTTTGATTTATAAAATATATCATAAATTTTTAAAAATAAAATTTCGAACTACTTTTTTTTGTATTTTATATTTTTGTACAAATAAAAAATTCTAATGATCTAACAGGATTTTTTTTAGTAACTATTAGACTGTTTTTTTATAATTAAAAATTACCAAAATATATTTTTTCTTGTTATTAGAGCATCAGAAAAAAATAATATAAAAGGGGTACTGGTGTCCCACCTGCATGAATAAAATGACTTAGTAAGCTGTTATGAAATCTATGTGGTACATTAATTGCATGCAACATGTGTGTACAACATCCTAATAATTATATAGTAAAAACTGTTCCTTATTTTTTCCTATATTCTCTTTTAACCTAACATAGTATAAGTCTATTTTTCAGATTTTATAAAGAATGAATTATTTTGTTACATTATTAATATTTCTATGATTATGACATTTAATAATTTTTAATAAGTGTCATTTCAGAATTGATTTCTATAAAATTAAATTATATTGCAGAAGTCAAAGTTGTCCCGATATCCCTGATAAAAAAAACAGAACATTTTGTTCTGATTTTCAGTTTCTTTCCCGTGATTTATCACTATTTTGTGTGTTTGGAGCTTCCTGTTTCCAACCAATATAAATTTAGATTTTAAAAGTTTGCTTTGAAAAATCAAAATATTTGGATTTTTTAAAACATCTTTCAATTTTAACTAACAATGCTAGTAATAATTTCAAAATTCAGTAGTTTGAACATAGGAACCACCAAATTATAAACCTAATTTAGACATGTAGTCTTACCCAAGATTCAGCATTTGAAACTTTATTTCATTTTAAGGAAAAAGAATCTCAATTAACAATTTTAAATTATTAAATTTTCATGGTGATAAATTCAAGGGTCTCTATTACTTTCAGCAAACATATTAACAAATCTTGTTGGGTGTAGTTTTTTTGTTTCACAACTATCCATTTTCGTCTTTCATCTCATTTTAAAAATTATTCTAATAAAAATTGTAGTAATCATTAACTTTTTTAGTTATGAATGATTATCCACCAAATTACCTTTGTAGAATAAAGAACTGTATACACTGTATTTTAATTTCGAGACTGTTACTTTAAAATTATGTGATAAAGAAAGTCTTAAAATCAATTCAAAAAATTTATTAAGTATTAGCATAGAAAATTATTTCTAATTTATCCTTTTCTTTTTTAGCAACAATGCTATAAAATTTTGTTGTATGTTTACTGATATTAAATTATTGTGAGTTGCTCAATTAATAAAATTATACTAGAAACTTAAATCTTTTCTGTTCTGAAGAAGGTAGCTTTAAACCAAAGAAATTATATTTTATTATAATTTTTAGGCTGAAATTTGCCTTAGTTATTTTTAAATAAAATCAACGTTATTTATCTCTTAATGTCTCTTTTTTTTTTGTAAAATTTTGTTTGTTTGTTTTTTCTTTGGCATACTACTATACCTGCTATTGTAAAGTTGAATAATGAACTGTAAAAAAAAAAAAAAAAAACTTTAATATTACTACTCAAGACAATGTATCAGATTATTTAAACATTCTATTTGAATTAATTCTGTCATTGTATATAGCTTTTCATATTTAATAACCAAATCATGTTTTATGTAAATCAGAATATGTACCTTATATTTACTGTTATTAACAATAAACTTAATTTTAAAATTCATATGTTTTTAGCTTTTTTCATGGTGTCAAATGATGTATTTCTGCTATAAAAACAAACTGTTATATGATTTTTCGAGATAGCAACTATCAAAACTTAAGAAAAAATTTATTTTTTAACTGTAAAAGAAAATTTTTTGAATAATTCTTTTATAATATCTGGGCCAAGATAGCCTTGTTAGAAAGGCGTTGGGCCCACCCATATCCAAGTGGTCGCGAGTTCAATTTCCAACAGCAGTTGTTTTAAAAACATAAAAAACAATGAATTTAGACAGCTAAATAAAAAAAAATGCGTATAGCCAGAAATAAGCAAACTAATGCTGTTTTACATCAAAATCTACAAACTAATTTTCTTTTTCAAAATATAAGATTAGCATTTTTCTAATCCATCCAATTTTTAGTTTAATAAAGTATAAAAGTTTTACTTGGCATGTAATATTTATTAATGATACAATCAACATCACAACATGTTGTAAAATAATAAACAAGTACAAGTTCAAATTTATTTACAATAGTAGATAAAATACACAGATGAAAAAAAAAAAAAAAAACATAATTTTACAGCTTTTGGTACAATTTAGTTTCTCAGATACACAATATTTTTATTTTGTATTAAATATATCTTATTTACAAACGATAAATACATCACATTATTTTACTATTTTAATAATAATATGAGGAAAAATATTTTTTAAAAGGGAAAACGAATTATAAATAGGATTACAGACAGATTTAAAATAGAAAATTTTATTTATGACTCATGCAATAATCTGTTGAACCCACTGTATGCAGATTCTAAATCAAATATAAATTGTCTAACTTGACTTTCTGTAAGTTCATCCGATGCAGCCATTTCTGACATGGTTTGTAACCTAAAAAACAATATTTTATCATCATTAAAAAGACATAAATCTGACACAGTTAGATAATAATATTTGAGTATAAAACAACTAAATTAAGCTAAATTAATCTAACAAAATATTTTTTGCTGAACTTAATATTTTAACTAATTAACATCGTAAGAACATACTTGTTACTTCAAAAAATATTAAATGGAAAAAAAATTGCAGCACATTCTCAAGACATGTCAGACATGAATGTGGAAAAACAAAAGTGATATGAAAAATTTTTAAAAAGATGAAAAACAAAACTGCAGTAGTTGAAAGTGAAACAGAAAAGCAAATAAGATAAATGTTGTTGCTGTTGTTGTTGTTTTTTTTAATCTCTCATCCACGTCTGAGAAGTCTTAAAACTAGGTGTCTATTTTTCAGCACTTGGAACAAGTTGAATTCTATTTCCACCTTTATATTTTTTTAGCCAATGAAGTTTTTTTAAGCAAGTATAACTTACCGCTTAATTTTCTTGGGATTATTTATTAAATCTTAAATATATGTATGGTATAGTCATTGTTGGAAAAATAAACTTTCTGGATCCAAATAAAAAAAAAAGATTTAAATTTGTAACACATATAAATTAAATTAAAGCAGTATGAGAATGCATAAAAGCATATAACTATTTCAGGTGACATTGCACTTTCTCACATTGTTTTTGTGGGAATAAGAAACATTATCCTTTCCTCTCGATATGAAAAGAACTAAAAAAGCAAAAGTTTTGTTGGGGATATACATTACATGATTGTCAAGGACTCAGAAGAGGCAAAACTAATTTTCAATGAAGACCAAAAATAAGAATAGAAAAGGAATGGAAATATTAAAAAGTAATAGTAATTTTTAAACTTCAGAAGATAAAAAACTATTTATAATTTAAGTGGTTAAATATATACATTTGAGATAATATCACATTATGATATTTAAATCGAACCACTTCATCAAAAAAATCTATTAAAATAAATTTCAAAACATCGATCTAATAATCCAAAAAAACTGGTGAATTATAAAATTACCATTCATAGACTTTTCTTTTTCCTTCAAAATCAGCAGGTACCAAAGTAAGTCGGCACATTGTATCATACAGCTCTCGAAGATCTGGTTGTAGCTAAAAATCAAATAAATTTAACTTAAAAAACTTTTTTAATAAAAATTTTCTCAGCATCAATGTTTAGAATATTATCAAAGAAACTCATTTTAAGTAAAATAAACAAAACTGAAACAAGATTTTAACAAAACTAAAATAAAAACTTTTCTAAATCGTATATTTAAAACATATAAACTTCCACTAAATATATATTAACTTCTTTACGAAATACAATCAATAAAATCTCAGAAACAAAAAAAAAACTATTTTTAATCATATAACTAAATATTATTTCACAGATTAAAAAAAAATCAGCTTATGTGCTGAAAAACATTTAAAAAAAGATCTATGTGCAATAGTAAAAAAAAACTCTATACATTTTTTGTCAACACATTCTTTGCATACACATTTTTACCTTTGTATAAAAAAAATTAGAAAACCTTTTTTTCATTAGCTTGTCGAAAACATTTTTAATTGGAAAACTTTATAAAAGATTTTATAAAGAGCAATAAGAAATAATTAGAATTAATAAAACAGTTTGAAATTATACATACTTCATCCATTGACTTCAGCTCTAATCTTAACTTGTCAAGTATGGTAATGAATAGCTGAAAGAAAGAATAAAATTTGATGAATAGTCAAACTAAGAAGAGTATTTTAATAAAATAATTTATGCTCACATAAAGAAACACAGTGCAATTCCAGATCAGAGGGACAATTAGAAATTATTACTTATATCTCTTTTTGTTTTTTTAAATTTGAATAAAATTGTTTGTGTATTCACATTTGGTACTAAGATATTTCAAGTATGGATGTATATTTACAATATACATTTGAGAAATATATTAATCACTCGCATGTGTCATATGCAAGAAAAAGTTGTAAAATGGCTCAACTCAAAGTTGTTGCCATGCACATTTAAATATAGTTTTTTTTTCTTCTTTTTAAAAAAAAAACACACTTACAGAAAATTTTTAAAAATAAAACAGTAAATGATAATGAAATTTTATTTAAATAAAATTAAATGAGTTAAAATAAAAACATTGAATCAGTATCTTAAGAAACTCATTGAGATATCGTTTTATAATTTTAAACAAACCAAGAAAAAAAACGGCATCATCAATCTCTAAAAACCATATAGAAAAATTTTTAATACAAACTTATTACCTAACATAAATTAAAGTTAGATTTAAAAAAATGCACTTAATAACCAAGACTCATTAGTAGTTTTATTTTTAGAATTGTTTTTTTTTTTCTTAACAAATTTACATGGTTTTTCAAACTTAGGACAAATTTGTTAAGATAATTATAATATAACTCGTAAGCTTTGCACTTACACTCTAACCTTTGTCACCCACAAAAGATTGCTATGCAACCACCAATACCAATTTAGACCTTTATGAAATGTGCTCTAGCATTTAAAAACATAAATAATTTCTGAAATATCAATAGAACGGAATTAAAATGTTAAAAAAAAAAATCTCAACTACACATTTAAAATTTCCTTGAAAACACAAGTATATGTTTCAGAACTTAGAGTCGTCAAACTACTTAACTCTTGAAAGGCTAAAATATATTTTACCAAGTACTATTTCTCCATGCCAAAAATACAATAGTTTACTGAAAGTGAAAACATATTAGTACTCCTTCAGGTTAATATTCTTTAGTGAAACTAAAATTTTTTTGTTAATTATTTTTTCAGGAATTGGAGAAATCACTGCAAGGCTGCCAAATACAAAACTCCTGAAAAACCAACATAGACTGGTCCATATATTTCAACAGATATCACAATACTATTTTCAATAAATGTCAAAAATACAATTGCTTAGTGAAAGTATATTAATAACATTTGAGATTGTAATTTTTTAATGAAACTAAAATATTACAAAAATGTTCAAATCAGATGCTTAACTAGATCAGTGTTCCAATCTCATTCAATCCAATTTCCATTTTCACTACTCCAATCATATCCCAATAAAAACCTATTCCCATTGATCATTGATGAATTTCCATTGCACAGGTAAGGAATATCAATTAGATATTTCTATTAGAGAAATATTAATATTTTTTAAATGTAGTTCAGAACACAAATTGAATATATTTTTGCATTTGTATAAGTGAGCCTTTTTATAAATAAATTTTTCCATAATTATGTAAGTAAATTAGAAAAGAATTAAAAAAATATGGTTCATGATTGTTTATCAAACAACTGTCATAAATGCAACTAGAGAAAGTTCTTTTGATATACATACAGTTCAAATATTTATATAGACACAGTTTAACAATTCTCAGCAAATTAAAGTTTAGAAAATCTATATCCATGAATACTATCATATGTCAAGGAAAACAAATGAAAAACCAGATCCTTGAACATTGGGTCATTCTGGCATAGTTGCCTTTTTTGAGTTACTAAATTCTTTTTAATATATGTCTTGTTTAAGTCCAGCTCTTTTTTGTCAACTCATAAGTATTTCATCAGTATCATAACAATATACACATGAATGTTTTATGTAATACTAAATAATGACCTGCATCAAGGGTTAATTTTACTAAGCAAATACAATTGGTCAGATTATATTTAATGAGTTAATTTATAAAGCATGTGAAGAAAAAAATATTAAAGAATAAATATTAAACAAAATTTTAGAATCTATATTTTTTTAAATATTTTTTTTAAATATATTCTTATTTGTTGAAAGAGTAATGCCTTTTAACAACAAGAAGCATTATGAACAATATCCAGAACATCTGATATCAATAATTAAGATAGATAAAAATACTAATAAATACACAAAAACTTGAGAGGAAAAAAAATATTTTGCCATTCAGTAAATATATTTTCTAATATACTTTAACCAGCGTTTAAGAACATAACTCTCAATTTCCTTACAAAAAATTTTATTATAAACTTATTTTCTACAATAACAATAATAATAACAACAATAATAATCAGAACCAAAAACTTCTGATCAGTACTTAAAGCTTACTATATTTTAAATTATAAAAAAATATGTCTGCTTGGCAATATGCTTTAAAATTTGAAAACTTAGATAAATCACAAAATAAAATAAAGAATTTTGCATATTTTTTTTCATTCTGAGAGTTAGATGTTTCCTATTTTAAAAAGTGAATTGATTGAAAAAAAATAATAATTCAATGAAAAATTTCCCTAAAATAAGCAATATTTAACATCAACTCTCGGTTTTGAAGTACAAAAAATATTATTACATAAATAAATGAAATATTTGCAAAACATAATTTTTAATGGAAAGAGAATCAGCAAGAATAATGAGAAATCAAATCCAATTCAGGAACATAAGCAGTTGTATGATTATAAAAAATAAATCCTTATAAACAATATTTAGAAATCAATAATACTACTATGCTGCAATACATAAATTTAATACTTACAGAAACAATATCGGCAATGCATTTGCTAGTGTTTCCTTTGTCATCCTTAATGGTAATGGGCCTATCTTCCTTTATACGCTGAATAGCAGCAGGACAATCCAACTAAAATATTCAATATTTGAAACACATTAAATATACTATGAAGAAATAAATCAAGATTGATAATAAAAATAATGGTAAGTACGAAATTTAGAAAAAATACTATCACTGGTGCAAGCAGTTGCAACAACAACAAGTGAGTTTATCATGGAGAAACTTTCGATGCTATTATATTGAACGGGCAATGGAATACTCATACTCTTTTAAAAGAAAATAAATTTTAGTGTCACTTAGAGCCCTTTTTTTTTTTTTTTTAAACTGTAGTCTTTAAATATTGAGATGATATTCTTCATAAAATTTTATGTAAATACACTTCGAACATGAAATTTAAATTGAAGAAATGAATTGAAATCTGATTTAAATAAAGTGAGACTTACTCTAAACTTTTTCATAAATACTTCAACGTTAGGAAATTCTTCTCCCTGAACTTGCTTAAATGCAGCTTTGTATTGAACCAAAAGTTTTGAACAAGCAGCAGTATACCTAAAAAAAATTTTATATATATATTAAAAAGAATATTTATAACAACTAACTGGAATGAAAAAAGTCACATACTTGCACCCCTACTTAGGAATTCTTACGATGTTTGTCACGAATATAAGAATTTTATTATAAATTGTAGTTTGATTATTGTTCACATGATCAATTCATGATCATGATGTACATTATAAATAAGTTATTCAGAAACAAACCATACTAACTTAACAATTAGAAGGAAAAAAAATAAGTAAAATTTATCACCATGCAAAAATTTTTACCAGCTTCAATGTGAAGTAATTCTGGTTTAAATTTTCATCAGGTCAAATAAATTAAAATTTGTAAAGAATTTGAATGAAATGTTTATTTTAATTGGGGATTAGAAACCTAAACCAATATATCTAAAAGTAAGAAACAAATTGGCATTGTATAAGTCATCAAGCCACACAAAAAACTAAAATATTTAATGGTTTTGAGAACATTTATAATTATGGCAATATTCAGTCCAAAAAATATACTGAATAATTGATTGCATACATAACTACAAAAAATGAATTTCATATAGACTTTTAAATATTTCTTGTTAGGTCTAAATTGAATAAGTATTTTTAAAAGAAGATTAGTAAAATGTTGTAAAATATTAATAAAAAAAAATTTTTTTTTTCAGAAATTTTACTAATTTTTTTAACAGAATTGCCACCATAATATTTAGTCTAATTCAAAATCATAAAAATAAATTTGTGTACCACATGATATGCCCCACAATTAATCAACACTATAGAACAAAATCAAGCTTGAGATTTTTAACATATAATTTGGAATATTTTTGGACTTTCAACTAACTTTGATTTTTTTTTTTCATTAACCCTTTTTTAATGTATAATTTGTAACATTACCAAACAGGAATATCAGAAAAAGAAAATTCAATCAATCAAGTATTTTATATTATAAAGTTTAACATTACACCATAACATACAAAATAAAGTTAAATTTTCTACAAAATTTATTTTTGATAGCATCCAAAGTTTGTTATAAACATTTTGAATTCCAGATTAAAAAAGAAATTGTTTTAACTAATTGAATGAATTTACTTACTCTTTTGGTGTTACACAATCTTTAATGTATGCTTTTTCCAAACATTGTAAAGTGTTAATGACGGAATACAAATCTGCCATATTGTCATACCTAAGAAGAAAATTGACACATATATATACGCTTCTAAAAAAAATAAACATTGAAATTAAATATTTTTTATAATTGAAAGGTTCTACTGAAAAGGATTTTGGTAATTGTAACAAAGTTGAGGAGCTTACTTTTCTCTTTCTCTAGCAGTTCGATATAACTTTACTTCTTCATAGAGCTCAGCTCGATTTTCTAAAAATTATAAAAAGATAAAATGAATGCTAAAAATCTAGTTGCTTAACTTGATATAGTTAGATTTGCCTTTTTCCAATCAAACATATCTGTTTATTAAGAAAAATAATTTACAAAGCAATTATCTTCCAATTGAGTTGCTATGTTTTATTACATCAAGAATTTTTATTGATTAATTCCATGAACATAAATATGTAACAATTCCCAGGCAGGGTATCTGCTACATTTTAGATTTTCAAATTCATTACTTTCCATGACTAGTTCCAAGAATTTTTCATGACTTAATGAAGTTACTAATTTCTCCAACAAAGCACAACAATAAATTTAAAAAAGGATTATAATAACATTAATTGAAATGATAGGTATAAACAAAACTGTTATACTCGGCATCTTCATTTTTTTAGATATCAAATTTGAAAAACAGAGTAAAGAAAGAGATGAAGCAATAAAAAAGCTGAAAAAATACAATATAATTACTGGCTTGCTTCAGCTAGAATTTTAAATTGATCAAATAAAAATAATAAATAACAAAAATTCTTAAATCACAGAAGTTTAAAAGGTAATTCGCTCGAGAAATTAAGTTTTTTCTATCATTTTTTGAAAGAACACCATAATTTTTAAGGAACATTATAAAAACATTTTATATTTTAATAAAACATGACTGCAAGTGGTGATTTTGTCAGAAATTCAGATACTTGGAACACCATGAAATTGGGAGGGGGGGTTCCATTTTAAAAATGTGATTTTTTGATGTACTAAATTCCATGATATTTTTGACTTTCCATGATTTTTTTAAAAAATAGTTAAAATCATGACATTTCATGACAAATTTTGTTCAACATCGAAATCCATGACTTTCCAGGTGCGTGGATACCCTGCCTAAGGTATGAACTACCAGAAAAAAAAAGCACACAATAAAAAATTATATTTCAAATTTAAACCTTCAGTCAACTTGAAGCTAAGGCAAAAGTTTAATGTAACGAGCAACATATTACTCAGGGTTTTCATCACAGAAAAAAAAAAAAAAAAATGGGAGAAAATTTCTCACCCTATACGAAAAACAGCATGAGATTTCTCACGCTTAAGTGAAATTTATAAAAATTCCTACAGAACATGCTTTAAAGAAATTTATTTCCTTATTTATCATACAATAACAAACACTTTTAATACCTTCTGTTTTTTAATGCATTAGATTTTTTTATCACATCACATACTTTTTCATCAGGTTGTTGTTACTTATTTTATTTATCTAATTTGAAATAAAAATTATTCAAGCATACTTAGTAACAACTACTTAAGTGAGGATCCTTTGACCTTGATCTGCATTAATTAAAGTATCAATTAATAAGAATAACATAACTAAACCTTTTTTTTCTCAATAGTTAGTTAGCTCGGCAAAAGAAAATTTAAGAAAAATTTTAGACTATTTTATCGATTTCATGGTTATTTTTTTCATTCTCTTGTTGCGAAAGGGTTTCCTCTCTCAGAAACAAATATATCTTTTTCTAAATGCAATTGTAGTAATTATTGTTTTACGCAAATTGTTTTTAATATGCGTCATATTATCTCAGTTCATTTTACATGGAAATGTAAGACAGAAAAAAATTTATAACTTCGAGTTACAAAATTTCACATATAAAAATAAATGGTCAATTAAACTTAATATATTAAATAAAAATAATAAATATAAACCAGAAATGCTACACATATTTGTATTTTTTATTTTAAATGCATAATTTATATGCAGTTTTACATCAAAATATTTACTTTTTAAAATAACATATTTAATCGTTAGGGATGAGTCCACCAGATATTTAATCAGCTGTTAGTAATTTTTCAGTTTCAATAATGCTGATTATCTTATTTACAACTTTCAAAAGGTTTCTTTTGGCAAAGTTTTTAGAGCATGCAAAGAATACTATTTATTTCTTCATTTTCACCCATTTTTTTTATACTTAACTGCCTCAATTTTTTTCATTAGGCGCTGAATTATGTTTGTATTTGCTTCATTTTGTTCATCTCTATCAGCATTTTTTTTTTTTTTTTGCTCCCCTTTTTGGAGTGGAAGATGCTTTCTAAAGTATTTATCCACCTTACAGTCATGCATAAAATAATGAATTTAAACATGTTAGGATCTCAATCTCAATTGTTCTAAAAAGGGTGCCCTGGATATTCTGGTTCTAACAATACTGGAGACTGACAAAAACCAGATAAGAGGAATAAAAGTTGAAAAGAAAAAATAGTGATAATATTCTAAAATTTTTCCAAAAATGCGGTTTAGAGGGAGTGCAAATTTCTCCAGTAAACAATTTTGTAATGCAATAAAAGAAAACAATACAAGAGTTTCTCACGCTTTTATATCATAGTGAAAACACTGTTCACTAGAAATTTACTAAAGCAACACATTTCCATGTCCCCATCAAAATGTTAATATTAAAGGTACAAATAATTTATATTTTATCAGATTTCAGGATTTGCAAACTAACAGTTTTCAGACAAATTCTAGTAAAGTTCTTCCAGATCTAGTAAAGATGTGAAGAAAAAACCAGATTATCTTAAAAATTTTGTTTAAATGCTTCATTATGTTATAATTGTATTTTAGTATGTGTAAGGTATTTTATGGATGAAAGATCTGAATATTAACAATAACAAGATTCTGAAAACTGAAAGAAACTTTTAAAACTTATACTGTTTTAACTGTATTTATACTGTGCTATCAACTGGTTCATATTTTACTGATCCATAAAATTTCCATAAACATCCTCTTCTCCAGATTAGCTAATCCATAGTTCCACATTACGAAGACAATTTAAAATTAGTATCAAGTCATAAATTCAGCGAAAATAGCAGTGTTACAAATGATGATGATACAAACAATACAAGAAAATGATGGTAAATGAAAATGATGGTAAATGAAAATGATGATAAATGCAATGTGTTTTACCCGAAAAATAATATAACACAACAGAGACAATTAGGCTGTTTAGAGCATATTTTTCTATTGCACAGAAATAATAAAAAATATATAAATTGAGTACTATGTTTTTATTTAGTATACATGTATGAACTTTTAAGATTTATTCCTGCTTTTCACGAGCATTGGGTAATGAGCAAATATTGCCCATTGCACTCCTTGTAAATAACTTTGACTGTATATGGTTTTCCTCACATTTTTATTAAACAACACTGAATAATTCAAATTTCTTAAAACTAAATTTACTATAGAATTATCCAAATGGATTTAAACATCAGTCAATTTTTTCTTTCATATTAATTTTTAAAAAAATAATAGTAATTGAATAAAGAAAACACAAGTAATTCTTTAAGAACTCGAGTAATCAAAATTCTCACTCTTGAATATTAATAATACCCGAACTTTAGAAATAGTATGGACTATAACCCCTCACAAAAAGAAAAGGTGACAATAAAAACAAAATAGTGCAATAAGTTTTGAAACAGAAGATAAAATATAAAGATTTTATGTAAAGCTAATATCAATGGCGAATAATTAATTACATAGTAAATATAATTTGTCAAACCTTGCTGATTCATTTTGAGAATTCAAATTTATTATAAACCAAACAAAGAGTTGTTAAAATTCTTTTGTTGGTTCGCTTTTAAAATTCGAGTTTCACCTAGATTAGTAATCTGTTTATTTTTATTTGTGTCTCATTTGGCGAATATTGTTTAAGTTTGATGTTATACAGCTTCGCACTGCACCGAGAAGTTAGTTCGCAAATAGCCTATCTTATCTATAGATTTGTTCTGAAGAATGAATACTTAAAAGTTAAAAAGTTCAGTGTCACTTCAAGCTTATATTTTTAGAACAAACATAAGGAAAAATTACAATTCAATAATCGATTACGAACTGTTTTCGATACGCTATATATTTTTTTTATTTTTATCGGAATGGAAACGTGTTTTTGTTGTTTTGTTCTTGGCAACGTTGTTGGCTGTTGATTCTTGCAGTCGGTTGCGTATTATTAGTTTATGTTTCCATTTGAATATTTCACCACAGTTTCCCTTTCCACAAGAATATTCATCATTACTAACATTCTATAAATATCAAAATCTGTAGTTAAGCATAAAGCTGGTAACAAAGTGGTTTAGTGATTGTTGAATTATAATGTAAGTATGAGCACGTGAAATTTTTATTTACACTTCTTTTGCATTACCATATTCTCATTATCTTAGTTTTCCATATATTGTGTTTTTTGAAATTTTACTTTTTTTGTGTGTTTAATTCTTCGTAGCTTTGAAAAGCTTAGTAAAATGTTCTGTAGTTTGACTGCACTCTTTAAGATATTATGTAAGTCAAATGCTTTAATAACATTTGTTTGGGAAAACTTTGGAATGCAACTCTCAAATCAATGATTTTTCACGAATATTAGAAAATTTTCTAACATTCAGCAAATTTTCTAAATAAAAAGAAAGCTAGGAATGGGGATAATTCCGTATCTACTCCTGGTAATATTTCCCTATTGTGATCAACTGCAATCGCCTAGGTTAAACTTGCAATTTTTAAAAATAAAAAAAATAATGACATGTAAAGGTATGCTCAAAAGTGACTTTGAGTAATATACTCTTTCATGTTGTTTCTCGCTAGCCACTTAGAAGTTGACAGAAATCTTCTCCTGTACCTGTTCAAACTGATTTCTGTGATTTTTTTTAGTTTCTCGCAGGCCACTGCTTAGAAGTCTTCATAACTTAATGCAGGTACTAAATGTTGAAGTCTTTACAATAAACTGTTTCTACCAAAGGTAGACATTTTATTAACTAATGTAAAAAATGTTATTCTTTTCATTTTGAGAGTTGAAAAGCAAGCTAATGATAATATCTCTTTTCATTAATATTTAAAAATATTAATGCATTAAACAGGAATTGAATGTAGTAAATTAAGAATGTTTCTTCTTCCTGCCAGAAAATTTGCAGCGCTTCTGGTAATTTTTTTCCTTCTTTTACATTAATAGTTTATTTTAGCAATTGGTTCTCTGTTAAGACTGTCAGTGTTTGGTTTCTATCAATTCTCAAACACTGGCAGTCTTAACAAAGAAACTTTGTAATATATCTTCAATGAAAATATCTTCCTGACTTCAAAGAATATTTTGCCTGTGAGGAATCTCTTCAAGTTTGCATTGTGTTCTGTGTTAAGACTGTCAGTGTTTGGGTTTAAATAAGTTTCAAACACTGACAGTCTTGACAGAGAAACTTTGTAATGAATCTTCAGTGAAAATGGGTGCTGCTGACATAGAGGAAATTTTTGAAACCGAGAAAATCTAGTCTTTGCAATGTGTTCTGTGTTAAGACTGTCAGTGTTTGGTTATGACTAACTTAGTATTAAATGTTTGTCATTGTTTTGACATATACCAAACACTGACAGTCTTAACAGGGAAATATTGTTATAAGAACTTCATACCATGAAGATATTGAGTTGAAGAAACTTATTCTTGTATATGTAGAAAGCACTGGATTTTGTTAAGTATTGTTTTATTTGTTTTTAATATGTATTATCTTTATATGGGCATTAAACTGTAAACTTCAGTAGAAATTTTAATCTTTACGGATTTTTTTTTTTTTTAAGAAATACTTTTGTTTTAAATTATATACTGTTTCATATTACAGGGTGCGTAGCGTTTGTAAAAAGTACTTAAAGGTGCTTTTTTGGGGATTTCGTTTTTAAAAGCTTTTAAAGGTGCTTTTTTCAGCTGGCATTTTTAAAAAGTGCTTTTTTTCCGAATAATTTTTTTATCCCTTTAATGAAATCTGGTGGATCCCATGCATTTCACAAAAAATGGGGAGTTTGCTACGTAATCATTCACGCGGACTTCATGTCGTACCCACGTCATGACTTGCGAATACGCGCACACTTGAAACCGAAACCCGATTGCTCCAATTCGGATAGAGAATATCAGATCCTTATGAACTGTTTTTCTTTTTAATTTATTTTAATTTTGTTCTTGTTTATTTTATTTTACTTCTAACACTTTTTTTGACGTACTTTTGTTCTGAGTTCAGGGTCAAGTTGAATTCACTCGGTGATGTGGGAAAGTACTGATTGTTTCGATTTACGCCCGTTTCTTCTTGAGTTTTTTTTTTTAACGCTAAAACTGTTTATAAAAAGTTTTTGTTTTTCAATAATATCATTGATTGAATATGAATTTTTCGAGTGCTTGAAAATTTTTGTAAAGTGCTTGAAAAGTTTTTAAAAAGTGCTTAATTTTGATTCAAGGATTTGGCTACGCACCCTGTATTAATTCTTGCCAACCAAATTTAGCAGTGCCAGCAATTTAAATTGTTCTTGATCATTATCAATTTGAAATATACTTATTTTTATATACTTAGTATATACCTATAACCTTTTGAATATTTTTACTTCTATTTTTTTAATGGTCCTATTACAAATGTTATTCTAATACAGTTGATAATAACCCTCTTAGATAAATAAGTACATGCTTAAAAGATGTGTTTTCTAACAATCAATTAAAAGTTATTACCAAGCAATTTTATAACTATGTTTTAATTTTTTTTTTAAATTAAAGTGTTCAACAGTAAGTTGTAATTAAATTTTCTATCTTAAATTAAATTTGTGTTTAAAATAATGGGGCTGTCAGCTTGGTTTTAGATCCTCTTAGATAATTTACCCAGAAGATTCTAGCATCTCATACAGTGGGGAACCGATTATCCGGAATGATCGGGACCATCGTTATTCCGGATAACTGATTTTTCCGGTTTTCTGAATCGCTACAAAAAGCCGTTATTTTTTATTGTTAAATCCAACTAAAAAAAATATTTAGAAATAATCTTGAAAAGAAGAAAAAACGATGAAGTAATACACTAATGATTATTTCCAAAATGATGGTAAGGTAAACATCTTTCAAAAAAGAACGAAAAATCCTGAAATCTTATAAGGGAAAAAAAAATTTATTTATTTTAAAAATGGCGGGAAAAATTATGGAATTACGTTCCGGTTTTTGGTTTTCCGGTATTCTGATTTCCGGATAATGGGTTCTGTACTGTATTTAAATAATTGGTTGGCTCAAAAAAGAACATTGTGTTCATTTTAGAGGAGGGGAAAGAAGAAAAAAATTTCATGTAGCAGGTATAATGTCAGTAAATGAAGACTAGTGGGAAAGGGAGATTGGGAGACAAAAGAAAGTTAAACTTTTAGTTATAAAGTTATGGTCCAAAAATGAAGTATTAGTCTTTTTATTTGAAGAGAAGAGAACTGGTTTAAAAAGAGTTAGATTTTAAAAAATTGCATTATGATTTGCCGAAGTTATTAAAAGAAAACTTAAGCATTCACAAAGGGAAAAAAAAAATTTCTTAACATCCTTAATGTTATTTTATTTATTTATTTTTTACTTTGCTATACTGAAATTTTCATATGTGCATTATAAGTAACGCTAATTTGTATCTAATGCATGTATTTTTAGAATGAATAAGTGGAAACAAGTAGCTATTGATACCTCTCAGCTTGATCCATCAGAATTGGAGCAATTTGGTGGAATTGAAGAATTGTCAGACTATGAAATTCTTCGTCCAGGTTCCAAAAAATCGGATCAAAAGGGGAAAAAACTGAAAAAGGTCTGTAAACTTCTGGTTAATTATATTATATTTCAATATGAATCATTAGTCTAAAAAATAATTTGGTATTAGTTTTAAACTCAGACTTATTCTAATTGTCATTTATTATGCTATGTTACACCTTTTTTAAACCCAAAAAGGCTCTGTACATAGTCGAAAAGCTGGTTTTGGTACCTTAAAGTGCATGTTAAAAAGATGGATATTATAGCTAAAATTGTGTGTTTAGAACTGAAGCTAAAAAATTAAACCTTATTTATTTTTATTAAATAAAGGGAAAGGTTTAAATACAAATTTTACAGATTTTTATTTCTCTTATTTGTAATGGTTATATTTTGACATATGCACTAAGCTCTATAGAAATCTCCCAATCTTCTGGTAAATACTAAAGATTTTGGATATAAAACGTTATATGCAATTTCTTTTATTTAAAATGTCATTTTGTAAATGTACATCAATTATCTAATTAACTATAGAGTTCTGGTTTTTTAAAGCTAATGCACAAGCTAGAACCATTTTTCATTGCTTAATGTTTCGATGACAAAGTGCAGCATGACAGACTTAACATTGGGATTATTTAATCAAAGAATATTATTATCATGCTTCATTACAATAATCTTCGTAATTAAATTGTGTAAAATGCAGTAAAGGTATAAAGTTGTTGTTCTAAATGTTTCTGGGACTGTTAAGTTGCTTATTGAAATTACTTAAAAGAAACTCTTGCATAATTATTTAGTGTTATTTATTGTATGCCTATGTGATAACTTTTGTAATGGCTATTTGTATTCAAGTAACTTCACTTTATATATGTTTATTCAATGTGTAGAAAAAGGGGAAAAAGTTTAAATCTTCTGAAGAAATTCCATTGCAGAGTATAAAAGCAAAGAAATCCAAACTAGGTATGCTATTAAAATTATGTTGTATTTAGATACTATTTACAGCTACAGTAGACTGGTCCAAAAAAAACTTTTTTTTAAAATTTGCGGGTCTTAACCCTAAATACTTGTACACATGACTAAAGAAGCCCCCATGCAAAATTTCAGCTTATTTCAAGTACATTTAGAGGTAGCTCAAAGGCTTTGAAGTTTTTACTTTGAAACCTTAAAAAAATAATTTCCATATTATCACTATTTATTATTTATTTACTTATTTTCATAAACAATGGTCATATATTATGATAAATATAATAATTATAAATATAATTATTATATAGTTAACATTTTGCTTCTTGTTTTGGCAACACCAAATTACTTTATTTGGGTTTGGCAACACCACATTGTTTGTTTACATCTGTGACCTGGTGAGATTTTATTGAAACAATGTCAACAAACAAAATTAGATTTAGAAAAGACTCTGAAATTTGGTTACTTGGTTTTCCCATAAGTGAAATAAAAGGATGTAAACTACCTTCCATTAATGCAGTACTAAGAAACTTCTTCTTTCACCATGAGACAAAAACAATACATGAAAGTGCAAGTCACACTGTTGATAGTGTGTTGACCTTCTGGAATAAGGCTAGAATTCCTACAACCGAAAAGCAGAATGCAGTAAGAAAGTTAGAAAAATTAGTTGAGCGGTACCAAAAATTGAAAAAGAACAGAAATCGGCGTACGAATACTCAAGAAGACAATGAACAGAAGTTTATCAAAGAATGCAAGATGTTGTGGGATATCGCTCATGTCGGTGCTTTACAGATGATAAAAATTGAAGAGGATAAGAAGTTTTTGCTTAAACAGCGAGAAGGATTTGAAGGCTGTATGTTGTCAGTCGACAGAAAACTTGAGAAGAAAGAGAAACGCTCATCTAAAAGGAGGCGATATGAGACACTACCATCTAATAGTGTGGACATGAATAAAAACAAAACTGTATGTTATCCTTCATCAAGTGCTGAAATTAAAGAAGACTGTGGTTCAACTAGCTCATCCTCAGAAAGTGATACTGATGATGATGCTTTTCAATATCCTAGTACTTCAGAAAAGACAGCAAAGGGGAAAAAAAACAAGCTTCTTTCACCTAATTTGATGTCTGCATTGGATCGAACAAAAACCTCGGATCGCAGTGCTACATTTTTAATTGCAGCAACAGCCCAAACAGTTGGAATAAATGTAAGTGAAAGTACTGTTTCACGAAGTACACTTCGCAGACACAGAACAAAATTTCGAGCCCAGTTAGCGAAGGATTTGAAGCATAACTTCAAACCTGATGGTCCGCTTGTCGTCCACTGGGATGGGAAACTCAGGGCTAGTATTTCTGGAGAAATGGAGGAAGTTGACCGCCTTCCTATTCTTGTCACAGGAAATGATGTGGAGAAATTACTTGGTGTGCCAAAACTGCCAGTTGGTACAGGCAAGGCAATTGGAGCATTCCATCATGCACGGTGGATGGCCAAAGTTATTTACTGTTTAAAAATATACATGTTTCGTGAACAGTTCAAGCTCACGCCAAAAGAAGCTAAAGGGTTGAAACGATTTAATGATTTTAGCACACACTTGTACATGAAAGCCTGGTTTCGCTGCTCTAACGCAGCTAATGCACCTTTCATAGACTTAGAATTTTTGAAACATTTAAATTTGGTGAAAAATGAATGCCAAGAAATCTCAAAAGCTGCACGCAATGGGTTGAAGAGGCATCTGTGGTAATTAAATGGTGACTTATTCATGCTCAGCCTATTCAGCTGTCATGTAAGCACAGAAGATAAGGTTTTAATGGTTGAGAAGTTGTTTAAAATAGATGAACATATTGAAGATGTAACCAATGCTTCTAAACGATTAAAGGAAAAAGAAATCGGAAATGTTAATGAAAAATCTAGGATGATATTTAAGTCATTGAATATACAAGGCGATTTCTTACATTCGTCCCCATCGGAATGGAAGAAATTTTATTCTTACCATGATGGTGAAAAGAAAGTGAAATGTTTAAAGACAGTAAATGATTGCGCAGAAAGTGGCGCAGCGCTCATTACAGACTACAATGAACTGATAACTAAATATGAAGAACAAAAACAATTCTTACTTCAAGTTGTGGAATCTCACAGAAAGAAATTTAAGGATACTAAATAAACCACACTTGTTCAAAATGTATGATTTTTTATTAGGATTTTCTTCATATATGCTTACTAATAGATATTGTGTTGGCTCGCTCCCTTGTATTTTATGATATAAATGAGAAATATGTACATATGAGTGTACAATTCATGGTTTTTGTTGGGAAAATACAAATAAAGGTATAGTGTCAATGTTTTTTTTTTGTCATTTATTTATATGAAATGCAAAATCCCAAACTTCAAAGTCTTTGAGCTACCTCTAAATGTACTTCAAATGAGTTGAAATTTTGCATGGGGGCTTCTTTTGTCACATGTACAAGTATTCAGGGTTAAGACCTGCACATTTTTAAAAAAAGTTTTTTTTGGACCAGTCTAAGCTACAGCCTTGATTAATGTAAGAATATATATTTTAAAAAAAAAAAAATTGAAATTGGGTTTAATTAGGAATTTTTTTAATATTTGGAAAATAATTTTATTGAGGTTTTCTTGAAGAGTAGCAGTGTAAGATTCCTTGTCTTCTTGTAGGGTGAATTAAGAAACTTAACATGACAACAAATAAAAAGCAAATTGTGTTTAATTGTCCCAGTGACTAACATTGAGTCAATTCTAGCAATTGCTAGTTGGTACAATCGGTTCAATGATGTGGTGACATACATTTTTTATCTAAGATATAAATTTGTCAAAAAATGGCAGTTAAAAATAAGTTTTTACTTAGGTGAAAAAATGGTCTAATATGTATTGCTATGAAAAATTAAAATAAACTTCATCAAAAATTTTCAGCATGAAAAAAAAAATTTTTTTTAAAGAAATTTTTATGCTTGAATTCATTTTTAATTAAAATTGTATTAAAAAACTCATTGCTTCTCAGTTGTAAAGTTTTAAAAAAAAATGAAGTTAAAATTTAATTGTCTTTTGTTAAATTAATGATCCAGAATGTAATAATACATTGTAAATTGAAACAAAAAAAATTTAACAAATTTTAGATATGTTGTTGTGATAATGTTAACATTCTTTTATTTAACATTAAGAAAGAAAAACAAACATTTGGTTGCCCTTAAATTTACTTTATTCATTAACTTAGAGTAATTGTTAACTAATTGCTATTGACATTTTTGAATTTCGTCTTCAGAACTTGCATTTTTTGCCTCTCATTTTATTTAGACATGTCTGCTTGGAATGGTTTAAAGATCCCTATTTCAGTTCTTTCAGCTATGGAAGAGCTCAGGTTTACTCAACCAACAGAAATTCAATCTCAGAGTATACCTGCCATTTTGAATAACAAAGATGTCTTCGGTGCTGCTGAGACGGTATGCTCTCATTTGCATCTTTATTTTAGCTGAGTGACTTTTCTGAGAAACTAAAGAACTTAATTCTGTACTGGCGCACACCTCAAGTTTAGAAAATGTGAAGCATTATAACATTTTCTAAACTTGAGAAGTATGCTTAATCTAAGCTCTTATGTTAACTGTATCTTTTTTTTTTAATTCATTGATCTATCATTTTCAGTTTTTAATGGAATTTGATTATTCAGTCGATAAAAATTGTTTAAAAACCTCTCCTGCTCATTAATGTAAAATTTCGTGATTAACTTTACATTTTTGAATTTTTATAAGAAATTGTATGTCTGTTAGACAAATTTAATAATTCTTTTTTAAATATATATCCTTTGAATTGATATATAAAGGTTTTTTAAAGGCCAACAGAATATACAATTTATAACTATAATAGATTCAATTAAACAAGTCTCATTCTTTTTTACTATTCACATTAGTGCATTTAAGAATTAATGCTTAAAGAAAAAAGTTGTTATATAATTTATAAAAACTGCATCTGTATTAATTTTAGACAAATATGTAAAGACTATTTCTAAAACATCGTGCTAAATCAGCTTACCTGCTCTTGTGTTTGATTAGGTATTCTAAAACGAAGCAAACCAAAAAATTATTATTTAATAAGTGTTATTATGTAATGCAGCTGACACTAATTGTTCTTTTCTTTTTTTTTTTTTTGTAAATCNTTTTGTTCTTTTTTTTTTTTTTTTTTTGTAAATCTTGATATATATTTTCTTCATTTTTTTTTTATTTCAATAATGCCACATTTTTTCAAAAAAATTGCCTTGTTAAAAATAATTTTGTTAACTGATATAAGTATTTAAGTAAGCTTCTCCTTTTCTACACTTAAATGTTGTTAGTTTTTTTTTTTTTTTTTAGGGTAGTGGAAAAACATTAGCTTTTGGTTTACCAATAATAAAAAACATCATTTCTATAAAAGAAAGCAAAAAAGAGGTAAGATTTATAACAATTAAATGTTTGTTATATTATGTTTCTAGCTTATGCATTTTGAAATTTAAAAATGCTCAACTTATATTTTTAGCAAGGAATCGAGGATAAACAACTTTATAGCTTAATTTTGACTCCAACTCGAGAACTTGCTATTCAGATTAAAAAACATTTGCAAGCAGTGTGCAAGTACACTGATTTACTGGTAAGCTACCATTTTTTTTATGTTTTTAATTATTTTTTGTAGGTAATTGAGAAAGAGCATGTGTGTGTGTTAAAGAAGTTTTAAGGAAACAGTGAACAACCAATAGAGTTTATTAATTGAAGCTGATACTCCTTAATTTATATATCCTGTTTTATTTTATATTTTTTTAATTGCATATATTACTCTTTTTTTTCTCCTTTAAAAATAATGTATTTATATTTGTATCTTTGATAGCTTTGACTTTTTCTAGTTGTGTAGCGAGTTAAAGAAAAAAAGCGCCTTTTTTGAAAAATGCATGTTTTGTTTTGAAATATTTTTTTTTTTACATACGAAAGATCATACCCTACAAAAAAAAAATATCTAATTTTTGATATAACTGGATATAAAAGTTTTGATTCATGTTGTATAAAAATATTGTTACTTCAATTGTCAATTGCCTCAAATGTTACTTCAAATCATTTTAAAATAATTAAACCTTTAGTTTTTTTTAATTTGACCTCTTTAAATTATTAACACTTTGAATCAGTTCTTACAATGATTCAATAATTTCTTGAATGTAAAATAGTTAAAATATATGCATTTAAATTTTTATGAAATTATCTTTAATAAATTTTTGAGATATTGTAAAATCTAAATTTAAAAAAAGAAAACTAGTTTATGTGGTATAAATTTTTGTTGAAAATATAGACCTAAACTAAACTTAGTGATGTAATAGCCCATATAGGTCAAGAGCAGGTGTTTCAGTTGGTTGGTTAGCCGAACGCGGAACCCCCGATGTTTAGTCCCAAAGAACGCTTGGTGCTCATTTTATCGACCCACTAAAGGTGAATATAGATCCTTTATGTAAAATTAGATTATGTGAAATAAACCTTTAAATTTTTAGCGGCACTTAGTATCTTAATATGAAAAAAAAAACTAAACCCTTATTAAGACAAAAGTATTAGTTTTTATTATTTGAAATTTTTTAATGTCAAAGAATAACACCCAGGTTTGGAGTATGCAAATCTCTTACATTTTGAAAAAATAGTGAATTTGAGATGAATTGTTACATGGTAAGTGCATGATGATGAAATTACATCATGCACTTAGCATGATGAAGTCACTCTGCTCAACCTATTACACCACCCGTAATTAAAAGGTTAATTTATTTGAAACGAATTGCAGGAGAAAAACAAGATAATGAAATATTTTAAAACAGTTTTTTCTATTCTTTTTGTGCACTACTTATAGTATGTTGTTATTACTCATATATTTTTGGGTGCAGCTAAACTTTTTGTGGTATTATGTTTATTAGATATCATCTGTTGTTGGGGGAATGGCTGCAGAGAAGCAAAAGAGGATATTAAAGAAGTGTCCAGACATAATTGTAGCTACTCCAGGAAGGCTATGGGAAATGTTACAAGAAGTACAGCAGTTTTAACTTTTCTCAAAGTTTAATTTATTTCTTTGCTTGCAGGGATGCGATTCTTCCTCGGATTCTCAGACTTTGACTTATTCCGCTTATTTCCATTGAAAAATTTTTTTACACAAGTTAAAATATTTTATGATGAATTTAATTTTCCGCCGAGAGAAATTATTGAAATCCTCATTCCTCCCTCTGAAGTTTCTCTAAAAATCAGTTTCTCGGGATAAAACTGGTTGACCTTTATACAGAGAGGAGATTTTTCCGCCACATTTTAGCTGATTTTCACTTTTGTCTCTCGAATTTCAGACTTTTCATCAAAAACTCCTATTCTCTAAAAGTTTTGGGTTTTCTTTTTTTCTTTGTATAAATATCCCGCTTTCTTTTTTTGAAAATTCAGTCGTTGAAATAAAATAATTATATTCATTTACGATTTTCAGAGATAAACAGAAAATTCAAACTACGTCCTAGCTGCTAACCCCTTCCGCATTTTTACTTATTTTAGCTATTTTCTCCAATTTTACGCACAGAAAATAAGATTTTCCGTATTTTTATGTGCGCCGGACAGCTCATATTTTCGTAATTCAAACGAACAAAAATAGAGGGAGATTTACAGTGAAAATATGTATTTGCTCATTCAATTAATCTTGTAAATTTTTATTTATTATGTCTAAACAAAAACAATACAAACAACCCTTTTAGAAATCCCAAGTCCAGACTCTGCAAATATCTCGATTTTTATTCACACGATTTTAATATCAATCGTCGGTTTTTGTATTTAACTGATTTAAAAGTTGCGCATTGCGATTCTTATTTACACTATTTAAATATCGTACATTATGATTCTTATTTACGAGATTTAAAAATCCAATATTGCGTTTTATATTTATGCATTTTTAAAATCACGATTTTATTATCAAACATCGATTTTCATATTTACCCGATTTAAAAGTTGGGTGTTGCGATTCATATTCAGGTGATTTAAATATCGTACATTGGATTTTTAAATCTCGTAAATAAGAATCACAATGTCGCAATTTGTATTTACACATTTTTAAAACCCTATGTAGCGATTCATATTCAAGCGAGCTTATAATCCTATGTCATGATTCGTTTTGCGGTTGTAATATCGAACGTCGATTTTCGTATTTATACGTACGTGCTTCAAAACTTAGACTTTGGGATTCGTATTAACTCGATTTAAAAATTATGCATCGTGATTCGTATTTATGTGATCTAAAAATAGCGCATCATGATTTGTATTTTCTCATTTTTTAAATTTGATATGGAATTTCATATTCAGGTGATTTGAAAGCCTCATATCGGGATTCATATTCTCTCAATTTAAAATCATGCGTGTGATTAATATATTCATACTATTTTAAAATTAATCGTCGGGATTTATAATCAATTGGTTTACAAGTCTATAAATCACACTTTTTTTTGTCTATATATGTATTCATTCTTGGATTTCCTCTTTTTTACTTTCTGACTACTCTCATCCCTGTGTTTAGAAAACTATCAAAGATTGTAATGATTAAAATTCTGTGATATTTCTTTTCCTTTTTAAATCGACAGAGAACATGTTCTCTAAATAAAAACTTATAATGTTTTGTTATTAACTGACATTATTTATGCATTAATAACATCAAGGATTAAGATCCATGAAGATTTTTTACCTCATTGTATTTACAGAGAACATATTTTCTAAATTAAAAACCAATGGTTTTGTTACCTTTGATTTTATATAGTTTTATATATATATCAAAAAAGAGAATTTTTTATTTTTTTGCTTCCTTTCTTTACGTCCAAGCAACATAGTACAAAATTTCTTTTATATATGTATATATATATATACAGTAGGGAACCGATTGTCCGGAACGATCGGGACCATCGCTATTCCGGATAACTGATTTTTCCGGTTTTCTGAATCGCTACAGAAAGCCGTTTTTTTATTGTTAAACCCAACTATAAAAAAAAATTATTTTTTTTGGAAATAATCTTAAAAAGAAGAAAAAACGATGAAGTAATACACTAATGATAATTTCCAAAATGACGGCAAGGGGAACATCTTTCAAAAAAGAAAGTAAAATCTTATGAGGAAAAAAAATTTTTTTTAAAAGAATGGCGGGAAAATTTATTGAATTTCGTTCCGGTTTTCTGATTTCCGGATAAAGGGTTCTGTACTGTATATATATATATACAAGGTACGTAGCGTTTTTAAAAAGTGTTCAAAGGTGCTTTTTTCATTGGGTGTTTTTAAAAGTGCCTGATTTTCCCTTTTTCAAAATAAGGTTTTTCCTTTGCTCTGTTGATTTTTGTTTAGTATTATGCAAAAAGACACAGTTCACATTGTTCTATTCAACGTTTTCACAATTAATTCAACCCCAATCTTTTTTGGTGTATTGACAGTCCGTAGCGTATGAAAACAACTTTCGTTTTACAATATTCAAAATTTCACGATTTTTGATAAAGTGCTTAAAAATATTGCTTGAATGGTGCTTATATTTTGTTGAATAATTTGGCTATGCACCCTGATATATATATATATATATATATATATATATATATATATATATATATATATATATATATATATATATATATATATATATATATATATATATATATATATATATATATATATATATATATATATATATATATATATATATATATATATATATATATATATATATATATATATATATATATATATATATATATATATATATATATATATATATATATATATATATATATATATATATATATATATATATATATATATATATATATATATATATATATATATATATATATATATATATATATATATATATATATATATATATATATATATATATATATATATATATATATATATATATATATATATATATATATATATATATATATATATATATATATATATATATATATATATATATATATATATATATATATATATATATATATATATATATATATATATATATATATATATATATATATATATATATATATATATATATATATATATATATATATATATATATATATATATATATATATATATATATATATATATATATATATATATATATATATATATATATATATATATATATATATATATATATATATATATATATATATATATATATATATATATATATATATATATATATATATATATATATATATATATATATATATATATATATATATATATATATATATATATATATATATATATATATATATATATATATATATATATATATATATATATATATATATATATATATATATATATATATATATATATATATATATATATATATATATATATATATATATATATATATATATATATATATATATATATATATATATATATATATATATATATATATATATATATATATNTTGAAGTTGAGTAGAGGAAAATGTAAGGAAGGGGAGAATTTTTTTCCCCGTTTACCCAGCGAAACGTCATTTCCTCCGTGACCTTGAAGGCAGGGAAGGGAGGAATGTTTTATTTTCTCCTTTAAGCCGTCAATCAAGCTCAAGGGTGTGGCATGCTGATTTCGTTTTCTGTTTAATTTACGAGGGAGGGTGGGGAAAATGCATTGCATGCATATCAGTGAACAGAAGATGAAAAAGAAAAATATATTTATCTATTTGACATCGATTAATAAAAATAAAATCTTTTTCTTCTGAATAAATTCAAGTGCGGTATCATTTGCAAGTTTTTATTGATGTGGAATCACATCTGCTGTAATTAAATATCGAGTTTTTATCAACAAAAAAAAATAATAAGAGGAGAATTGTTTATTAATTTAAACACAGGATTATTTTAAGAAGCAGATTGCAGTTTTGTTTTTCTGATTCCACTACGTTTGATTTTTTTTTTCACGATAAATTTTGCACTCAATAAATTAATTCTTTTTACTCATAAATTTTATCATTAGGTTTTTTTTTTTTTAAATTCCGTTGATCTTGCCTTGTTCTTTTTTAACTATCGTTTCGGTTCGATAAGTTTCAAGTGTTTTTATTTAGATTAATAAGTTTAAGATTAAGTCCCCCGTATAATTAGGTATGAAATATATTGCATTATTTAATCTTTGGTTTTGTTTATATTAGTTAATTTAGGAATTGTAATTATTTTTAGAAAATAAATACGAGAATTTTGTATTTTTTAATCTTGTTTTTCTTGTCTAAACTTGGCATGTGAAATTTTTAGCTGCAATCAGTGGTCGATTGTCTAGCATTACCATTCAGGGAGTTGTAATGAGGCCTTTTTTTTTGTCGGCGTGTAAGAGAAATAGTAACGTAAAACAAAACAAACGTTGCCACCGGCGGAAATGAAATACAGCCAAAATTTGGGAGCCATGTAAGAGAATTATGTGTATTAAATATTTTGTGTTTCAGCGAATTCGAGGGATTTTTACAGCTGATATATCAATTCAGAATTTATATTGTGGAGCTAAAATAAATATATGTATATACTAGAGATTAATAGAAATATACTTGAAAACTTCTAACTTAATTGTTTCTGTTTTAGGGAGAAAGGCATATTAACAAAATACCTAATGTTCGCTATCTAGTCATTGATGAAGCTGACAGAATGGCTGAGAAGGGTCATTTTGCAGAATTAACACAAATTCTAGAAGTGATAAATGGGTAAGATTTTAAAGTAACATGTTAAATTACTGTATGTTTATTAAAACTTTTTTTTAAATAAACTATTTAAATACTGTTAATCTGCTAAAAGATTAATAGAACAGTTAAAAGAAAATTCTTTGAAATGTTAATTTGGTTATTTCTATAGTATGCTTTCATGCGTCCTTTTTATTTTCAATTTCTTAGTTTAAATTACGTAATTATTTTAATAATTAAATTTCTAAATGTTTATTATTAATTTTTGATGTTTTTTGTTATGATGGTGTTAATTTTGTTTAAATTACGTAATTATTTTAATAATTGAATTTCTAAATGTTTATTATTAATTTTGATACTTTGAAATAAATATCTTAAAGATATATAATCTTGAATAGGTACATATACTCATTTAAAAAATGATTTTTCTAGTTCTTTTTCTAATAGTTTTAGGTTTTTCTTTTGATGTCAACTTATAGACTTCATTTGATGTTTAACGCTAATTGAACTTACAATTTTTTAACCACTTACTGCTATAAATAATGGTATGCAGTTATAAGAAAATTGTATATTTTTGTATAAGAAATTTTTTTTTTTTTACCAAGATTACTCAGAATTGCTTAAAATAACCAACGCAGATTGATATAAATGATTGAAAATGATAGTGATTAAGATAAATCTATATATTAAATAAATATAAATAGGTTTCTTGTATTTTTCTACTAATTGGATTTTTATTCACAAACCACATTTCTGTTTGTAGGAACAAGGAAAACAAAAAATTACACAAGTACGTTTTTTCTGCTACTCTTTCAATGGAGATTCCTGATCTTAAAATTAAAAAGAAAAAGCACAAATTAAGTATGTTTCATTTGTTAAATAATAAATATTTGTTCTTTATGTACTATATTTAAATATCCAAAAGAAATTTTTAAGTATCTTAATAAAATCTCTCACTATGAAAACAAACAAAAACTATATCATAAATAATAACTTATGTACATTATTTCTAAGTATTAATTTGTGTCTTAAAATATATGTACATAAAAAATGCTATTTTCTTGTTTCACATTTGCTAAATAAGTACATTATATTTTAGTTTATTATATTACATTATATTAAGTTTTTTAATCATTTTATTAAAGGAATGCTGAATTAAGTAACAAATTTTAATTAAAAATTTAATTAATTATTCACTAATTTACTATAGTAATGTGAGTTTATTAAGTTTTCTTAGTTTGCTTTATTTTTTACATATCTTTTTAAATTTGTAAAGATCACTAATATTAATCTTGTTTACTATTTGTTGCATATGCTAAAAAATACACCGATAGCATTTTTAAGTTATAGTTTAACTATAGTTTTACATAATTAAATTAAGTATTTAATAATTTAAAAAAGGGAATGTGTGACTCAATATTGAATAAATTAGTGGACTTGAACCATAATGTATTCACCCTCGTTCGCAACAATCTACCAGGTCAAAAATTAATTAGTTTTTAAGGCTAACGATTATTTAATGCGACAAAACGGCCTTACTTTCCGGTCCCCCTTACATTTAAATTCTGCATAAATTGTTCTTATGTGTCTAATATAATTAAGGAAAGAATTCTTTGTCAGAAATTAGTTATTTTTTCATGACCACTTAAAGTTTTTGCAGTTTGTTTATTAATATATTCTTCTTATTAAGAACTTTGAACAATAGACAGAAAAATCTTTCATTAGAGTGCATGTCTTAATCATAATTTTCTTTAAAAACAAAAGGAGCGCCAAATATTTTCTTATTCCATAAATGCATATTTTTTTGTTGAAAAATTTGGCTATGCACCCTGGAAAACATTATTATTTAAAATACGTGTTAATTATGGGCACGTCTTGTCAATTTCGGTTATGGGACTTTCCATTGCGCTTTTAGGCACTACTTATTCTATGAGAAACTTTATAGTATTTATGTAAAAAGACGTTGGTTGCTAATATTTTGCTTCCTGAATTTCAGCACAAAATAATACTTTCACAGTATACGAGTTGTAATGGTTCTTTATTTATTTTAGAGTCCATGATTAAATTAATTGGTTTAAAAGATCCTGTTGTAATTGATCTTACTAATAAGAAAGCAGTTGCTGGAACTTTGATAGAATCACAGTTAGTTTGCAAGAATGAAGAAAAGGTTTGTAGATTTAACTGCTTATAATTTATGTATTTTAGTTTAAAGAGATGGTTCAAAACCTCCTTTGAAAGTTGTATAATATTCTGTACATGTTCCTCCTTTTCTGGGTTGATAAGTCTATGTATTTTTTGGTTTGTTTTGGTATTTAAAAAGCTTCATTTGGATCACACTTGATGTATGAAAAAAATCATTTACGAAAATGAGTTTATTTTCCTACATATTTTATTTAAATTTAAGTCACCAAAACCATATTATCACCAAAAAAAGGTTATCAAATAAATAATCAAAATGTGGTTATATACTAGGCAAAAAGTTTATTATATTTGGTCATTCATGAAAAACCTGTAACGAAAGTTGTGGAGTTGTCAAAAAAAGTTTACTACCTCTCCCTTAAAACATTATCTTCTTTTGTTCAGTTAGTTCAGTACTTGGCACTTGTTAAAATCACTATTGATATTGAAATGCACTAATTTTAAAAGCAAGTATTGTAACTATTGGTTATTATTTTGTGGTTACCTTTAAAAACCACAGCCTTTTAAAGAGTTAGAATGAAAATGCATCATACTATATAATCTAATAAAATTTCATAGTTTGACGATTTCATTTTTGAAAAGCAATACTTCGTCTCTCCAGTGTGTTCAAGATACAGGGATGTGATTCTTCCGCGGATCCGCTGATTTCCGCTTTTTTCAAATTTTTCCATATCTTCCGCTCTTTTTTCATAAATTTCGCGGAAAAATTTTTTATTCAATAAATGATATTTTGTTGAAAATTTTTTTCTTCCGTGGAGCGAAAGTATTGAAGCCCCCAATAAACCTTTCTTCACATGTCAATCTGCTGGCTGGGGTAAAAGTGGTTGACCTTGGTAAACCAATGCCGTCTCCTACTCCACTACTCTCTTATCTTTTCAGGGATGAAAGACTTTTTAAAATTTCGGACCATGTTCCAAAAACTTTTGGGGAGTCGAATGAACGATATAGTCGGACTTGCGCGCCGTTGCCTTGACAACCGCGACTTCCGCTATAGATTGGAAAAAAGAAAAAAAGTCCTAAGCAGTTTCGTTTCGGCCGCTGATATTTGATTTCTTTTGATTGGCTGATTTACAGAATTTTAAATATTAGGAACTTGCGATTCTTATTTCGATAATTTTTATGTAAATCATCGATTTTCGTATTTAACTGATTTAAAAGTTACTTGTTGAGATTCGCTTTTACACGATTTAAAAATCATTACTCGCAATTCCCATTCACGCAATTTAAAAATTCAATATCGCGATTTGTATTTAAGCGTTTTTAAAACCCAATATCGCAATTTAAACGTTTTTAAAACCCAATATCGCGATTCATATTCCCGCTAGTTTAAAATCCAATGTGGCGATTCGTATTCATATATATTTTTAAATTTCAATATTGCGATCCGTTATCATGCGGTTGTAATATCAAGCATCGATTTTCGTATTTATACGCGGTTTAAAACATTACTCGTTGCGATAAGAATTTACAGACTCTAAAAATTATGCATCGTGATTCTTATTTACGCGATTTAAAAATTCAATACCGCGATTTGTATTTTCGTGCTTTTAAAATCCAATATCGTGATTCTTATTCACGTGATTTTAAAATTCAATATCGTGATTCTTATTCACGCTATTTTAAAATTGAACATCGCGATTCTTATTTACGCGATTTTAAAATCAAACATTGTGGTTCTTATTCACGCGATTTTAAAATCCAACATCGCGATTCTTATTCACCCTATTTTAAAATCGAATATCGCGATTCTTATTCACGCAATCTTAAAATTCAACATCACGATTTTAAAATCCGATATCGCCTTATTCACGTAATTTTAAAATTCGTCATCGAGATTCTTTTTCACGCAATTTTAAAATTCGTCATCGCGATTCTTTTTCACACGATTTTGAAATCCAACATCGCGATTCTTTATCTAAGAAGAAATGGACTATGGGAGAAATGAACTTTCTTGTCCTATCAACACTGATGATCAAAAGTCTGCAAAACGCAGTCTACAGATCAGTCATGTTAATAAAAGACCATCGAAAAAACAAAGAACTGATGAGAAAGTCCATAAAGGTCCTTCGACCATTAAACAAATGTTTTTTAAAATGATGTGATACATAAAATCGTGCTTATGCATAATTACTCAAAGTTATCTAAATTATTAAAAAAAAATTATTTTAATCAAGATATTATTTAAGAACATAATTACCATTTATTTATATTTATTTGAATAGATAATAATGTAATCATTATCAGATTGACTATTGAATTCATATCATTTTTTCTTTTGCACGTTTAATGCTACAGTTATAAACTTCCTCTTTGTGTTTTTGTCAATCACATCCCTGCAGATAACATTTCTGGTGTTAAGCATTATGCCACAGCATATGAAAACTTATTTTTAAACATTAATAAGTTATGTACATGATTTAATAAATTTTTTTGCCTTTTAAAATTTTATTTTATAATTTAAATTAATGGTATACCTGGTATATTTTGAAATGTAAATTTATTTATATTCGCTTGATTTAAAATGTGATTTTAAGCATTCATTTAATGAATAGTAAATGCATAGATTTTCCATTAGATATCTCTATTTAAAGTATTAGCAAAATTTATGATTTTCTGTTTAGTTCTTGAATTTATAATTTTAATTTGAAATGATTTTGACCACCATTACTTGTAAAGAAATTAAACAAGGGTAATTAAGCATACATGATTAATGCAATTATGTTTTTTTGATTCATAGTAAGTTTTGGTAAAATACAAAGATATTCCAGCCCGCAATTGTGATTCTTTTAATTCTGTAATTGAGGTTTACCATGCATATCATATTTATTTATGGGGTAATCATCTTTTTTACTTGCATTTAATTTTTATTTTTAAACTGAAAAATAAATTACAGCAAGTGTCAGGAAAAATACTTTCTGCTACCACACTTTTGTTTTATTTAATCAAAAATTCAAATTAACCATATACTAATTATTTTTATAGTTCTATTTTTATTTTTAAAAGTTATGCTGTAACTCTTATTAGCTATCATTTCATATTTTAAGAAAGAATTCCGTTAATGTGAACAGCAATGAACCTAATTTTTTATTTTTTTTAATTTCAGGACGCCTATCTCTATTATTTTTTAACCATGTATCCTGGTAGAACACTAGTATTTTCTAATAGTATTGATTGTGTTCGTCGCCTTAGGTCTGTCTTAGAATACTTAAACTGTGATCCGTTGCCTCTTCATGCTTCTATGCATCAAAGGCAGAGGCTAAAAAATCTAGAAAAATTTGAAAAGAGCAATACCGGAATCTTGTTAGCCACAGATGTTGCTGCAAGAGGCTTAGATATAAAAGAAATCCAACATGTCATTCATTATCAAGTGCCACGTACTGCTGAGGTAATTATGATTCAATTGAGCTATTTGTTCTATTAGTTTTACTTCTTAAGATATGGTTTTGTTCTGAGATATTAAGGTTTAGTCAAACCTTATTCAAGCATTTTTGTCTTACTTTTGAAATTAATTATATTTCTGTGTAAAAGCACTGTAATTCCATTGTCAATTCTTGCAGAATTTAAAGAGTCAGCCTGCAGCACACAAATTGAATTCACTTGTAAACCTATCCCAGGCAGATATAAGGTTATTATTGTAAAAATAAGGTTTTATCTAACATGTAGACAGGAAAAGTTTCATGTTTGAGGTAGAAAAGCTAATTTAAGTAACATTTTTATACGCTTTTAAATAAATAAAAGGATAAGTCCTTATAGAGCCTGTAAACAATAAACTAACAATCAGATTGTTTGGAGGGGAAAAAAATTTCTTCAATTTTTCTTGTTAAACATAAGTTTTTTATGTTTTGACAATCCAGTTAATTATGTGGGATTTTTTAAAAATCATAATTTTTCTTTAGCTTGTATATATTTTCATATCAGCAAGCAAGTTTTGTTAAAGAATTCAAACGTGTGGTAATTGAAAAAGTTAATGAATTGAAAAATTTTTTTTTTCTGTCTCGCATTTTTGCTGGCCTTTAAAAAATAAGTGATTATATTCTGAGAGAAAAAATTATCTGTCAGTTCTGTGATAACTTACGGAGTCTCCAACCGCACATCAGGCGTTCAGCTGCTAGGTATACAATTGATAGTAAATATTCTCCTTGTTGGAATTCACTGCAATTTTTATGAATTATCATTTTTAGCTTCTTTTGGTGTTGATCTCAAAGTATAAAACAACAAATTAGAAGTAGTCATAGATCTTGTAATAGTCGAATTTATAAACTAAAGTAATTGCTTTTTCCCCTCTAACTTTTCTTAAACTCTTATAATCACAAAAATATATATATATAAACTTAAATTAAATGAAAATGTAGTATCATGTTTTTAAGATTGTAAAAATAGAATATATAAATGAAGTTCTAAACCATTGTTCCTGGTTTCAGACTTCATTTACGTTAGGAGTGCACAACCTTTTTGAATGAAGGGCCACATGCGCAGCAGATTGATCAATGAAGGGCTGCGTGACAAAGTATTTCACAGACATAATGACAGAAATTGCAATATAAACATTATTGTTCTGGGCACTAAATTCTTTCTTTCAGTTAACCTTGTAATATCTTTGCATAAAATTAAATACTTTCAAGTGTTTAAAATCAGAAACTGCAAAACTGATTACTTAGGGAAAAAAAGCAGAATCAATTTATTAGGAAAAAAAATTATATAAATTGAAATTATTAAACTGTGGGAAAATTCATGGTTTTTTTCTTTATCATATTATAATACAAAAGTCCATTTTAAGCATAAATTTTAGCATAAAAAAATTTGTTCATTGAATTAAATTTAAAAAATAAATAAATATTCTAGTTATTAGAATAAATGAACGGTAAAACTTTGATTGAAAGAAAATTTAAGAGGATTGAAAATTATTAAAATAAAAATGACGAAAGAAAAGAGATCGAAAAACTGAAATGATTGAGATTGAGTGAGTCAAAAACTATTTAATTTCCAAATTTTTTAAATGTTTCAAAAATGTGTTTTTTTTTTTCTTCATTTTGTTCATTGCTGCCGCGGCCGCACATCGAGGGTTGGCGGTCCGCATGTGGCTCGCAGGGCCCATGTTGTGCGCCCCTAATTTACGTCATCATCATGTCGAATTACAAAAGGAATTCCTCATATTTTCTATTTTAAATTTATATTATCTATCTTATTTACTTATAATTTAGTTTTTTATTATATAACTTATATTGTTACCGTGTAATTTGTTTTACTATATCAGGGTTCGTAGCATTTGTAAAAAGTACTTAAAGGTGCTTTTTTGGGGATTTCGTTTTTAAAAGCTTTTAAAGGTGCTTTTTTCAGTTGGCGTTTTCAAAGAGTGCTTTTTTTCGAGTAATTTTTTTTTCTCCCTTCAGTGATATCTGGTGAATCCCATGCATTTCATGAAAAATGGGGAGTTTGGTACGTAATCATTCACACGGACTTCATGTCGTACCCACGTTATGACTTGCGCATGCGATCACACTTGAAACCGAAACCCGAGTGCTCCAATTCGGATAGAGAATATCAGATCCTTATGAAATGTTTTTCTTTTTAATTTATTTTAATTTTGTTCTTGTTTATTTTATTTTACTTTTAACACTTTTTTTTGACGTAGGGGGTAAGGGTACTTTTGTTCTGAGTTCAGGGTCAAGTTGAATTCACTCGGTGATGTGGGAAAGTACTGATTGTTTCGATTTACGCCCGTTTCTTTTTGGGTTTTTTTTAACGCTAAAACTGTTTATAAAAAGTTTTTGTTTTTCAATAATATAATTGATTGAATATGAATTTTTTGAGTGCTTGAAAATTTTTGTGAAGTGCTTGCAAAGTTTTTAAAAAGTGCTTATTTTTGATTTGACTACGCACCCTGTATATAATTATGTAAGTGTTGTGTGTATCATGAACAAACTTATTACAGTTTGCATCTGTTTAACAAAAGCTATTTCAACATAATGCTTGTATTTATTTTAAATTAATAATTTTCACCCCAGACTTATGTTCACCGCAGTGGTAGAACAGCTCGAGCTAAAAATGAAGGGCTCAGTTTGATGATGATTGAACCTCAGGAAGCTGTTTTTTATAAAAGGATCTGTAAAACATTAAACAAAGGTAATGTTCTCAAATTTTTATTATTATGAAATTTCATAAAATTTTAATGTGTAATACATGTTATAATATAAATTATAATTACTATAGTTTAATGATACATTTTATTGTATAATGTATTTATACTTTTATCTCAAAATGCGATTATATAATAAACTATATTATAATATGATTTCACTGTATTATACGTTTTAATGTAGGTCATAAGGAAATTAAAACACATTTTAATTTCCTTTTAGCATTTAAATTCATTTTAAGTGGGCAGAGTTTAAAGAACAGAGCTAATTCTAGGCAAGGTTAGCGGGGCGCAGCACCCTAATGCCCTTTTAGTCAAAAGGATCCGCCCTGCTGCCCCCTGAAGCAAGTTAATGCCCTGATGCAATAGACTCCATACCCTTTTTGCCCTTTTTTTCCTCAACCCTTCTTAATTTTTTCCCAAAACTCTACAATCGATTTCTTTAGCTTTTGTTATTTTCAACTCTTTATTTAGTTTGTCATTGCTGTCAACACATAGATTTATACAGGGTCATCAGGCCCCCTTGTTGCACTTGTCTTTGAAAGTTTGTACACCCTCTTCTAGAGCAGAAAAGTTACCACAGGGGCCTCTCATCAGTTGTCCAGCAGCTATTCATAAGTGGGGAGAAGGATAGATGCCTTTCTCTAATTCTTGGTAACTCTTCACCCTAAAGCAGTGGTCGGCAAAGTGCGGCTCCAGAGCCGCATGTGGCTCTTTGGCTCCTTAAGTGCGGCTCTGGCACAAATATCCACGGAAGGCGCAATAATATTTTCATTTAAAAAAAACTTAAAAAACTGAAATGCAATTGCTGGATTTAAAAAACAAGAAGATATGGGGCTCTAAATTCGGACGTCTTTGTGTTGAATTGGAAATATTGGAGAAGAAAAAATTTGATCTTAGTTCACAACACAAGTGGTCTGCTTAGAATGACCTGGAGAAGGAAGACATGCTCATTTTCAACGCTTGGAGTAGTATTCCTGACTCTTTCGATCAGCTGAAGAAACTCGCGTTTGCTGTTCTTTCCCTTTTCGGTTCTACAAATATATGATAACAATCTTTTTCAAGCATGAACATTATCAAGAGTAAACTGAGAAGTCGTCTTATTGATGAGAACTGGGAATCATGCCTAAAATTAAAAACAACAACATACAAACCTGACTTACTCAAACTTTCCAAGGAGATGCAAGCACATTGTTCGCATTAATAAATACTTATTAAGTATGAAATTTAGTTTTATTTAGTGTACTACTTATTTAGTGTAATAAAAGCTTACTAAACAAGCAGATTTGGCTCCCAATTTTTTTAAAAAATTGTTGTAATGTTCATATTTGGCTCTTTGGCTAATAAGTTTGCCGACGACTGCCCTAAAGGAACATAAATCTGTTTTTCTCAAGCAGTATTCTGTTGAAAGGGTGGGAGAGTGGTCCCATGAAAGGTCATCCTCAAAGACCCCCATCCCCTCTGTGGGAGGCAGAGGGGATGGAAATAAACTCTATAAAAATTCATTCAGCTATAACTCAATAATTATCAATTTTTTTTTTTTTTAAATTTTGGGAATCGTTTTAAAATGCAAAAGTTGATTAAGAGTTCAAATTTGAAAAAGATATCTTAATTTGTTCAAAAGTTAGGAATTTATTGGGGAATTTTTTCTTAATGTGTGACTTGCTTTCTGTGTAAGAGAGAGGAGGAAAAGACTCAAGGACTTTTAAAATCGTAAGATTTACAATTGTCCGCAGGGGGTGGAAGTTGGGGTTGAGATCTTACGGAATCCCCCCCCCACTCCTCTCTGAAATACTTAAAGATGGAAGGGGCCAATTGGAAAAGTGTTGATTTTTGAGACAATAAAAGGAGCAAAAAAGGAACATACTGCCAACATACAACAACAAAGGAACATACTTTGGCAACGACGTCAAATATTTTTAAAATTTTTATTTAATCCAATTTTTTTTCTGTTACTTGTGTATGTCAGAAAGTGTTTAAAATTTTTATTGATGCTACATTTCATTTGGTGTTAAATTCTGTGAGTAAGAGCCAGAAAACAATTTAAACTTGTATCATTATTTATTTCAGAGTTTTAACTGAAATGCAGGTGTTCTTGATATTTGAAAAGGGTCAGAAATTAATTGATTAAATTGATAATGTTGTGATCTGGAAATATTTGATATTTTTATGATCAGATTAAGAGAGATTATATAAAGATTTAAGTGCTCTAGCTAGTCTAAAAATTTTCGAAATTTTGATTATGAAATTCCGTCGTCAAAGACACGAAAGTTGGTAAAAACATAATAAAAACTATAAATAGTTTTGCAGTTTAAAAGTGAAGTCAGGAGGTGTCATTTAATTATAGGGATTTTTATTAACTTGTTTTTCTCTTACCTTGTACTATTGCAATAAAACCAGTTTCAAGACATAATACAATTTAAAATTAGCTTAATTAACAAAATAAAATTAACAATTTAATAAAAACATCATAAATTGGCATAATTTAACTGAACATAAGTTAAACTTTCGTCTTTATTAGTGATGAGAGTATGAAACGTTTTACTGTACTGCATTGATTTAATTACAACCTTTGTTGTCTACAATTTAAAAAAAAATTAATATCTTATGCTAAGTAAGAATAATTTTACTGTGTAGGACTCGAGCAATAACATGGTGGGGGGATCCAATGCTACATCCACCAAAAATTGCTGAAGGTGCAGGTAGCCTTTCAAAATCTGGTAGTGTGGAAGTTGAGACTCCAAATATTGAAGAAGCAGGCTGCTCTTCATTACCTGGTGATACTTTCAGCCCAGTTAATGAAGCAGGTGAAGAAATTTCTTCAATTGATTCTACCCAAAAAAAAACTGTTGATGTGGAACCCAACTTGGAGACAACAAGTGCATCAAGTAAACATAGAACTGTATATGATCAAACTTGGTTGCAAAAATTTCAATGGCTGCAACATTGCAAAACAGATGGTAAAATTCTATTGTGTAAACTATGCATGAAACAAGAAAAATTCTAGCTCTCCATGGGTGGAGAAGGGTTGTGTAAGCATCCGTTTAGATAAAATTAGAGGCCATGAAAAGTGATTGGCACATCTTGAGGCAATAGCCACTGAAACCGATGCTAAGAGCAATAATTTAATCGATTCGACAACAAATGAAGACACAAAAACTTTTAAGGTTGTGACTGCACCGATGAAGTGCCTTAATTTTTTAACTAAGTATAACTTGCCACACAATACTTTTTTTGAGCATTTCATAAACTTTTGCATAGATGATCTGAACTGTACACTTTTAAAACCATTAAAGAAAACAAAAAGTGCTGTATACACCAGTTACACAGCTGTTAGAGTGCATGCCCAGCGTTCAGGAAGAAGAAATTCTAACTGATATTAACAGTAGCCCTTTCTTTTCTGTGGCTATAGATGGAACATCTGACATTAATAATAGAAACATATGGGTGTAGTAGTCAAATACAGGAAAGATGGAGAAGCAAAACACTCTTTTGTAAGAGATTGTAGTCTACCAAATCGAAAGGCAGACACAATTTTATCGGCCCTATCCGAAGTTGTCAATGGCTGTGGTTCCATAAATAAAATGTCCACATTCATAAGTGACGGAGCCAGTGCTATGGTAGGAAAAAAAGAGGAAGTAGTCACAAAATTAAAAAAAGAGAACAACAAAATAATATCTGTAAGTTGTATGAACCACAGATTGGCATTGGCAACAAAGGATAGCTTTGAGTGCCTTAAAAGGCTCGTTAAAGTGGACGAAATTCTAAGTAGTACTTACAAGTATTATAAAAGCAGTTCAGCTAGAACGACTAGCTTGAAGAATGCTCAAAATGTATTTAATGTAGAGAATAGAGGTACAACAATTAAAAGAGTGGGTTTCACTAGATGGTTATCCCACAATGAAGCAGTAAATTCAGTTCGCAAGAACTATGAAGCAATATTGGCTGATTTAGAAAACGCTGCAGTGAATGACTCTTCAAAACAGCTGTCCGGGCCAACTGCCAGCAGTTTACTGAAACAATTTCAGAGTTATGATTTTTTTAAAGCAATTCACTTCCTATGTGATGTGTTATCATCAGTCACACATCTCAATTTAAGCTTACAGCAAGAAAACATAGACATAGGATTGATAGAACCAAAAATACAAAACACTTTAGCTGAATTGGAGAGACTTAAAAAGAAACCCGGTGGGACTTTTTGCAAAAAGTTGGAGGAACGTGCTCGACTCCTCAAGATAATGGCACCAATTGGACCGAGCGATGGTGCTTTTGAGAAAGACGCAAAGGAGTTTTTAGATATTCTAATTAAAAACATATCAGAAAGATTGGTAAATCAACAAGTGTATCACATTTTAGCATATTTAATTTAACAAGATTTGGCGACAAAATTTCAATAGAGTTGTATGGCAATTTAGAAATAATTGAACTCGCTGATTATTTTGATTTTAATGAAGAATCGTTGTGTGAAGAATGGAGTGACTTTAAAAATCTTTATTTTTCCATGTCAAGTATTCCAAACAGTGTGCTTTGTATCAAAAAACTAAATTCAATAATGCATGAAACAAATAGCTCCAGTAGATTTCCTTTAATTACCCAATTAGTTACAGTAGCAAATATTTTACCTGTTTCTAATGCAGAAGTTGAAAGAGTGTTTTCACAACTTAAATTAATTCTAACAGATAAAAGAAATTCTCTAAAATTTGAAAATATTAATAGATTAATGATATTAAAGTTGAATAATGAGTGTAATTTTGTTGCTGCCGTAAAGAAATGAGGAAGAGATGGTTATTTTCATAAATGATATTTATTTTAATATTTTTAATTAGTTATTCAAATATTTTTCTTAAAAATAACCAAACCTAGTTTTTCTTATAAAAAATATTTTTAATAATTTCAATAAATAAAACCAGATAAAAAAATATAATTTTTTTTTTTTTTTTTAACTTTACACTACAAAATATTACTAAAATATGTTCATTTGAGCAGATCATCATTAAATCTATGTTCTGATAGTTTTTTTTTAATTGGTTAAATGTAATTATTGAAGAACTTTTTATTTTATTTTAACAATATGCTTACGATATAGTTAAAATAAAAAGCATAAATTATAACACACGCTTTATTGAATTTTGTATGTACCTTAAATAACCTTTAAAAATGTTTTTTAATTTGTATGGTATTAAAAACAGTTTTTTTATGAAAATATCTTTAATAATTCAAATTCTTATTTCTTGCATAAATAATTTTTTATTTAATATAATCAGATGAAGAAAAATTATGAAATTTTCGATTTTTTTTTTCCTTTCAATTTTGAATATTATTACAAAATGTGACTACAAAATATGTTAATTTAAGCAGATTTTAGTTTCAGGCTTACCTAAAAAATGGTGGAAATAAAAATAGACCATCATTTCATACATGTTTTGATAGTTTCTTAAATTGGTTTAATATAATATTGAAGGAGAACTGAGTTTCTTAAATAATTGGTTTATATTGTAGGAGAACTGAGTAAGATGCTTTATTGAATTTTTTATGTTATTTTTTTATTTAATCTTTAAAAAGAAATTTTTTTTTCTTGATTTGTTTGGTGTTGAAAACATAAGCTCGTTTGAATTATTATTATTTTATTTAATGTATGTTATTTAATGCTGCATTTTATTATATTGTTATACTACTTAAAGCACCTATGATAAAATTAAGAACTGAAAAGCATTCTTTTAATTATTAAGTCATTACTATAAGCACACATTTGTTACTTTATTAATATATACATGCATATTAAATAAATTAATAAGCTAATTAACTCATTAACTTCATTTATATTTTAATTTATTAATAAAATTTTTCAAATAATATTATTGCTTTGGTATTTTTTGTAAAGTAAAGACAGTTATTTTTTCTTTTACTAATTGACAATGTTTTTTAATAGAATGTATAAAGCCCATGGAAAGAAATTATTGCCTTTTTAGAATAATAATTCCCTTTTTTTAAACTTTTGCACCCTGCCCTTTTTTCTGCCTAGAATGAGCTCTGTAAAGAAAAGCCTGGTTTAAAGCTTTCTATGTGTAACAAACTTTATTTTGGATACATTCTTCAGCAATTTTACATTGGAAAAATAATACAAAAATATTGTGATTTAAACTATTAATCATAGCAACAATTGTTGGGGAAATTTGTTCCTTTTTTTCTGTTAGAAGCTTTAACAGACAAATTAATTGAACCTCAAAATGTTGCTAATGTATCCTGAAATGCCATGCCCCATTCTCTTCGACCATATCATCTTTCATATTGCTAAAACATATTCTTTTCATAATTAGATCACGCATTAGCAACTTTTCCAATTGAGGATAGAATTTTTAAAAGAGTCAAAGAAAGGGTAGGTTTAGCCAGAACAGTTGAAAAACTAGAACATAGACTGAAGAGATTGATGGCTCAAAATCGTTGGTTTGAAAATGCAGCTAAAGAAATGGATGTAGATATTGATGAAGAAAATTTGTATCCTTTATAAGTTATCAGAATATTTTTGGCAAACTTTATGATATCATTCATTATTTTTTATTATTACCTGAATGAATTCATTTTAAAACTTTTAACGATTTACTTTAATATTTTCACTTATTTTCATTTCAAGTATACATTGAATACATCAAGCAGAAATTAAAATCTACATTCTCTTTTGTTATCGTAATATTTCTGAAACTTCCGGAGAAGCTAATTAAAGATATGTTTGTTGGATTGATAAAATTATTTTAAATCTATATGTTTGAAATTGGTCTTGTCTAAGATTTGATTTGCTATTTTTAATTTTAAAAAATTGTCTTTGCCTTAACTTTTTGTAATAGATTAAATGACTTAGGCTCACATTCAAAAGAATTTCACAAACTGAAATCGCTGAAAAAACAATTAAAAGCTGCTCTCCAACAGAATATCAAAGGTTATCTTAGAAATTTTTCCGGTATGATCTCTTTCAGTTATTGTCTCTTAATGTCTAGTTATTGTCTTATTGTATTGTACTCTTAATTTACTGTTTTATTTATCTCTATCTGTGAAACATAAGAGCTGAGTTGGCTCTTGGGCCTTGAGCTGCCAAAAAACGTGCCACATCATGTCCTTGGAGAAATAACATATAATTCTTTAATCTAAAAACAATAGTTTTTATAATTTTTTTTAAGTATAAATTTTACTATTTTAAGTGTGGTTCCATCAATGGATTTAAGATTTTTTTAGAAATCTATTTACAGAGTTTTCACACAAAAAATCTGATTAACCAAACCATCCCTAAAATTTAATTTAAGTTTTTTAAAATTGTGCAGACAGGTTGTGCATGTCCTAAAAACAAAATGAAGCAAAAGAAAAGAAACTCATTTTTAAAGAACAATGCACTTTATTTTAATGACAGATTTTCAATTATTAAAGTTTATATTTTAGCTAAGTTACTTTATATGCATATTCAGCGAGCAGCTTTCATAATGTTTAATACTATTTGACAAAGTTTTGGCCCATAATGAGCAACTTACTATTAAAAAAAGGTGATTTGCCTGGGTAAAATATATTAAAAATGAGTTGGTCTATTTGGTGAGCATCTTTTTTTTTATAACATCTTTTATTTAAGACATCTTTTTTTTTTATAAAAATTATGTGACTGGTCACCAATTATGCAGACAATTGTAATTTATCCAGCTTTCCACATCTTTGAACAATATTTTGGACCATGCTTAAATAGTAAGCTATGTAGCTAATCCAGCTTTTATGTCCAAAACCAAAGGGGTGTATGTAGGTCACCCTGTAAAGATATATATAAGGCATAGTTAATTTATATAGATAACTACTAATTAAAATTACCTGTCTCAATTAGAGGATTTCAAATGTTATTTAATCAAGTTTTGGTCAATTTCAAATCTCTCATTTTATTAAGCTAAACTAAGAAAAAATCCTTGCTTCCTTGTTTTTTTACTTTATCTTAAGATTTTTACTGTAGTAATCAGATTTTAGACTTTAAATCAAATAATAGATGTAACTTTGTAGTAACTTTGGGTGTACACCAGAATTCCGAGTTTTTTCGTATCATTCTTCTGAGTCTAAAAACTAGGAGCAGGGCGTGTGATATTTCCGCAAAAAAAACTTTAGTATCACATTATATATCAATACCATTGTTTTGCCGGCATCAGCGAATCGAAAACTCATAATCCAACGAAATTTTAAGACTTTTGATCTATCCTGTCCATAAAATCGATCATAGTAATTGTTTGACATGTTGTGTATGTGTTGGCCATTATTTAGGGGAAAGACTAACTTTTTTATTTTTTGCTGATTTATGGGAAACTTGAATAACCGGGGCTTGAATTGTTGAGACTCTACTATGTGTATATATGATCATATTTGCTTTTTTTATGTAGGTAATCAAACAGCTGCTGAAGTTTTAAAAAGGAAACAAAAGTAGAATCAACAATTTGTAAATATTGTTAATAAATTGTTCATTTTATTTTTATATTGATGCTTTTCATGTAACATTTTACTATACATTAACCTTCAAAATATTAACTTTTTTATACAAAGTTTTTTTTTTTTTTAAAAATAGAGCTTGTTTCTTTTTACTATAGCCTTGCATACATATATATCAATCTAACTCTTAATTTTTATTTTTGAAAAATGTGATTGGAGGGTTAACATTTTGACCAGATTAGTAACTACCAAAATGTTCCATAATATAAAAATATATCTAAGGTAGAATTATCATCTACTCTGCAGATTTAATATGTGCTTATAAAACTATAAAGAATACATCGCACTACTTCATGAAAATCTGATTATTACATTAAAAGTTATTTGGGGTCTGATTTATTTTCTGCACTGTAAAACATGCTTAATAGTAAAGATTAAGTAAGGGCAATTTCGATCTCAAATACAACATTGAAAACACTGCACACAAGGTGATTAATGTATACAATTTATGTGATTACTACTTTTATATTTTAAATTTGTGGAAAATATTTATTTCATAGATAAAAATAGTTATATTTTGTGAATTACAATTAGGGAGGTGGGTAGATTTGTCTCTTTTCAAACATTTGGAATACCCAAATATGAATCTTGATAAATCCTATAATTTCCTGTGAATGTATTTGTAGAAATTTCTCACGGTAATTGAAATGAAATTTTGCAAGAGAAGAGGAAATTTTTCTTTCTAGTGTTAATACATATTGATTAGTATATTTTTCATAATGATCTAATAATTCATACACTATTTTGATTGAAACAAATTTCTTAACGTAAAAACTTCTTTATTATGAATAATTTTACAGAGATATATCATTATTTAATAAGGAATACTATTTATACTTTACTAAACAGCACAAACTAATTGAGAAAAGTCAATTTCTTTTATTTTACATATTCACAAAAGTATAAAAAGATTTTACAAAACAGTTTCACTTAAATTGATGAGTTTGACTTATAAAAACAGTTTTTAATTGAAATATAAAATTATGCAATTTTTAAAAATTACTAAAACAGAAGCTCTTTTATACAAACATTGATATGCTGAATAAAGCACATTTACAAGTATAGCTTTTCTTAAAAATACATTCATAGCTAAATAAAGTGAAAAGTAAACCAAAATCAATTCAAACAAAATATTATATTATATTGATAAGTAGAATTTCAAAAAATATTTTAACAGAAGTACTTTTTTATAAAAGATTATTCTAATCTATTTCTACTGATAGTGTATAGAGTAATATGGGTACTAATTATTTGTAAATTGGAATTTTCGTGAACATGAACTAAATATAAATTTAGGCTGTACTATCAATGAAAAGCTGTATACCATACAATATCTATTTTAATTTTGTATTAAAAAAAACTTTAAAGATAAGCATGCTTTTAGTCTCCATGTTAGTGGCATAACTTGATCATTTTTTGGGCTTGCTACTAAATTTATGACGATAGATTTTTTATTCACATTATTGACTATAGTATTGTTTTTCTTGATAACTGAACAGCTTCTGAGTGATTAATCGAAGCTTGATGGATATAAAATAGTTAAAGAAAGAAATGCCAAATAGTGATTTTAAAGAACTAGTTTTTAGTACTCTCTATTCATATTAATTTTAGTGTATTTTTCTACAATTCATCCTCAAAAAAAAAAAAATTAGTTTAGTTACATTTGCTTGCTATGCAAATTTAATACAAATGTTCAAATTTTATATCTATTTCATGTTTTATTTGTAAGACAAAGTTCAGGGCTGATTGTGCTCCGGATTTCCGGATATTTCGCTAACCGTTATCCGGAAGTTTCCGGAGATCGAAGGTTTAGATGTTTCAAAAAATCATTGATATCACAAAAGTTTTCGGAAATCAAATTTTCAAAGTTGGAACTTAAAAATACCGTTTATTTTATTTGTTTATAAGGAGAGCTACTTTATAAGCTTATATTTAAGATTAATATTCATTTTTTATCAGTAAATAGTAATCATAAACTCAAGAAAGAAAGACATATTTGTAAATTTCAATTACTTCTCCAGGTAAAATTTTAAATATAATTTAAGTAAACTAAGAAATATTGAGAAAAAGGAAAAACCTTGTTTAAATTTTTTTCAATTTAAACTTTCTTTTTACTCAAAAAGTTTTCCGGAATTTTGACTTGGGCTCACTATCACCCCTGATAGTTTAAACAAAACTAGGTTATTATGGAGAGAAAGAAGTTCTTAAAATCAAATAAGAAATATAAAAGTAAATGATTATAATATAAATATTCTATTACTGCTTGCTAAAATTTTGTTATCAGACTGCACTAACTATATACAAACTTTGCTGGTTGTATGAGGATAGTATCTTAATTTTACACTCCTATTTAAACCTTAAAATTCATTAGCTCTTTTAATGTTCATAATCTTACTTACAACCTAAATAAAATTAACACTGCAGTAACATTAAGCTATATTATTAACATATTTTAACATGAAAATAATTTACATATTTCAATGCTTTTATTAGACGGAAAGAACTATATACATTTCTTTATTAAAAAGTTTTTTTATACTTTAATTTCAATTGCAACAGCCTTATATTTCGTCTATCTATTTATATCTAACAGTAAGGACCTTTTAAAATGTATAGGCAGTATATAAGTGCATGTCTAACTTTTGTGTTTTTAATGGCATTAAATCAACAAATTAAAGAATATATCAACATTAAATGCACAGTGTATATATTTCCTTTATGAGTCTAATTCATTGTAAAATTATTATTTAGCAACATTTTATATGTATTATAAATATTAATTTATTTTACAACTGTAGTAAAATTTAATTTATACATTTAAATAGATAAGAAATGATATCTACAACAACAATAGTAATCATTTTAGCACTGAAACCTCAACTTATGAACAATCCAATATTATAAGCTTTCATTCTAATTTGAAATTTTTTCAGGGATAAGATTTACTAAGCAAATTACTGAGGCATATGAAGATGGTCAAAATTATGTTTATTTTCTCTTAATATGTGTTCAATCAACTAAAGTAGTGGTTTCGTATAAGTTGTAATTTTTTAGATTATAATCATCCTTCTTGAAGTGCATACATTCATACAGGACCAGCTATATCAAAATAAATTCATAAGTTGAGGTCACAATTAACAAATTATTTTCTATGGCAGGATTGCAACTAAAATAAAAAACATTTGAAACATTAAATATTTAAGTAACAACTATGCTAATAAAAGCATTTATTGTAAGTTATAAAAATAATCAGTATTTTTAAATATGCTAATTCAATTGACATTTGGCACAATAAATACCACACAACCAGTTCATAGAGCAACAAATTCATAAGCAACCAACAATCTTGGGAATGTCCTTATATTTGAAACAAGCCTTAACACATTCAGTATAATTAATTTTTTCTGGTTTAATTGCATATTTGTTTTTAATATTGACTAATGGAATTCATCGATTGACCCATCTAGTTGTGTCATCTTCCCATTCTATACCATCAGGATGAGAAGGATAAGTACCATTCATAGGCAATGAACTCTCATCTTCGTATATATCCTATATAATACATAATAAATATAATTGCAACGTATACAAGGTGGCAAGCATTTTGATATGTAATCTGTTTGTTTTCTTTAATTTTCAGTAATACAGCTTTTTTAAGGCATTAAAATGGTGTTACTACATTTAGGGGGTCATATTGATACATATCACCCATCTCAAATCCCTCTTGCTTATTCTTCCAAAATGTAGTGTGAAACACAGCCATCAAGATAAATAAGAATAACATCTACACAAAAACTAGAAAGATAATCTCAAAACCAGGGTTTCCTTTCTTTCAATGTTTCAATATCATTAAAAACAAAAATCCTTTTTTTTTTTTTTTTTTTAAAATATACATATATACAGTAATTTAAAGGTTAAACATTTATTGTTTTACCTAATTCTCTCCTCTTTAGTCTATGCACTTTGTAAATAGAGGCCATTTTCCGATATCAATGCCATATCATATCCTTAAAAAGGTGTTAAAAATTCAACTTTCAGGTGGTGGCCACTGGGTGCCAAGTTCAGATTATAGGGTGCATTATCATGGAGACTACTTACACTCTTGCATTCTTTTTTGTGTTTGAAATTCCCATCTGAGTTATATCAGTGTTTTTTATAATCTGTCTGAATTTATTGTCCCAGCAGACATAATATCAAATTACTCCAATTATAAATGCTTCTGTTACAAGGAAAAGGTGAAAAATGAGGCTTGAATACATAATGCGGAACTAGTATGACATGGACACTGGGTAAAGAGTGGCAATTTAGATAAATGTTCAATCTTTTAAATAATGCTAACAGTATAAGAACTAATGAATTGTTGTATTTCCAAAAAATAGGAGACTTTTTTTTTACATTCTAATTTCATTTGATTTTGAATCTTATTAACATATTTGGTGTCAACTATTTTTTCTTATTTAAAAAAAAAATCTTCGTTAAAAGAGTTAAAAATAATAATAAACTTTAATGTAATCGTATTCTAACTAGAGATATCGAACAAAAAAAATTATTGTAATTTTAGTTCAATAACTGTCTTCAGCTGTCTAATTTTTTATTCACTAAGTACATCTGCCACCTTTCATTATAAATGCTCCATCACTGACCAAGTCGACTCTGAAGTGAAAAAGGACTATGTCCTATAAATCATTTTAATGTTCTATAAGTATAACACCAAATTCAACTGTTTAAAAATTGAAACACATTATACTTTTGTCAAACAATATAAATATGCTAAATCTATATGCTAATTATGCTATGTCAAAAAATAATTATGCTAACTATGTTTTATAAGGAAATGCATTGCAAAAATGTATTTAAATATGGTTAAAATTATCATTAATAGATTATTAAATCATTAATAGATATATATACTATTATATCTCTAGTAAATGAATATTTTAGCTCCATAATGTTATAACAAGGCAGAAAATCAGATATGAAGCTTTAACTTGAAAAGTTGAGGTTGTTCCCTTTGAAGGCAAAGCTAAATTCATTTTACGAATTTTTTAAAATTTATTTTAAGATGCTTAGAAAGAATTATTGAATCTATTAATTTTAACGTATCTTTAATAATCCTTCACAGAAAAATGGCTCTGATAGGGATTAATGTGATCATGCTCATAACCTACTGAATTAGGAAGTTACATGGAAGTAAGGCTTTTATCTAATATTTTCAAATAACTTACAGTAGAATCCAATAAATAGGAATTAGGATATCCAATTTGGTAGTCTATTCCATTAACTGCACCAGGCCATGTGTCATTTTCATAGGCACCATTAATATCAGATTCCATACCTAAAATAATTGTAGAACAAGTTTATTAATTTCAATGTATTATATTTTATAATTGTCCAAGATCCTTAATAATTTTCTAGATTTAACTAATTTTAAATCCAAACATACAAGTTAAAAAACACAATTTATATTATAAATTATTATTTTTACAATTATTCTTTTAATATTACTTACATTGGATACATTGTATGCCAGAAGATTTTGATTAATTTGGTACAAGGAAATTATACTTAAATAGATAAAGCTTTAGAGAATTGCAACAAAAGTTTGTGAAGGGTGTTGCAAAGCATGCTTTTTGATTTCTTACTTTAAATATTAAAACAAAATTTGTGAGGGAAAAAATAATTTAGTCAACCTCATTTTAGACAGACTAAGAGAGACATGAGAACTAAGAGACAGACAATACACTCACTAATTCAGTGTTCTTAATAAACCCAAGTCAGACAATATTTGAAACTATAATTTATAAAAAAATTTGAACTAGAAAATGTTTATAAACAGCTTTTTATGATTTTTTATTTAAAGTTAAAATAGCTTTTTTTATCACACCTTGGAAGTTGACTGACACACAATACACATGGCAGGAAATACATTATCACAAATGCCTATTGACTCTAGAAAATTTTTCAATTCTTGGCCAACTCCACACTGTGTTCAGTAACAGTAATTAAAAAATTTCATTCGGACATCAATGAAAATTGTTCAATTTCTTGGCAAACTCCACATGTGTTCAGTGATAGTAATTTAATAGTTTCATTCCCGTCAATGTAATCATTTTACAAATATTTGTTAAAAAAACAGATATCTATTCAATGATTTTCATAGCAGCAATCTGCTTATTACAACTGTGTGATTCATTGAAGACATGTGAGGAACTTCATATTGTTCCTTTCATGTTCATTAACATACAATAATCAAACTAAAAGGGTGCTTTAAATCTTCTTGAAGAGAATGAAATTTTTCACAGCCCCCCCCCCCTTTTTTTTTGACAATCTTAATGAAATAATTTTCAAGTTTTGGAAAAATCCTTATATAAATGCAAATTATGTTCATGACAGGATGTTTTATATGCTTTTCAACATTCCAGCATTTGTTATAAATTTCCTCATTAAATCAGGCTTCAATAAATGAGTTTCACAGATGTATTGCGTCCTTAACATTGATTAGATCCAATATTTTGATTAATTATGTGACAAAAATATTAATAAAATTTTCTATCCAACAAATGTTAATAGATCCTAACAATTAAGATAATTTATTTCATATAGGAGTTAAGTTACTTACCATCAATGAATGGATTTCTGACGCTATAGTCTAATTCATCATCATCGCACCCTAAAAATATCAATTTTTAAGTAAACTCAACAATCAAATCATGATACTTAAACTAATTGGTAGATTGTTCATTGTGTATGCAAAGGAAATTCAACTTTTTTACCAAAAGATGAATTGAAAAATGAAAATTGTGACTATTTGAATGATAATAAAAAAAATGAAAAATAAAAATTTTGTCGATAGACTCGTGTGTTTTTAAAATATTAACAATAAAAAATTTGCAGAAATTTATGTTACCTGTATGAAATTTTTATTGTTTCATAATTAACTTTTTTTTTTCAAATCTCTCCATTTACATAAACTTTATCAACATAAAAGTATATTGTAATTTAATTTTTTAATAATTAAATACATAAATTTTTGAACACTTTAAATAATACAAATACCATTAAACCACTTAAAGTAATTTAAGAAATAACTTCATTCATAGGGCATTAATTAAGAAATTAAACTTATGCATAGAACTTTCCCGAATATATTTGACTCACAAGTACATTAATTTTATTATTCAAAAATGTTAAATATTTATGATTAAAAGAAATTATATTTAATTAATTAATTGTACTTTCAGCAATACAGTACCAAGTAACATTTTTGATATATTTTTCACTATGTTAAATGTGGGGTTTTCGAGGAATGAACAGTTTTTTATATGATTGAAATATTTAATAATAAAATGAATTTACATATATGATGAAATGTTTATGAAAGTAGAAAAATATGGGCCGCCTGCCCTGTCATCATAAGCAAGAATATGGGCCGTCTGCCCCGTTTTCACAAACATAAGCCCCGGCTGGGCTATGAAGTTAATTCTACTAGCAACAAACGAAAATCGTTTCTTTTGATTAAAAAAAGGAATGGTGATGGAGCGGGGGAAGTTGTGGCACTGGAAGAAGGGACGAGAGGCAGTTCTTTTCCTCATTCTTCATAAATATTTTAAGTAAGCTATTTTTGTATAAAATTGAAATTTTTGGCTTAAATATTTTATTTAAATAATTTTAATACTGATACTAATTTATTTGGAAGACGCCTATAGAGATTTTTTAAAAAAAACTCAATAATTAACTTTTGGAGAGTTTTTTTTTTCCATAGTAAACCAGATTTTTTTTTTTTTTTTACCATTATTTGAGAATTCCCCCAAATTGATTCTTTCATTTGCCTATCTGTGAATAAACCAGTTTATTGACCGATTAAAAAAGACTATAATCAAAATTATCTGTACATAAAAGATAAATTATTTTCTGAAACAGTTATAATAACATTTTAAATTTAAAAAATCTTCAGATTATTCACCAATGTTAAGTTGCTTCACAAGTGATGACATAGCATTTGTAACTGAATCTGCAGCAACAAGTAGGTCATTTTGTAGACTTCTAGTACTAGCAGCTTGTCCAAAAGCTAATCGCACATCACCTCCAAGTCCAATTAATGGATCAGTATATGGGCACCCACTTCCAGGAGTTGCTGGAGCACTCATTGAAGACAACGGGTACAAAGGAATAGGTGATACAGATAAAGGATAAAGCGGTGAACTATTGGGTGAAGATAAGGGAGAATGGTCCTGCAACAATAATGATTATATTTATTGAACTAAAAGTTACCTATCACAAGCTTAAGATCTTAAATTTATTTTTACAAGGGTTCTTAATTTGTTTTTAATGACACAGTGAAGTTTACATTGATTACATTAAAGTAAAGTAGTTGATTACATTAATTTACACCTACAGCAGCCCAAAGTGGACCAGAAGAATTATGGAGGTTAAAGCCTCAATGTCATGACGGTGGCAATATGAATAGTAATTTGTGCAAGCTACCTTTATTTCCCAGACAAGCTGATACTGTGGGAGCAGAGTTATCGACAATGCCAACCTTCATCTTTCAAAAGGTACCTCGTAATTGAATCAAGTTAGCATGTCTTATATACCAGTGAATTGATGTTTAATAATCGTAGTGGTAGTTACGCCACAATACTCCCCCACCAGAGTTTTATCGGGGATAGAATTCGATGAACAGATACCACTAGTTGCTGTATTTGTGAAAGACCGGGAGAGCTGGATTTAAGGTCACCGGGTTTTTGAGTGCTGAATGTGAGGGGTGTATTAACTTCACAGTCGTAGTCGCTCCGGTGTTGCCATTAGCAGTCGAGTGTATGCAGGCAGAGGTTGTGTTTAATCGAGACGAGACTGAGTAGCAACAGCGTGAGGAGGTGGATAATGTCGCAGTCACAAGTAGCAAGTCAATTGTTCGATGTGGACCTTCCATCAAAGTAGGCGTTACCAGATCGAAGTGGCGATACTGCGTGTTCAAATCATGTCCGGGTCACCAATGTGGGGGCGGAGTTATCGACAATGCCAACCTTCATCTATCAAAAGGTACCTCGTGATTGAATCAAGTGAGCATGTCTTAAATACCAGTGAATTGATGTTTAATAATCGTAGTGGTAGTTACGCCACAATACCAATTGAACTAAAGCTGCTTGAATACAACGGAATCCCCTATTATCTGAAAACTCTTCCCAATTTAAATCTTAATATAGCTAAGAAATATATTAGCGAATTTATTCAATTTTTTTTTACTCGTATCATGGTTTTCCGCAGTTGTAATTATACAAATTGTCTGAGATTCAAAACTTGGCTAAATACAAATCATGATGGGTGGTTTCTAAATTGGTCAAATATAAATTACAATATAAGATTGGTAAAGTGCAAAAGTATGTATAGTGATGTGTCATTACAAATCAAATGATTGTGATTAGCGTAGTCTGATTTGTTAGGCCCACAGTTTATCAATGCAGTGCTACACACATAGTGTGTCCAGTCGAATAACCTAGTGCAAAAGCATCTCAATAAGAGATCTATATGCTTACAAACTAGACCAAAATGTTTGGTAATATAAGCTAGTATAAAAATACCACAACTGGAGATTTCTCTTCCTGTTAAGTAGACTAACAGTGCCCAGTCAAGTCAAAGTCTAGAAAGGAAAATAGCTAATATTCAAAAATATTAGCATCTTCTTTGGAGAAAAAAATTTTAGTTCATTTTTTAAAAACAGGTCCCTTACCTTTAACATTCTCATCAGCACTTCTAGTTGCAAGACCAGATCTCTTCTACTTTCTTGCAAACTCGATAAATGCCGTTCTAAGTCGTGCTTTCTCATTCGAAGGGCTCGTAATTCTGTTAAAAGTGTTGGTTTCCTATCAGATCTTAAAGCTTCATCTTCTTCTTCTTGTTGTTTTCTTAATCGTATTATTTCTCTCATAATTTCTCTGTTAAAATGAAAATAAGCTTTACAATTGTGAAAAGCAATTGTTATTCAAAAGGTTATACTTTGTAGTAACTGGAGCACTAACAAATCAAACTACAATTCTTAATAACTTGGATAATAGTTTTATATTAAAAAAGTATGAAATTATTAATAGTGACATAGTATAAAGAAAAAAAATCAATAATATGGAAACAATTTATTGATACTTAGAGTTGTATCAAAACTAAATTTTGATTTATGTTTTGCTTTACTGTTAGAAATTATAGTTTTAAATTATTATTGTTATTAGTTTATTAACATAATTATAGATATTGGTGTGAGCCATTGTGAATAATATATAAATAACTGTAGTTGGCAAAAGCAATTGTTCAAAAAGACATATTTCATAAATAAGTTTTATTTTATTATAGTTTGACTAAGTCAGAATTTTAGCTTTTAATCTGAAGAAAATTTACTTAGCAAATATATTTACCTTAGGAATGGGGTAAAAGCAAAATAAAAATATTTATTTTCTATAGGTATATGTTTTTATTATTTTCTAATATTATTTTAAGTTCAATTTGCCATATAAGTTGTTGAATTGTTAAATAAAACAGAAGTATTAAGTGTAATTGAAATATAAATCATGGGAATAAATTAATAATTTTTTCAACATTATCAAATTAAAATATTGGTCCCAGTTCATAGTATCCAAAAGAAATATTGATACTTTTTCAATGTCACTAGATATGAAAGCCTTTAGTCAGTAATTAGTTAACGATTTTCTTGTAATAAACACTCTGTCAGGTCCACTGTCTAAAAGCATCAGAATTAACATAACTAACGCTCTTTAAGCAACATGCATGAACACAATTATCAAGTAAATGTATTTCTTTTTCTGATAAAAAAAAATTAAGAGAAAAAATTTTCATAATTAAAAAAAAAAAACGAAATTACGTTTAATTGAGTTGAATACAGTAAATTACATAACTTAACATAATCATTCTTATATGTTATTTTAATATTACTTAACAAAATTTTTTTTTACTTAATTTTAACTCTTCTAGAAAAAGTATTGGCTAAAAAAATTATTAGTTTTTTTTTTTTCCTTTAAAGAATTGCAGTGAAAAGTTAAATTATTCTTTTTAAAGTGTAGCATATTTTCTGATAAATGTTATTATAAAACAATAAAAATAGCAATTTTATTTATGTAAACAGAAATATATTGCATGCAAACACAAATTAAGAATCAAATTAAACTAACTTTTATTGTGAAGTACTTATTATTATACCAATAAAAAAATTTTAATAATTTTATTATAACACTTTAATTGAGTAAACTAACAAGCACACTAAGAATTTAGAAATCCAATCAATATGTATTTTTATTTACCTATTCTTTGCTTCTAGTTTGGAAATGAGTTCTCTCTGCCTTGCAGTGTCTGAAGGCAAATTGAGTTCGGATGCATAACGTCCCTAAAAAAAATATTCTTTTAATTCACAAATACTGCAGAAACTGATTTTACAGTTCTTTTGTTAGAACTTATAAAAGTGTAATAGATAAAGCCCTATAAATATAACAAAAATATTTTTAAAATTATAAGACCAGGATGTAAGTATTTAAAATTATGCTGATGACCTAGAAAACGACTTGAAACCAGAAAAAATTAAACTTGAAAGAAAAACATTTTTTTTTCTTGTTTTAATAACAATTAGTAACAATCTTGTTTAAATAACAATTAGTTAATACAGTTAAGTTATATTTAAACTTATAAACAGGTTTAAATATTCATAAAGAAAGTAGGTACTAAAACTAATTAACATATTTTTTTAATATTAAAAACAAAAAATTGCTCGCCAAAAAAGTTAAAAATAGTTCAATAATATAAATATAGTAAATACTGTTAAGTCAGTGTGGTGGATTTATTATTTTTCTCTTGGTTTCTCATTGGACTGCACTTTCTCTGCTCAAGTACTGGAGGGCCACTGAGCCTAAAAAAGTTACTGAGTATAATATGGAGATCAAGGAATAACTGGCACGATCTGCCCTCTAAACTAAATTGTAGTAGTGAATTGTGCTCATGCACTGGTATTGTCTTCAGATCATCATTAAGGATGGGTCCTGGACCATCACCAATAACTCAATAATGTACCTAAATTTTTTTTAAATAAATTTCACTGAATGTAATTGATTTGCCATTGCAATTAATATTTTATAAGGTCAAAATTGTTTCTCCATTGAATAACATTGACAAACTATTCTGTTTTTACAGTAAGAAAACATGCCGCAAACAGTAAGATTTCTGTAATTTTATGAATGTGCATTATCTTAATCTGAGCTCAATCTTTTAATTGAACTTATGCATAAGAACAAAATTATGTATTTTTAACAGAAATAAATGGAAACTGTTATTTTGGATTCTAAAATTAAATATAAATAAGTAATTAATCCAGCTCTTTGTAAAACAAAATATTATTTTCAAGTAAATTTTGTTATTTTACTTCATGCAAATTATAATATATTTTTCTTTTGATATTAAAATATATATACATACATATAAATAATTGTAATTAAATAAAAGCCACATATTTAATACTAAATACTCCTAAGATGCAAAAACTATCATTTTAAAACTAAATTTACGGCTTAAAAAAATAAAAAATGTTTCATACCCTTCTGTTAGCATACAATCGATTACTATAATTTGAAATCAACATGTGTTCATCTTCTCTAGCGTAATGGTCATAGTTCGATTTTCCATGAGAACTAGAGAAAGAAAAAGTTTAATGTTATATCATTATTATTATTATTCTAATTGTATTTTGTGATAATTACCTTTTGAGGGCACTTTTTGTTTGATAACTGGTGTTAAAAGCATCCATTGTGCTATTGTAAGCATTGGCAGGTGGGGCTGATCTAATAATATAAAAGTAAGGATAATGAGTATTTAAAAATCTACTGTTAAAAAACTTATCCATTATTGCTACTTTCGTTTATCTGTATTTTAAAAAACAACATTTCACTAAACAAATTCAGCATATTACAAAGGTGGCACAATGTAATACAGATGAAGATTTATATATTGGAATTCTATAAATCACAATTCTCTATAAAACCACTCTTAGTGGGTGTAAACAATAAAATTTGCAGCTAAGAAATTTCTATAACTAAGTAAAAACTATTAACTTTTTACGTTATTTGCTAAGAGTTTAAATTTCAAAAGCTAAACAAACCAAAACTGATTGATTTGTTTGTTACTAGTTTGCTAAGAGGTTTAAATTTCGAAAGCTAAACACACCAAAATTGATTAATTTATTTGTCACTACTTCTAATGCTACAGAAAATTTCAACTTTTTCTGTAAATAATAAACACTTAAGTGCATATTTTGTGTTTTTATGTATTTATAACAAAAAAATTTTAAAGCATTTTTAAATAGATCTGTTCTATACTAATATTGGCATATTTAGTTGACAAGTTTAAAAATAAGTGAAATAATCTATATAACAAAATACAAATTTCAATGTTTATGTTAGAAAGATCTATAATATACTTTTATTTTTCCTCTCAAATTAATTTCATTTAAACTTTCTTTTATTAAACTAAAAACATAGGTAAATACAAAAATGGTAGTATAACTATATTGATAGAAAAACCGGTTTTATGCATGTAAAGTCTAAGTTTCTCAAATCCTGAATTTTATAAAACTTATGATTTAATTCTAAGATTATATAATTTATAATTTGAAAATTTTTACGCTAAAAATGTATTAAAAATAAGTTCCTGTATTTTCTCAATCAAGATGTACATGAAATAGTAGTTGAAAAGAAAGAAGAAAAAGTTGAGAAATTACAGTGCTTGATGAGCTTTAGTATTTCGTGCAAATTCATCTTGATGATATGATTCCATATTTGTGGGCTTGTCAGGAATGCAAAGAACTGATTTTTTAAGGGAATGTCCAAGTTGTTTACTTGGAGTTTTCTGTGGAAAAATTGGCAACTATAAGAAATTTTCGATGCAATGATAAAAGAACAAATTTATTTTTCAATTTCAAACAATTTATAAAAAATAGATATTTCATTTTACAATGTCTATAGCAGTTTTATCAAAACCCTCAATTAAATTAAATGTTTTGCACTATCACATTTAAATGAATTATAAACAATTTCATAAAAATATTATAAAGATATTCAATACAATTTTGCATTCATCTTCCCTATTTCAAAAAAAAATTGTTAAAGAGCAACCTGCATTTTTTATATGAAATATAAATTGAAAAAAAAAAAACTTAAACTGAATGCAACAAATTGTCTAACAACAATTTATAATCTATAAAGTTACTTAATGTATGCCTTAAGCAAAAAAAAATCAATAAAATTAGAAAATGAATCTGAAAATGTACTACTTATAAAATTATTAACTTATAAAACTAAAAAAAATTTTAGAGTATTTTTCAATATTACAGTGCATATTAGAAGCATTTTTTCGGTATGAAATGTAGTTTGTAGGTTGGGAAAATATTGCTTCCAGTTTGAATAACTTTTTTTTATAATCTGTAAATTTAGAATTTATTGATAGTTCATTAAAGTAGAGTAGGATAGCTAAACAAAATTAAATAAAAAAGATTAGTAAAGCCTCATTTTAAACACATTAATTCAAAGCAGATTGTCTTAGAGAAAAGAAAAACATTTTTTATCCCTTACTATTATATTTTGATATTGGCTCAAACTGCTTTCAAAACCTAATTAAAATGACTCAAATACAGTATACAAAAATAATAATGACCTTAAATAATTTTTAAAACTATGTTTATTGGCAATAACATCTTAATATAATTTTGACTTTAAAGTTGTTTGCTAAGAGAAAAATATTAGATTTTCCAATTAGAAAGAAAGAGACAAAAGCATAGCCTCATTTTGAAGTAAAAAATTTATACAAGCTCAAATTATTTTTCATTTAATTAACTAAATTGTATATACTTTATAAAAAGCAAGATACTTACATAACTGGTATACTCTTTCATTTCATGTTGATTAGTGTGATTACCAGACACTCTGCAACGCCAGAAGCAGTCTTGGCATAATTGATAATTATAACACCTTTGACATTTATATCGAAATCCCACAAAAGATTCTTTATTACAACCTTCACATTGCACTGTATGTAGCACTTAAAAACAACAATACATTTTTTCATTTATAGTTTAATAAACATAGAATTAAGCATGCATAAAACATAAGAATATATTTTTTGTTTGAATAATTACGATTTTTACAAACATATACAATGAATAGTAACCACAATAAATGTTTTTGTCTTGTAGGAAATTAACTTTCATATTTTTATAAAAGAAGATACTATTGGTTTATGTACTCAAAAAAATATTAAATTTTTTAAACGTAGAGTGAATTTTTTTTCAGATTGGTATGAAAATATACCAAAAAAATTTTTTTTAAAAGACTTATGTCTATATAGACCAAATCCCATAGTTACAGATAACTTGAAAAAGACTTAACCGTATATCCCGGTGTATAAATCAACCTTCTATTAATTATGAGATAGCAAAATTCTGGTTTCTGTGCTCCTCTCATAGAGGTTCTGCCTCAAATAATACTATTCAAATTTTATTGTAAAATCTTTTAAAAAAAGTGTAGAATTTTAAATTCTTTGTATGGGAGTGAAGACTATTTTTTGTGGGGCATGGTAGATGAGGATCCAAATGACGACATTTCTGTCGTTATTGAATCCAATACAGATGACGTTCTGTAATCTTTAAATTAGAAGTTTTATGGTATGTGATAAAAGTTTTCATTGCATTATATTTTTGAATAAATTATTTTAACTTTTCCTATTCTTGATTTTATTCCTGAAAATAATTTAAAGTATTGTTTTTTAAAAAAACTTTGTATGTAAAGAGAGTTTGATGAGAGAATAATGCAAAATTAATGATATATAACATATTAAAAATAGCTTTTTAAAGAAGTAAATCAATACAGAGTTATTCAAATTTATCTCATTGTTTATAAAGCGTTGTTATTTCACGATTATCAAATATTTAAATTTTTTACTGGTGCATAAATCAACCTTGGTTTATTCATTTAATTAATATTTCTAGAACTTCACGTTTGGAGACTCTCAATTTAGTACAGGATTTATGAAAGTATATATAATCATAGCTATATGTTTTCAATTATTGTTTAAAAAATAGCTTGATAGAAATAACTTCATCAAATATAGCTCCCAAAGTTAACAAGCAAAATTCTAAAGTATCTAACGTCAAACGATTAATTTCCCTTCTTACAATTTGAAATATTATTAGAAAATACTGTTACAGGGTTGCCACTCAAATCTGGAGAGAAAAAATTCCCCGTGTTTTCCCTGTGCATATTATACACAATATATTAAGAGGAAACAACAATTACTGTGCTCTTGTGTGAGCTATATTGGACTAACTATATTTATTAGTTTTAATTGCTGGAAAAACAGTTTAACATATTTAAATAATGTGATAGTAAGTTAAATAGTTTAGTATTGCTGAAATATCATGGTTAAATATCCCATAGATTACGCTTTAAGTGGTCACCATTTTTTAAAAGACAAAAATAAGAAACAAAATTCCCTGTATTTATTCGCCATTTATTTATCTATTTTAAATCTATCTTTTCAGGGACTAAATTAACTTTTATTTACCCTACTATTATAGCAAGACACAGTATGCCCCTAAGAAAGGTTTCGCTAAACAACAAAAATTTTTAACTATCGGAGGAAAGATTCTATTATAATCTAGCAGAAAGTAGTTTTCAAAATATTAGAAACTGATAATTGTATTATATGAATAATTTTAAATAAATTCTTTTGGAAGAGTTTTGGAACAGTTTAACTTACAATTAAGCACAGTTATAGCACTGAATATAGTCTTTTATTAAGCATTAAAAAATTTATTACATAAATTTAATAAAAAAAACAATACTGAAAATTTAAACACCACACTGAAATTCAACTAATTTCAAATATATATATATATACATACCATTTTCAACACTAGCCATTCGATGAATTAGAGGGAACCACATAAGACACTGAGGACCAGGATCAGATAAAAGAATATCTAAAAAATCATTCACTGTAATAGTAGATTGCTAGAAAATAAATAGTAATCTGATTAAATATATAGATAAATTAAAATATTTTGAAGAGCAAACTCACTAAAAAAATTATGAGATTCATAGGAACATGACATGTTGCAAGTAAAGTTTTACGCCAAAATCATATAAAGTAACAATTCTGATCCATATGATTTAATCTTAATAAAATCGAGATTTTTATTTCGAGAAATTATTTTCAGGTTAATTAATTATAAGCATGAGCTTTAAAAATTGACTAAGAAGACTTTAAAAATTGACTAAGTAGAACTTGATTGGTAGTTTTAACTAATGGCTTTTCATAAAAATTCACGCATTAAAATGACAATATTAAATTTTTATATAACTATATATATATATATAAGGCTTTTTAACAATACTAGTTCACATGATTTCAAATAATTCTTTAGTTTAATTTAGATAACAAAGAAATTTGAAGCAAAAAAGGTTATTTTTAATTGGTCTTGAGTGACTGGTAGATTTAAGTTTATATAGTGCATTTAAAAAATAATCTAATAAACATAAAAGATAATTTCACAAAATAAAAAAATACATTTTTTAAAAAAATGTGAAAATAGTTAGAATCATTGTATTTATAGATCTTATCACTAATAGCATCATTGTTTAAAACTTTCTACTTAGACAGTTTTAACTACAGAACCCAAACTCAATTTGGACAAAACATCACTTCTTTCCTTAATATCAAAAGAAAAGAAAAAACTGGTTTTCTTATCCATTTAAAGTTAAGAGTCACCTAAGAGTTTCTCATAGAATATATTATGAAAGAATAGGCTTTATAAATTATGTTTCTTGGACAAATTACTTTTTAGTAACATATTTTCATTCTTTTTTGCATCAGACATTAATGACACCCAATGCATATATGAACATGATTTTAAATTACTACAGAATTGTGTTTTACAATGAAATTGTGTTCCTCACTAAAAAAATTATCTTACATTATTTAACTTAATTATATTTGTATAACACAAAATGTTTGATTGACAATATGTGGAAGCATCATAATTAAAACAATGTTAAAACTTTTCAAGACTAAATATGAATTTTTATTGTTACATTTGTAATGATTTTTGTAGTAACAAAATAGTTTCTATTGCTCGATTTTCAGATCTTTAAATAAACATATATGATAAAAAATGCTTTAAAATTAAGATATGAGAAAAAGACATATAATTCTTATCACTACTCATATTTATAAGAATAATAGGAATATAAATAAGAAGCCTGCTAAGCGTGTAATTGGTAACTTCTTTTGGCAATTTTGAAAAAAATAAAAATTCTAACCAATAATAATACAAAGAAAAATCAATTTATATGAAACAAGGTACATGGTTCTGTTCCAAGCTGAGTTTGGGTCATATGTTTCACAATTTTTTTTTTTTACTAACTGCCTCTAACAACATAAATGTGACAATGAATGAAGTAGGACACATAAACATATGACACATAAAGGCACACTTCAAAATTGTAGAAAATAAAAATAAACAATAAATGCAAACAAATACCTACACAACGTAAAACAACATCAACTAAACACTTTCAATAACTAGAATATCAATGTCCTAAAATAAAAGGAAATTAAAATTTTAAAAAAACTACAAAAATAATAAAAACTGAAAAAAAATTCAATAATAAAAATTTCTAAAAAATTAAACCTGAATAGAATGCCTTTTAGATGTAAAAAGAAGAGCTAAAATTAAAAGCTATATATTTACCCCATCAAAAATAGTACGAGGTAAACTATCAGTAAAAAAGAATGAAGGAGATTCATAAACAGAACATGGCAACCCCATCGCTTCCTTTAAAAAATCAGCAAATTTGCTGAAAACCATGTTGCCATTTATATCAGATATGAGTGAAAATATATCTAAAATAGAAAAAAAAGCAAGATTATTATAAATAAATATTACACACAAATCAAGCAAACTTGTTTTAAATTATATCTTCATGATTTACAATAATTTCTTAGTTTAAGACTATTATAAACTGTGTTTATAAATAATTCTATTATATTCATTGAACATTGGTTTTGGTATCAGAGATTCATAAATTTGAAATGTTTTTTTTTTCATTCATAGCAGCATTATTATCATGAAGTAAAACATCAGGAATATTTGGAAACATAAAATTATAAATATACCTTTCTTCAATATAAATCATATGCATAACGAAATTTCAATACATATAGAATATATTAAACATAAACTAATCAGTGTTTCTATCATTTATTATACGATCTATTTATTTATATAATCAAGAGTATTTTCAATTGCGTCAAACAGTATCATAAAATAAAAAATAAATAAATTATAAATGAGAAAAATAAAAGAGAGAAATTAAATTCTGACTATATAAAATCACATAGTAATTAAGCTAACGGAATTGTTCAAAGCTAAGCATTAATTTTTAAATTATACTTTAAACAAATATTTTAAAATGAGATATACAGTGAAACCTCCAGGAAAAACCACTTCTATTTGCGATCATTGGGAGGCACGGAATTTATTCCATATACTTTATGTTGAAGAAAACCTTTAGGAGAAACCATTAAAACCTCTCCCAGCAACTGGACAAACATCTGTACCAAATGCGGAAAAGGCCAAGTAAGGAAACACGAATAAATATCAAAACAAAAAATTTAAAAAACAAACAAGTAGATTAAAATGTATTCAAAATATTTGTAAAAGGCTCTTATTTAGAGAGCTCTTTTTGACGATACAAGATCATGTCGCAGTCCGAGGGCACTAAAGACGATGCTATCAATGATTTACTTTTAGAGGGGAAAGTTAAATTAGAAAAAAAAAAGTTTTTTTTAGAAAAAACAAGCATCTCAAACAAACAAACCTCTTCTCATCTTTTAAAGCTAACTAATTTTTATGGTATAAAATTAAATGCAAACTTGAAGAAGAACCATAATAGTTTATTTATTTAAAGTAGTTTTATCATTCATAATTGGTAAATTTGCTTTTACTTATAATTATATCAGTTGGGATCATTTTTGTGTAAGAAAATCCAAATAGTGTTTATGTTTGACTCATAGTTCCATAGTTTAAAAACATATCCATTCATAATTTGAAGTTAAAAATTTCAGAAATATAGCATAATAAATGATATAGAGCATAGTCTAATAGCTGGACCAGAGGTAAACTGAATAGTTGACTCAGCAGTCCTTCTAAAATTTCATTCTTTTCCCCTCATCACTGAGAGGGATAAGAAAAGTCTGCCACAGGAATGCATGCATTTTGTATAATATGATTTTAAAAAAATACAAGTTTTATTCCTGTTCTGTATTTCATTTTCTTTAAAGTTAGTGTTATTGCAACAACATAATTTTTATAAAAACTAAAAGGGTATTATAAATAGAATGCAATTAAGAATCTATTCTGTACAAATGTATAACATAGAAAATTAAAATATACAATTATATGTTATATTAATTCAATAATAAAAGCTTAGAACACATTTAAACATGAATGTATACATATTATTTCAAAATGCTTTTTAGATAAATAAATTATATAAATAAATATCACTAATCTTTGTAATTGTGAATAAATTATTCTATTTCAACAATAGTATAAATTATGTATAACAATGACTAAATATCACTGCATAAATAAACTCATTGATTGTAAAATAAAATCAATTTAGAGAGCTTTTGATATTTGAAACTCCCTTTATAACGCTTTTTACAGAGTCAAAGTGCTTGCAAGTAATTTTAGGACTATTTTGATATACCTGCCAATGACACCTGAGATTCGTGCAACTCCTCAATTCCAAATTACTTTTCAATTGAATCAGAAAAGTATACTCCTCCATTTGACAAATATTAATTTATCATTACTCTTAATTTGAAGTCAATGCAATCTATATTTAGATTTTCCTTGATTAGTCATGAATCTAAAAGCTCTTTTAGCTACCAAAAAATATTTAAATACAATTTCAAAAAATAATTTTAAACCGCCCTGAGTAACAAATGATGTTAAAAATGATTCAGGTTTCAACTACTTTTTAAGACTATGACAAGGTATTTGATAAAATACAGTACAGAACCCGTTATCCGGAAATCAGAAAACCGGAAAACCAAAAAACCGCAACGAAATTCGATAAATTTTCCCGCCATTTTTCAAACAAAATTTTTCTTTTCCTTATAAGATTTTAGGATTTTTCTTTCTTTTTTGAAAGATGTTCACCTTACCATCATTTTGGAAATAATCATTAGTGTATTACTTCATCGTTTTTTCTTCTTTTTAAGATTATTTCCCAAAAAAAAACTTTTTTTAGTTGGGTTTAACAATAAAAAAAACGGCTTTTTGTAGCGATTCAGAAAACTGGAAAAATCAGTTATCCGGAATAGGGATGGTCCCGATCGTTCCGGATAATCGGTTCCCTACTGTACCAACTTATTTATGCATGATTGGAAAGACATATTTTAAAGTGATCTTTACAACAAATCCTTCAATTTAATACAAAATATTACTTTTATATTCAGATAGTTTAATATCATCTATATAAATAAATATCATACAAATAATATTAATTTATTTTTATAGATTCAATATTGTGTGAGTATTGATTCCTGTGTTGGTAATCTGTGAGTTCACCACAGTAGTAATCCTTATTACAACAAAAATTTTATTTTTTGTGTATTATAACATTAATTACATGTCATAGCCCTGTTGAAATGCATAATAGAAACAGTGTGTTTAAATTTCTTCTGCCCCTTTCAATTTTTTGAATTGGTATTTCTCAACAGAGGGATTTGTATTAAAGCATACAATCCAGTTATTATTTTAGGTTAGTGAGTTTGAGCAATATATTATAATACAAATACAATAGTAGCTAAAACTAATACTCTAAACTAAAATCAGTGGCTCGACAGCCCATAGAGGGCCAAGGCCCACTGTGCCCACCTCAGTTTTCTTGACCTTGGGCTCTGGGGTGCAGGAGCAGATGTTCTGGTTGGGTGGTCAACCGAACGCGGAACCCCCAGCATTTAGTTCCCAGAGCAAGCTTGGTACTCATTTATCGATCCAATGAAGGGCTGAGTAAACCTTGCCCGGCCGAAGCTAAAACTAATACAAGTTTAAATTATTTGAATATACAAGGATACAAATACATACTTACATCTTAATTTATCAGTAATTTTTCCAGCACAAATTATAGCAAGAGCTATTTTTACGGAAAATACTCTTACTGTTCCAGTTTCTTCTCTGGAAATTATAAAGAAATTAACAAAAATTAAAATTATTTTTTTAATGCTTATTATTTATTAGTTTCATTTTTACAATTCAAATAAAAAATAAAACTTTTTAGAAGATATAAATAAATTAATTTTTTTAAAGCAAAATTGAGGGAAATTATTCATAAAAAAAAGGGAAATTATTTTTTTCATAAAACATTTATTTATCTTTTTTCCTTATTTATTTATAAGAGTAGTTGGCACTCTTATAGATAAATAATGAAAAATTCCTTGAATGATTGAATGCAGTCATCTTCAATTTAGGAAGCCAAGTTTATATGTCAACTAGAAATAAAGGATTAATCGCTGTGGAGTCTCAATAAAAGTTATAAGGATAAGAAATTGTCATTATCGTAATCTCAAAAACTTAATGTAAAACATTTTTTTATTGCATGTATTATAAACACTACAGAAAAATAATTACAAGGAGTAAAAACAGGAGTTGAAACTTGTTCTTGAATTCTGAGGTTAAATGCAAAATGTGGATGAACTAATGATTGGTGTCAGACATGTTAAACATGCAACATTTAAAATAAGATTTTTTTCCTTATCCATAATTAAAATCATTCCAATATCTGTTAATTAAAATAGAAAGTATTCTCACGCAAAAAAAATATTAAGAAAACTATGTTATTCTTGGTAAGATTGTTGTGAGAAAAGAAATCACCAACAATGCAAAAGTATAGCTTTTCTTGATAAATTGCCAGTTTTTTTTTTGTTTTTTTTTTTGTGTCAGAAATAACACCTAAGAGTTACAGTAAAATTCTTCCAATTTTTCCTTTGCCTTCTTTTCTTTAGACTCATTGCCATACTTTTTTAATGTTACCAAATTAAAAATTGTCAAGTGTGCAGTTGATAATATTTTGGCTCCATAAATATTTCATTTTAAAATAAATGAATTGTTCTTTCACAAAATACAAGCTTCAATTCTGCTCCACAATAAATTCGTGAAAAATTGGAAAAATAAACGAAAGAAAAAATAAAGAGGACAGATATAAAATAATACAATGTGCTGCATTATTCCTGATTATACTTATGTAATTCAAATAAAAATACTGAAATTTTTTTTTTAATTAAATAGCAGTTTTTATTAAGCAAGTTTAACCCAGAAACAAAAATATTTAAGAAATTAAATTAAAAAAACTTCTTTTTTCTTTTGTTCCAAGATCAATTTAATTATACCTTTAATTTTTTTAATTGAATTTCATAAGTAATTTCTTTTAATAACTAATTAAATTTCATACTTACGGATCATAAGTAGCCAGAAACCATTTTACAAGAACAGTAGCGCTATATTCAACATCTATTTGTTGAGAAACTGGCAGTCTTTTATTTAACTGGAAATATATTGAATGCACTAATGTTTCTAGTCTTGGAATAGTCAGTTCTAATCGAGAATCCAATGCATTTAAGCCATTCTCTCGAAAGGCTTCAATTATATTCCAGATATCAAGAAGATGCACTACAAGGAAGCATTGATAATTAAATATAGTAACTACGAAATACACTTTAATTTAGCATTTTATTGGCAACATTAAGTTGTATTATTTAAAACAACTCATAACAATAAAAATTAAATGTAGAGTGATTTCAAAACTATAGCATGTAAAGCTCTAAACTATATATTTAAAATGCTCTAAATAAAAATTGCTGTAAAATTTTGCTAATATTTTTTTTAATTAGAATAAAATTTTTTTTATATATCTATATATATATACAGGGTGTCTCAGTTAAGCGTTTCAGAACTTCTAAGAGGGGAAGGGGGCATCCTGACGACTCGAAATCATATAGCAATGTGGGGTCGGAAATGCTTTCCTGAAGCGGTGGCGTACACAGAAGCACCATAAAGAAAAGAGACTGTAAGTGAAAAATCGCTATAATAATACATTGAAAAAATTATATGGCCTCCTCGGTCACCCGACCTATCATGTCTTGATTTCTGGAGTCATATTAAAACACTGGTTTATGACACCCCTGTTGATAATGCTGGTTGCAAGAATCGCAGTAGCTGCCTGCGAGATATGCCTGGAGTATTGCAGAATGTTCGAATGTCCATGCGCCGGAGATGTGAGGTGTACATTGTAGCCGGTGGCAGAAACTTCGAACACTTACTTTGGACCATGTACCATATAATTTTTTCACTGTATTATTATAACGATTTTTCACTTACGGTCTCTTTTCTTTATGGTGCTTCTATGTATGTTACCGCTTCAAGAAAGCAATTCCGACCCCACATTGTCATATGATTTCGAGACGTCAGGATGCCCCCTACCCCTCTTAGAAGTTCTGAAACGCTTAACTGAGACACCCTGTATATAGATTGCCCAATTGTGTTATGTAAATTCTTGAAGATAAATTAATACCTTAAAATCTGAAATGAATTTTACAAACAAGTTTACTCAGAAAACAATAACTAACAATCAACATAGTTCAGGATTAACTTATAATCATTCATTGCAAATTTATTAATTTTACTAACTTTATACTTTGAATCAGTATCTTTATGTGTTTCTAGTAAATTTAAAGCAATATTTTTTTGATTTAAAATCCTAATTTCCAAGATTATGAGACCTCTCAGATATATAAATTAAACCATTAGATACTTCTCCCTAAAAAATTTTAATACAGCACGATAATTATTTCAAACTTTTTGAGTAATTACATAAATTAACTTTGGCTATTTCACTCTAATCAAGCTAAGCAAAATACTATGTGGTTTTTTAATAGTTTAATAAATAAAAAAATGACATACATATAAGCAATAAAATCAATTTCTACATGTACTTACTATTAGTCTTTTTCTGAATAAATCTCAACTTTGAAGCGGTACGATATGTAGCAAACTTAATAACATCAAAATTTTGAGCTTCTATAATTTATTAAACAATATTAGATACAATCATTACATGCAATAACATAGATCATGTTAAAATTTTGAGCTTCTTCATATTATTTAACAATTATTAGATACAATTCACTTAATTTAATTAAACTTTAGTATTCACTAAGAAAAGGGAGGAAAGAAAATTAAAACTCTTAATTATATTTCTAGAGAAAAATATATTCTAGAGTAAAATATTTTCTGTTTTTTGTCCTGAATTATAGCTTCTACTAATTTACATTCAAATAAATGTTTTGCAACAATTATAAAATAATAAAAGAATTCACATTTTCTCTAGTTTGAGCAGTCATGTTTTGATTTTATTAAGAAATCCAGTCATTAGCTCTTTAAAATAAAAAAAAAGTTTAATATTCTTAAATAAATACTAGGATAATTAACTCGTATTGATGAGTATTATAAAAGTTTTATATTTAAAGAAAATATATGAGGCTGTTTTTTATAGAGACATTTATAACTTACTAAGAGACATTAAACCATTAAAAGGAAAGACTTCAGCTTCTCTGATACTAAATAAAGTAAAGTAATGCACATATATGTCATTATTCTCTTTGAATCACCACCGAAGATACATTTCAGCAGCAAATGAATTAAGTTTATGAAAATTACTTTCATAAATAATTTAAACTAGGTCACTTTACATGAAATGCAATTCTTGTTAACTAATTAATCAGATTTGAAGAAACCCATTTATAAGAATAATATATTAATTAGGCTTTACATAAATTCATAAGTTTATTAATATGCTAATTGTTATCCATGCTGACTGAAATTTTTCATGCTAAAGTTATAATATTCAATAAAAAAATTATTAGCCATCATTGAGTTATAAGATAAATTTGATATATTCACTGAATTATTTTTTATCATTAAGAAAGTTCCATATACTCATCAAAATAGCTTAGGAGTCGTATGTTTAAAACAATATTCATAAGACATGAAAAATCTTCAATAGAAAATAATCTTGAAAACTTCCTAATTTTAAGCAACAATTAAGTTTTTTTTATTGTAGTTGGCAAAACAGATCACGATATGGAAATATCTCTTATGCTTCTATCTCATTCTAAATTTAGAATGATTATGAATATTTTTAAAAGCATAATTTAAACCAAATATAAATTATGTAATTTTTATAAAATAACGTACTCATTTCTGCCATTAAATAATGGTAATCAGAATGGGATCCATGCGAATTTTTTTCTTTATATCGATGATTTCGTTCCATTGCTGAATTCCTCTTCTTTTTTTTCTTTCTCTTTTTCAAACCTACGAATATAATCATATTATTAATTTAAAATAAATATGAATTAATGTTATTTTCATCAAAATTAAGTGAGATCAGAACCATTATTATACGCACATTTTTATCCGATTAGAATTAAACATGAAAATAAGAAAGTGAACATGAAATAAAAACAATTTGCTTTAATAATTTGCTATAGCCCAAAAAGATAACAAACTTTCCTAATATAGGAATCGTTAATTTTTATAAAAAAAATATTTCGAAAAATTATAAGCTTTCATACTTTAAAACATTAGATCCAACCCTTTCAAACTAAAACATTCAGATTGAGCTAAACACTAAGAGAAAAAGAAGAAGCAATTCTGAAAAACAAAAGAACCCGTAATAATACTTAAAAGTATAAAAATGCATACAAGTGCATAATTAATTTAATCAATAACTGTTAGAATATTTGAGATAATTTATTAAAATTCTTACCTTATATTACTATTTATTGAAATTTGATGATCCAAAACAATTTATAGATTTTTAGTTTCGGAATCTAGACTTGTTAATTTCTTCACTACAGTTCTTAATTCAAGGGTTTAAACAACGCTTCTTACTGCTTGTATCTGCCCATTAGTTTTTAAAGATCTTGAATGGCACAGAAGTAGGCCCTTTAAACCTACAAGAAAAAAAAAAGTAAAAATTATACAGTATTTTTAAAATTATTGAAGATAATTTAGTTAAAAATCTCTATGTAAAAGGAAGATTCACTTTAGAAAGTGAATTATTATACATTACATAGCGGTTAATAGCTAATTAATTTTTCACATTTCGTTATATTTAGCTGATTTGTAACAATGAATTATTCTTTTACATAATAAATTGTGTCTAATCTTTCAGAGTGCAGCAAAATGTTTACGTTAAGTGCTCAATCTCGGTCTTGGATGTTTAAAAGTAGCTCAGAACTTAACAGAAGGAGAGAAAGCGCCAACAATAAGTTTATTCAGAGGCATTCCAAAGGAATGAGCGTATGTGAAATTTGTCTTGTGTTGTTCTCAAAATCAACTGAGTCGCCAACTACAATCGCTAAGGTGCCAAGTAGATTTGCAACTTGCAAATTTTTTTTAAAAAAATATGTAGATGTTTGCCCAGGGGGTGCTAGGAGTTATACCTTCCGTGGTTTTTTTTTTTTTTACTTTCTCCTGGGCCTCTGCCCTGAAGTTGCAAATACTTGCCGATTATTCTGCCACAGATCACGATACGAAAATCGCCCCGATAAAATGAAAGCGGATATTTACATATCATGATCGACAAGGCTTGGCAACTTCTGGGTTAGAAACTAAAATAAAACATCACAAAAGAGGACCAACTCGAAAGGCATAACTCATAGCAAACGTGTTTTTTTTTAAAAAATTGCAAGTTTAAAATCTATTTGGCACCTTGGCAATTGTAGTTGGTGCGATATGAAAATATTCCCAAGTGAAAAACCTTAAACAAACTCAAAATCTTAATTGAAAAACTTCCAGCCCACATTGATGATTTCTTGTAACTAGTTTCAACATTTTCATCGCCAGCTCAATTTGGTAAAATTCTTATGAAAATCACAGATATTTTTTTAAATGTTAAACTTTTACAAAACTCTATATTGATTTATACAAGGATAAGTTCAGTAAATGCACAAGGATAAGTTTAATAAAAAGGCTGAAAATAGAATTCAAAAATTTTTACGTGTAAAAACTATTTTTAAATAATTGATAATACCTGAAATTTGAACAAGAAAAAAGTGCATGTAGATAGTATTTATGCAAAAATGTTTTATGTAATCAACGTTTTAATTAAAATATGGATGTGAGATTTTATTCATTTGTTTAAATTGTCTGAATATTAATCTCGGTGTAAGTTTTTAAATCTTGTTTATACAAATCTCGATATTTAATTTAAAAAATCATGTGAATCCGAATCTCGATATTTAATTTAAAAAATCACATAAATATGAATCTGAATGTTTGATTTTAAACTCGCTTTACACACTTTTCGATGTTTGTTTTTAAAATTGCGTGAACATAAATCTCAATATTTGGTTTTAAAATTGCATAACTACGAATCTTGATGTTTCATTTCAAAATCATGTGAATTCCAATGTATAATTTTTAAGTCATTTAAGCATGAATCATAATAGTAAATTTTAAACAGCATAAATAACAAATCACAGTGTTGAATATAAAATCTTGAAAATATAAAATCAATGGTCAATATGGTAATATTTGCGTATCATGATCTAGGCTGCAATATTAGCAAATTCTGGGCAGTGGCCCGCAATAAACTGGGTTTCAATAAAAAAAATTAATTCTGTCTTGTCTTTAAGCTTTTCTGAAACTGATTTTACCTAACTTTTTTTTTTTTTAAATAATAAATAAAGCTAGGAGAAATATTTTAGATGCTCTTTAAGTTGCATTTCTTTCTTTACAGGATAATTTTTTAGTTTTTCTTCCATGTCTCATTCTTTTCTTTCTCTCAACTTTCTTTTTAAGCAAGATAACTATAAAAAAGAAAATATTGTATTAGGGTGACCTGGGGTAATTCACGATCACTCTGTTTCTGGGGTAAATAATGATCACTTAAGTTTTATTTAAAAAAATTATATTTTTTTAAATTTGAGAAATGGACAAGAATGCTTGTACACTATACTAAAGTATAACTACATTTACTTAGTAACAGTTTTTTGTTTAATCTAACAAAAAAAGAATCTTTTAAAATGCTTTCTGTATTTTACATTTCAAAGATGGGTTTCAAAATGGGCACATTTCTGCAAAGATCCTTCTCTTAATAATAAATATTTTAAGTTACTTTCTTTTTCTTTGATATAAAAATAGTGTAGGCTTTTGCTTAATTATTTCACATCTACTGTAAACATTATAATTGATTATAGGAAACTATATCAAATGTTGCCCCCTACAGATGGGGTAATTATTGATCACTGGGGTAATTCCTGATCATTGTCATTTCTTCTTATAAATAGTATAAAAAATAGCTAATAAATAGTCAATTGTCTTTTCTTAAATAACAGTTCATATTTATAAAGTGGAACAACTATAAAATATATTTTAACTATAATCACAAATTTTGTTTTTAACTGTATACAAGAAAAATGTGTTCTCATATGCAACATTTCTAGCTTGTGTTACCTTGCTTCTATCTTAATTTTATGTGTGTTCATTGTTAGAATAATTTTTAAGTTGATAAATTAACCTAATATAAATATGGTGAGAAATTATAAACTTAAAAAGGATACTAAGCTTCTAGAAAGCAAAAATAGTGAATTTCTTTTAATGATTGAAAATGAAAATTTCAGTGTGAGAGATGCTGCCAGAGCTGAAGTGTTAATCTTTATTCCTGATTTTAAATAAAATGTTTTATTAGCTGCTTGAACATATATTTTTGGTTTATTTGTTTGATCTTAATGTCTTATTTGTTAATTACCATTGTAGAATTATTTTTAAACAGCCCATTTACTATAAAAACTGGTGATCAGTAATTACCCCAGAAATGATCAGGATTCTCCCCAGAATTGATCAAAAGAAGGGGTAATTCCTGGTCACTAAAAATTTAAAATCTTTTAAATTCTAATTAGATTTTCAAACAAAAGAAGGTAGCACAGGACTCATCTCATATAGCCTCAAACTTCCAGTAAATATTAAAATTCTATCTTGAATAGTTTTTTCACAAAATCGATGTTTGCATTTTTTGATCAGGAATTACCCCAGGTCACCCTATAAATTTTACTACTCCTATGTATATCTTATTTTTAATTTATTATAGTATTCTTTACTTAGATATTAAGCACTTTAGTGTTAAAATGAACAAAATATCTTAATAATAAAATTCACAGATGTTACTAGTTAATTCTGTAACCCCTTTAATATCTGCTTTAAAAAAAGTTTTGAATCATTTAAAAATTTATCTTAAAATATTTAAGTATATGTAATCATTAATTACTTTAAAGAATAACAAAGTAAAACAAATAAATTTCTTTTTAACTAGTTATTAAGTACATTAGAATCAATCCCCCACAAAAGTGTCATTAACTCGCAGTTAGGGAATGAGAAAACATGCATTGTCTGCTTCTGAAGTTTACACTCGCAAACAGAATTAAAACAACAGTATATACTTCTAAATTATCTCATAAGAGAAATTTGGATGACTTATAACATTTTGAGATAATAAACTAACCTCTTAAGTTACTAAAGTGTCATTATCTCACAGTTAGAAAATAATAAGTGAAGGAATAAGAAAATAAGCATTATTTGCCTCTAATGTTTATATCCATAAATAAAAGTGAAATATATATTCTTTACTCTGTTCTTATACACTACTGGAGTTATTGAGCTTTTTACATTTTATTAGTGGATGTTTTTTATCCCTCTGTTTTTGAAGTTTTACTTTATATTTTAGAAAGAAAACACATCAAAGTATTTTTTGACTGTGGCTGAAGAAAAAATGTTATGCAAACATTATGAATCTATACTAATGAAATTCTGCCAAAAATTTCAGCCACCAATGCCAAAAAACGTTATAGTAAGTTTTCAATTATTCAACTTCTTTTACTTCATTTTTTGAAGTATAAGTCAAGTGTTTTAGGCTCTGTTTTTTTTTTTTTTTTTCTTTTTTTTTTTCCTTAATTATTGTTGTTCGTAGTTCATCTGATAAAAAATATATATTTTGTTCTGATTTGCAGCATTTAGTCCTGACATTCCTTTCTTTTTTTTTCTTTTTTTTTCAAATTTGACTTTCCTAATATTTGATTTTATTCTTGTTTTTTGTTAAAATTCAACTTTTTATAAGTAAAAATATGGATTTTAAGATTTTTAATCTGAAGAATCAAAATATCTTTAATTCTGGTATAAAACTGAACTGTATAGTGAGGGAATACTTCAATACACAGTGGCAGCTTGAAAACCTCTCAGTTTCAGGTGATGGATACCAGCTTGTTTTCGAAGTAGAAGTAAAGACCGCCTGTGCGAAATGCTGATCACATTGTCATAATCATGCTGTGGGTCATAAAATTCAAAGCACTTTCAGCCGCGGCCTGACTGCTGTAGTTTATATTTTGTCTTCTTTGTGATTGATTAAAATAGTCCAAACTACTAAAAATTAAAAGATATTTTTTATTATACTAAGTAAATGTGTAAATTATTTAATAATAGCATTCAAAATAAAATTAAAAATAATAATAGTATTTAGCATATAAAGTAAATGTGCAAAAAAATATGATTTATTATTTAATAAAAATGTGAGTCAGCTTCACGGTAATATCATTTTTAGTCATTATGAATTATTTGTACATTTATTGGAAGCATCTATTTTGCAGACACTTTTTAACAATCTAAACTTTTCTCCTTTCTCAAAAAAAACCCTTTTTTATGGTTACAATTGTTAGATAAAAAGTATTAGTAAAAATATATAATTCCGCTTGCTGCTTCTTTGATAATAAAACATTTATTCCGTCTTAGTAAGCACACTAAAAAAGTTGTTGAAAAGACAAGTGCAATTAAAGAGAAACAAACTTCGAGGAGACAAACTATGGATATAAATGAAGCTGAAAAGAACATCAGCAAACCAGATTATTTTCATTTTAAAAATAGATGTTTTCATTAAAAAATCTACTCAATTCTGTTTCTTATTTTAGATTTTTTTTTATTATTATTATTATGACATCAAATTAATTTGCTTTTAAAATTTTTGAATAGCTCGTTTTTTACTGTTATTTTAATCTGATTATTTGTGCCACTAGTACTTCTCAACGTAAGGGGAAAAAAGAGGAGAAAAACATATTTTTATTCTTAAAAGGGAGAGTTCAAAATATTTTTTGAACTAAGTATTTTTTGAATCACTTCTATTTTTTTATAAATACATTTTATCATATAAAGCATTCTTTAGTCTTTTCATTGTCATTCAACCTATAAGAAACCTAAATTAAATTATGTCTGCAATTAAATTTTTCTTAAATCTTAATGTAATTTTCTTTGGTAATGAAATTTGTTAAAAAGGTGTTATTATTTATGGTATTATTAATTAGTTATTTTTATTAAAACAATAATTTTATTAGTTTTAACTATATATTATTTTTTATTTCCAATGGCAAATTTATTGGACAGTAGTTACAGCACAATAAGAAAAGTAAGATACAATAAAAGATGGTAAACATAATGCAGTAACTTGAGTCCATTAATTCAAAAGGTCTTGGGCTTACCAATATCGTTCGGCTAGAGAAGACACCAAGCTAAATATTAAAAAATCACTAATCTATGCTGTTTATTTAAACTATCTGAATACAAATCATATTTAAGGAATATTTACTTTATAGTTAATAATGTTAGAAATCTTTAAAGAAAGTAAAAAATTTAATGAATTGTAGCAATTATTAAATAATAAACAAATAAATGAAGATTAAAGCATGTAGTAAGAGTTTCCTTTTTTAAAAAACCATAACACTCACAATTTTTTTTAATTCTACTTTGTCTAAAAAACATGAAATTTACTGGAGAGAGACAATCAAGGTTTTATAACACATTAATATTTATTTAGTAGATTGTCATTTAATTAGCTTTTATCATTTTCCAGGCATGTTCATTTCATTATTTCAAACGATTTTACCTAAATAATTCAGTCATGGATTACCATCCTAAAGATATACTGTAAGTATGATACTCATAACTTTTATTAACTTATTTTCAGTAATTTAGTTAAAGTAATCAATATTAATTGCAATCTAAAAATGATACGAAAATTTATAAATGTGATAAATAATTGGAAGAAGATAGGGTAAACTTTGCACTACATAAATATCACAAATTTAAATGGTGGGTGAATTGAAACTTAATTAAATTTAGTTATTATTTTTAAAAAAAGTTGAAATTAAATAGAAAGTTAATATAATTACTAATTATAGCCTCTGTTAACTTATAACTTGGGATGTGCTTAATAGTTCCTTAAGTATAGTACGATGATAGTAGAGAGTCAAGACTGCAACAACCAACAGATTGATCCATTGCATAGAGTGATTAAATTATTCAAATCTTGAAAATAATATTGACTATCATTAATTAACAAATATCTTAATGCACCTATTGAAAGATAAATATGAAATATAAAACAGCACAATTTGTTCGAGAGATGAAAAGAAATAAATTGATAACCTTCTCTTTAAATCAGAAACTATCTTCTTTCATACTCACCTTTTTTTTTAAATCCGACCAATTGATTATTAAATAAATAAAGATGAATGAAGTCAGAGAAATATTTTCTGTTAATCGATTTTTATTAGAAAATGAAATTGACAACTAAATTCAAATATTAGTATAACAATCAAAATTATTTACCAAAGTTTGAAAACGTGATAATTAATTTCTTATGAAATTAATATGCAAATTTATTCAATTTAGAAGAGATAAACAACAGTTAAATAAATAATTTTAATTTATAATTTAATTTTTATTTCGAAAAAAAAAAGATCGTAAATGATTTATATTTAGTTATTCAATTTTGATGAGGTGGTTAAGTCTTTGTAAATATGCTCAAAATTAAAGATATTAAGATAAAACAAATAATATTTTGCCAAAAAAAATTAAATCACTTCTGTAATTTAAATATTCTAAATATTTCTCTAAATAAATCTTCTAAATATTTATAATAATTAATATTGTTGTATAAATTGGTCAATTTCCCACTCTTAACAAACTCTGCGATTATTTATTCACATCTGGTCTATTTAATCAGGTATCAAAATAAGGCTATTCATGACTATAAGACTATTCATAAGATATCATATTTTTAAACACCATTTACCTCAATTATGATGTTCAACAACAATTTCATAAAAATAATCAAAAATTCACACAGAATTATCCTTATGTATTAGAAATTGTATTAGCTCCACCTAATACTATTCTGGCAAACACCCACATTTAAAGTAATCAAAATCTCACATCAATTGCATGATACCAGCATACCCAATACCATCTCTTGTGCTATTTACTGTCAAAGATGAAAATTTATGTAGGGGAAAGACTATGTAAAAACGCGAATCGGGGAGCTCGTGCTGGTAGAAGTCTAATGCAGACGGCGTCTATTATTGCCTTCCTATATCCCCTATTTCGCTAAAATACTAATGCAGAGGAATCAGAGCAATGCTGATAAAGACAGTAGATACCTACCTTGTGCCACAATGAGTTGAATTCCTACAAATGAGTGACTATGTCGTTGTAGAACTGTGAAGCAGTGAGTTTGCATTGGCGAACCAGCTATTTGGGGCAGTTAGCTACTATTAAATGTCAAAGATGTTAGTTTATGTAGATGGAAGATTATGTGGAAATTCAAATACATGTAACATTACATATAACTGCATTAAAAGAAGGCTATTTTTGGGGGAAATATCTAACTTAATGCATGGAAAACAAATTACTGTAATTAAATAAAGAAATATATATGTATATAAAATTTTTATTTTATTTATTTATTTTTTTAGAGTCACTTGTGCCTATTTAGCATCTAAAGTGGAAGAATTTAACGTGAGCATTTATCAGTTTGTTGCTAATGTTAAAGGTGATCGAGAAAAAGCTACAGAAATTATCCTTAACCATGAACTTCTTCTAATGCAGCAACTTAACTTTGATTTATCTGTTTATAATGCGCTGAGACCTGTTGAAGGTTTTCTTATTGACATCAAGGTACTTTTAGTATTTTTTTTTTTTAACAAGAAGCAATAATAATAATTATAATCTCTACATTGTCATCCATAATTACATCCTCATGTTATTTCATCCATAATAAATTAATTAATTCATTTAATATATTGTGCATGATATAGAAATATTTATTTATAGATGGTTTAAATTCCCTATAATGAAAATGATATTCTTTGTTTAAACTCTATGTTAATAAATTTTTCTTCCTAACATTATTTGATTATACAAATATTTTTGTTCTGACAAGAAGAAATTTGAACATAGTATTATTTTCATCTTCATTAAACCTCATCATAAAGCCGTGTGTTTGCATTTGTCTTTTTTATATATTTATTGAGTTATATTGTTGCAGTTATTAATTTCTGTTCCCAAATATGTGAAGCTAAGCACATTTTCAAATCTGTGATTTCCAATTTTGAAAAAAGTAATTTGAATGTCTAACTTCAATCAAAGTATGCACAATGTTTTTCTTTCTTAAATTCAAAGATATTTCCTTTGTGCTATTTGCTTTAATGATGCTTACGCCACTTTTATAAGCCTGGGTAGTTCAAGGCCTATTTAGTAAGCCTAGGTAATTCTGTAACATTGTGTGCAAAATCTTGTATTTGGACAGACTATGTAAAAATGTTTCCTCTAATATTAATATTTGAGTACCTTACACCCTTTGAAGTACTTTATTGAATAGGAGTCAGGCCAGCTCATTATCCTGTCACACTCTATTTCGAATTTCCAAATGTTTAACCAGTTTGTTACATAAACAAATTTGCATTTTAATTTCTCAAACCTGCAAGGCTACTAGGTTTACAAGATAATTTGACTTTAATTATACTATAATTAAACGGCTTTTGAAACATCTAATTGAATATTGTTAAAGAGAAATTGTGTAAATTGCTTGCTAAATTCTATAATTACTTAAAATTTAATGGTTTCTAAATTTTTTTACAATTCTTCTCTAAAATAAAAAGATTCAATCGTAATAACTAAAAATCATAAAACTATTATTTTTGACACAATATTAAAGCTTTAGCTTCTAAGACTCTGCTAAGTTAAGTTGATATGAGATAAGGATTAAAAATAGTAGTGTGAAAATAATCTAGTGATAGCTAAGTCAGTATTAGATGCTTTCAATTGTAAATAGATCTTTTTTCTAGACATTATTTACTCTAAAACAGAAATATTTTGATGTAAAAATTTAAATGGCTTGTAAAGAAACTTGTGTTACATTATCCAAAAAAATTTATTGTAGGCAGGGGTTTAGTTTGTGTACAAAGTTCCGGTTACATTTTGAGAGCTCAAACATCATTACAGAACATTAATCTTAATAGTATTTATTTTGAAGATCAAAATTTGTTCAGGAAAACTAAATCTCTGCTCTTGTTGTTAGGTAACAAATGTTTTTGTTTCAAATTATGTACTTTTTGGGTGTATTTAATTCGTGACCACTTGAAATTTAAAATGCAAAAAGAAGAGTTAGAATCGCTATATTTGGAAATGAATACTAAGTAAATGTAAGATTAGACAATATTGATGTGTAATAATTATGGAAAATAACTGCAGCGACTGTTAATCAATGGGAAAAAAATTTAAGTTGCATAAAAATTTGTTTGTATATTACAGTTATACAATTTTGTTTTATCTCAGGGCTCTGCTGTTTATTACAGGGCCCCAATAATAGTTACCAGATAATGAGTCTATAATATTGTCTCTGCTAAAAACTTCATGCTTTTGTTTTAAAATTTTTACCATTACAACACTTTTTATAGACAATTGTTAAAAAATGCTAATTATAATTTTTGTCATTATTCTTTACTATTATTTAAATTATTATTGTTTTTGTATTATTCAATAATTTACTGTTTTGTTTCATGTTTTAATTCTTTCAAGACTAGATATCCTACTCTCAATGATCCAGAACATCTACGTCCTGCTATTGAAGAATTTTTGGAAAAAATTCACTTTACAGATGCATGTTTCTTATATTCTCCTTCCCAGGTTTGTTTAATTTTTTTTCTTCTTCTTCTTATTATTATTATTACATGTTCTCTAATTTTATTGGTTTTTAAATCAATGCTGAGTATATAATTAAGTTCTTCATAATTTATGTTTCTATAATTTAATTTTTTGGATGTTTCCTTTTTTTTTTAAATTATTTTATTGCATTGAGAGAAAAATAAGAACAACTGTAAACGTAACCTCAACTCTAATGGCAATTTGGGTTTGGTGATATGGATGCTTAATTGCTCAAACGGTTGCTCGTAATACGGTTACCATTTTTGTTACTTATCTTATTTTTGTGGCTAATATTATTATTTTTCCATGTGATGCTATTATCTCATATTTTCTCAACGATGTTTGCAAAGGAAAGAAAAGTAAATCACAGACGTTCCAGAATCGATATCTGTTGAATTTTATATATTAACTTAATTAATTTAATGTATTAACTCAAAATTTCATTCGATCATCCCTTCATCAACGTCACCACTATTTTTATTTACGTCATCACATATAACTGAAACATCATAAAAGGCAAATGGTTTGATTGGTTCAAGAGTAAGTTACTATTATTTATTGGCAATTTTTCTCTCAAAAGAGTGAAACAGTTGCTGATATTTCGGGCAACTGCGATTTCTGTATAACACGAGGATTTTTTAGCACTTTTAGGGGGGAATGGAAGATTGCGTTTATGGTTGACTTGCTGATAATTTTCATCGTGTGATATACCAATTAATGTACATTGTACATCATGTACCCATTTCTGCTCTTCCTTTGATGAACTGATAATGCTGGGCAGAGTGTTTTAAAATTGTCAACTGAGACATTGCTCAATATATCTGTGCTTAAAAAGATATGTATATGTATTTTTTAAAATTGCGTACAAATCAGCCAAACTTTAAGGAGGGGAAGAAACATATTTTTTACCTTTTTTTATGCTATGCGTTATTAGAATTTATATTTTATATGCAATAATTTTTAGCAGATTCTTCCCCTTTAATATTTTCTCATGTTTGCTAATTAAAATCTTCCATTTTTCTTTAAAAATTTTCCTTACATTTTTAGACCGCACAATACATACTCTATGGATTTAAAATTAAAAAGAAGAATGGTGTAAATTCTAGGATGTTTTCATTTTTGGATTATAATGCATTTCATGCTGTGTCTAAACTTGCTTTTAGCTGAAAGCTTTTTACATATTAGGGTGTCTTTTTAAGTAGAGAGGTATAAAATAAAATAAAGAAATTTATATAATACAGTTTTTACTTTATTCAAGCTTAAGCACAGATTAAACCACAAAACCAGAGTGAGAAACCACTTTAAATCAGCTTCTAGTCAGAGTTATTTTATCATTATAAAGGCTTAAACGTATTAGAATTGCCATTTAAATGGCAATTTTATCACACCGAAGAAAGATAATTTCTTCATGACATTATATAAAATTGAATTTTTGTGTGTAAAAGGGAATTTTCACAGTTAATATTAATCCCAAGTTTTTCATTTAAATTTATTTTTTCTAGATTGCCTTAGCTGCCATTGCATATGGAGCTCATAAATTTCGAGAAAACATTGATGGGTAATTTTAATCTTAGACTTTTTAAATGTAGGAGAACTATTTGAAACATATTTTTTATTAGCTGTTGAATATTATACTATAACTTGTAGTATGGTAATTGTTAATCTCATTTTATATCAAACATACTTTCCTTTGTCATATAATTTTTTTTAAGTGTAGTTTTAAATAAATGTTTATTTCTGTATTTCATTTAATATTATTATATTCACATTATATTTTACAACTTATAACAACTAATAAATTTATATTGCATTTTTAAATGTTGAATTTTTTTGTTTTGTTTGGTGTGTGGAAAAGAAACATTATACATTAAATTGTGTATAACTCATTAATATAAGACTATGCATTTTAATTAATAAAAAAGCAAATTTAACTTCTTTTTTTTTTTTGCCTAATTCATTTTACTTATAAGTCTAATTTGACGCTTTCAATTTTTTTGCTGAAGTACATTTTGTTTATTCTAATTTGAAATCTTTTTGAAGTTTATTTATTATCATTATTTTGTCATAATGAAAACATGGGGTAGTCATCTAAACACTATAAAGAAATGCGTCTTTTTTTAATCTATCAATAGGTATTTTTTTCTTATCAATAATTTACTTTTTCTATCATTTTGAAATTAGAAATATTTTAGAATTTATATAAAAAATTGTGCTAATTTTGTGATTTCTGAAATCAATATTCAATTCAATATTCAATTATTTTAGAAATTCAATTACCCTGATCTATTTTGTTCAATTTTACATTAAACTATCAAACAGACCATTAATAATTTTTTAATCAATTTCAAAAATCTGGTTGTATATAATAAAGTGTTGATATGAATCTTTTCTTCTTTTTTTTAATCAGGAAATTTGTAAAGCTTTTTATTGTTATTTATGTTATTTGCTTTTTTACCCCAACTACCCAAAATGAAGATAATCTGAGCAAGGAATTAATTTTTTTTTATTCTCTCACGTCTTAAACAGCACCAAAATGATAAAAAAAATTACAGATATGTTTTTTTCTTCCTTGCATCAAGATAGCCATTATCATATAATATACATCAATACATTTTATGTTCTAAAGATTTAATGAACAAGCTTTGAAATTTTACAACTGCTTAGTTTTTTTTTTTTTTTTTTTTAAATTTCTTTTTTTTTNTTTTTTTAAATTTCTATTTATTGTAACATTCAAAGGCAAATTAACTCTTTTTTTTTTTTTTTAAATCCCATTTTTACTCTACTTGTTCAATTTTTTCTATAGTTCATCTTATAATTATATCCTAAAAATTATATCCTATCTTAAAATTATATCCTAATTTTATAACAAGAAGTTTGCTTTGAATCGTAATAAAGTTTGTGTAATGTGGGAATGGAGTGTTATTTTTCAATCTAAATTTTGCAAAAAATATTTCAAAACGTAATTATTTTCTAACTCTTTTGTTGATATTATGCAATATATACAAAATTGGAAATTGTTTGGAATTATTGAATTTTTTTTTTATTTAAAACAAAAAGATAAATAACATGTTAAGCCCTAAAATTTAAAGTAATTTAGCCAATAAAAGTTTTTCTCAGACATCTTTTTAACTATTGGTTAATACTTTGATGAAGAATACAACCAAAAATATTCACTTTTGTTCATAAATATCTGGACTTGATAAAAATAAACATTTAATGCCTAAATATTTTTTAAAAGTGATTGTATGTAAAAATTAGTTTACCCCCTTGATTGTTAGTGTATAAAGAAATGTCGTCATTCAGAATTATTTACATTAATGTCCTTACTTATCAGTATACAATTTGTAGTATTAACATCAATTAATTGTTTTAAATTAAACATTAGTTTTTTATTGATTGAATCAATACAAAATTTTCAACATATAGCAAAATTTTCAATGTGTGAACTTAACTTAGTATGTTTTTATTCTATTATCGAAGTTTCTATACATATTTATTATAAAATGAATGCATTAAAAAATATAAAAGAATGTTTTGCTGGAATACAAAGGATGACAGGTTTATTATTAATAGTACCATTTTAAAAATAAGTTAATAATTTATTCTCATAGGTACATGGAAGATATTCTGTTTGATGGGTATCCAGATAAATTATCTTATGTTTTAGAAGCCATCAAAAGTAATTATTAATATTTTTATCTTATGACTAACCACAAAATATATATTATAAGTTGCGTTAATTACATGAATTTTACAAACTTTTTCTTTTTTACTGACAAATTGTATGTATATTAATGATACTGTAGTATGGATACATGTAAAAATTTAACGATTAGATGTATGTCAAATATTTACTCTTTATAAATTTTATAGGTCTCAATCAAAAGCGTATTAATTTTCTTAAATAAGCTTGCACATTCACAATATTGTAAAACACTGGAAAGACACTTGCTCTTTTTTATATTCTTTTGGTTAGTGTCTCATTTTAGGGTTTTAATGAAATACTTAAGTTGGATATTTTTTTTTAGTACATTGTGTTCAAAAATAAACGAACTCTATGGGGATTTTAATGATTGGTTTTATAAATATTATTTTAAATGATTTTTTGATTGCTTTTTTTAAATGTCTCTTTTTAAACCAGCCATTAACAAAGTGGCATAGTAACAAAGGATTTAAAATACTGTTTTTAAGAATATATTTACATGTGTCAAAATTATTCAACAAGTATTTATCTAGTGTTTACAATTCCAGACTCATATTCTGTAATACACTACCTAAACTTAAGAAATAAAAACCTAAATGTAAATTGTCCATTTTGTAATTATGTAACTCTTAAAACATACCATAATCGCATGAAAAATTTTCATTTATAAGTAAATTAACATTTTTGTTTAAAATTTTTATTTCAAAAAGGCACAAAGCAAATCATTGAAGAGAACAATTTATTGTACAATATATTTCATACAATTTGCAGTTTTAAAACAATAAATTAGTTATTTAAGGAATCATCATCAATGGCTCAACAGCCCAGGGTGGGACTTGACCTTCTCAAGAGGTTTTTAATTTTTACGACCAAAGGGTCTTTTTCTAGGCCATCTATCCATTTCAAATTCTACCTATCTCTTTTTCGAGTGCCAACTGATCTGGCATTGAAAACTCTTTTTGTGGTACAGTCTACGTCCATTCAGATAACGTGGCCTACCCATTTTATTCTTTGTCGTGTAATAAAGTTATCAATGTCAGTATTTAAGGAATAGTATTGACTATTTAAGGGGTCTTTTTTTTAATATTTGGAGGCAGATATTCTTAAAATCTTTTTTGTTGGTAGCTATTTATTCAGCTAAATTTAAGATATCATCAATGTTTTATTTTACTATTACAAAAAAAAGTAACAAATAAGAGAAGCCCATTATTAACTTGTGGTTTAGTTTGAGGGGAACAGGAATTTTTTGGAAGGTTGGTTAAATTTCAAAATCTTTTTAGGGGGGATACTTTTTGGAGTTTTGTTTTTAGTGGTAATTATTCTTTCCAGCAATGTTCATTATAATAAAAGCTTCCCAAAATAAAGCATTAAAAAGTTTTAGGGAACAAAATACGCTGTGAACGAAGAGGAAATGTGGCATATGCATATAAAATCAGTTATTTATAATTCATGAATTTTTAAATACATATTAATATAAACATTGCAAAAAAATATTGTACCAATAATTAATTCATAAAAAAAGGAAGGGGAAATTCTTAAAGCTATGTCCTCATTTGACGAAAGAAGAGTTTGAAAACTTGCATCTGTTGGAAAAAACTCAACCCGGAAATTTATTTTAGAGGCAGATTTAAATAATTGTCAACAAAAATTATGCATACCACAATTAGACAATCTAGTAGATTTATTTATACATCGAATTTGGCTAAATCTTGGTTGCTGCTGAAGCACAAAATAAAGCATTTAAGCTACAGGCAGCAATTTATGGCCTAGAATAACCAATGAATACAAACAATTTAATAATCTGATGAAAAAAGTGGAATTTGGATGTACCAAAAGAATTGAAGAACTATTTAAGTGATTTAAAAAAATATTTTTTCTAAGCACCCATTAGGCAGAGCTTCTGTTCTGGGGATTTTCTGCTTACAGTGTGGGTTAAATTGCGTTTGTTTCAGACAAAAATGATTCACCAGTTTACCAAATTGTTCAAGCAAGTCATTTTTACTGAATGCAAAATTTCTTGCAGGAAAAAAATCAGATATATCAGGGAAGCAACACAACTATTCATTGAAGTAACAGTACAAAAAATTGGTCTCAAGCCAATGTTCAAATTTTGAAATGGCCAGCTAAGTCTCAACCCAATAGAGAGCTTTAGGGAGACTCAGAGTAAAGAACTTACGCTAAAGGGAGGCATTTTACATCGTCGTCAGAGCTGAAATCTGTTATTGAATACGAATGTTAACTGATCTCGACCTTTGTCAAAAACGAGTTACATCCATGAAACAAAAATATTTGAAATAATTCGGAAAAAATTGCTCTTAGGCAGGCTTCTATATTTTTTGTATCATTTTATATATGATACGATACTTTTTAACTTTGCCTTAATATACTAATTTTGTATTTTGAAATACTAATTTTGTGCATACTTTTTCTGATAATTATAAAATTTCAAATCCTGTTTGTTGTGTTATTTCTTAACACTGTATTTTAAGAATCAATAATAAAATAATATTTAAATCCCTTTTATTTTCCCTTTTCTTACACATTTTTCTCTGCCCCTAAAGTTCTTAGCAGCGATAAACTGTATATCCAAATCTATCAATTATGTTTTATCATTGACATTGATAGTTTTCTTTTTACTTTTATAGCCATGTTTCTAATGATTAAAAATGAAACTCACCGCATTAAAGATCAGCATAGAGCAGCAATAGAAAAGAAACTAGAGAAGTGCCGTAACCAAGAAAATAATCCAAGCAATATTGCGTACGTAATAAAATATTTTATAATTAGTAACTCAATTGTTTCTGTGTGCAAAGTTACTGAACAAAAAAAATTTCTTGTAGGGTGTGTAGTAATATTTCCTATAATTTTAATATCACATTTTATTTACTGACAAAAATATTTATATAATGTTATTTTATAAAGATTGTTTTGCATACAAAGCATTTTTTTTTCTTTTTTATGTATAGCAAACTTTTTTGTAAAGTTTTGTAGTATAAATATGGTAATTTCATCTCATGAATCTAGTTGAATGTTCAATTTGTAATCCACGAATTATTTTAAGAAAAATAATTTAGCCAATTAGTAATTCAAAGTATTTTCACAAAGCTCCCAAATATTTAGAAACTACTACTTAGATAAAATAATTGATTTAAAAAAAAGAACTAAAGAAAAAAAATTTTTTTAAAAATAAAAAAAGTTCTTTCTTTTCTATTCCTGACACATCAGTTCATCTTGATGTCCTTCAGTCTTGTTTTATTTATATGAATGGTGGTTTTCTAGTAAGTGTTCAGTTCTCCCATGAAAAGGCATTCTGGACTAAAAAGAAATTTACTTAAATAAATTAAGTCAACTGTGTAAATAAGTAAATAAATGGAAAAAGCTGACGATTCACAGAATTAGATGATGCTTTGACTCATGGTTTATTCAAACAAATGGAGCTGTCTGGGCAATAGTGCAAGTGAACTTTAAAATAAAATGCTATTATGCCTGTTTAATACAAAGACATTTACTAATTGGTTGTGTTCAAATTCAGTTTAGATACTAGATATATATCATATTTGTGAAGAAAAAAAATTCTAATAATAGTTGGCAAAATTTCTTGTTGAAAATAGCTTTATAAACATTGTTACTGTTTATTTAGATTTTACAACCTGGTTCCATTTTTACTTGGGATAATCAAGGTTCTACTCTTATTCATGAAAGCTTTATTACCATTAAAATAATCATGTACTATCTATCATGTTCTACCGTACTATCACCGTTAATGACTTTATTTTAAAATATTTTTTGATCTTTACGTATTGTTGAAATTAATTTAATTTGCTCTAATTACTTCCTTTTAGCACTAAAACATGTAGAGTATTTAATAAAGAGTAACTGAAAAAGTTATGTTAAAATTACATAAATCATACATTTTTCAACTTAATTTTATTATTTTGTATTGCATAAATATTTTGTATTTTATACCTTTCTAATTTTTCTTTTACTATAGCTATAAAAGAAAATTAGAAGAGTTGCAAGATGAAGAAGATGATGGCCCAGCTATGAAATACTCAAAAATTTTGGAGGTGTGTAATTAAATTTTGTTTGTTTTATCAAGTTGTGATCAGGTTTTATAAATAAATCATATTAACATATATCTTATAATTTACCTTTTTTTTAAAAAAAAAAAGTTGTTTTTCTGAGAATTTTTAACACTTTGATGAAATAAGTTAATGCTGTGTTTACAAAAAAAATAAATTTAACTTGAATATAGTTGCTTGATAAATTAAATGATCTAGTATAAATGGTCATACATCCAAACTATTCCATCCAGTGGCTTTAGGAATAGCTTATCATAATTAGTTCCAACCTCAAAATTAAATCAGAGCTAATCTTATACTCAGAAAAAATTAATGTTCTAAATGGTTTAAAATTTTACTAAAACGAAATTGAAGAATGAATAAGGAAAAAGGTTATTAGTTAAACTTGTTTTACGTTTATCAATCTCTTTTAAAAACTCTTTAATATATATATATATATAGATATTATTATTTTATTATCTAAATATTTCTAGTTCTATAATATTTCTTTTGATTTATTTTATAGAATCAAGAGGCTGATAAAATGGAAGCTGAGCAGAGTCATGGCATTACATTTTTTAATTCATCTCAATAGTATATGCAAATCTTCTTAAATTATATATTTTTTTTTATTTGTAAATAAATTAAATTTCTTTTATTTAGTTTTCAGTGCTTTCTTTCTAATGTAGTACATTTTATTTCAGTTCTATACTTGAGACTGAAACTATTTAATGATCTATTTCATAAATATTTCTGACATAATTGTTTCTTGTTTTTTGAAGTTTTAATTCAAGTCAACTTTGGCTAAGTTAATAAAAAAAAAATTTAATTTAAGTGATTTTGCTCGTTCAGCTAACTTTAAGAAATATTTTATTGTGCTTAGAGGAAATAATAATAAAATATATTTATGTAAAATTAATCTTGTTTGCAAATTTTCCTTTCTTTAAAAAATACTAGCCCATTAATACAAGTTTCTTTGAAATCTTACATCATTTTTAGTTGAGTGAACTGATTTAAGTTATATTTACTAATAAAATATGACAATTATGATATATAGAGCATGAAAAAGTTAATATCTAAATAAATAATAAAATAAACATGTTTCTCAATTACTCTGCTTTTACTAATTTAAAATTATTGTTAGCCTTCTTTTAGGGAAATTATCTTTTAAGGAAAAAGTCACCATATACAGCTATATTTTTAGAGATTTTATTTAATATTGAATTTTTATTTATTTATTTTTTTGAAATATGTAGACATAGGAGCCATGATGGCTGAGGGGGTGGAGCACTGACCTCTCAGTGAGATTACCCAGGTTCGAATCAAAGCAATGGCTGCTCCATATGAATAGTATTTATTTAGTAGTATTCTCCTATACGTTTATTTGTTACCTGATGTATTATTTGTGTTCTAAAAGAAAACGTCATTTGAAGACTTGTCATATCGAGACGTAAGAATCATTATCAAACACTTCTTACCTTGTCAACAATATATCGACTTTGAAATGTAAAACCTAAATGATAATTTGTAAAATGAACTTAATCTCACTGCTTGAACAATATACTAGCACTAATATAAAATATTGCACGGCTTGCAACAAAAACAAACAGTAATAAACAAGTAAAAAGAGTCCGAATCGGATCTGCCAAGAAAGCGAGTTCTTTCTAAATCTAGCTCTTTTTAACTATATATTTAAAAAAATTAATCAAATTTCTACTTCAAACTCACCAGAATTACTTTATATCATTAATATCTTATAAAATACAGCAGATTTGAGCTCAGAAATTATATAATTTATTTATTTCATACGAAACAAAATTATCTGTTTGAAAATATTGCCTCGCTGTATAAGCTGTAAAAAGCAACTGTATACTTTCTAACTGGAAGTAGAGCAGGTAAAGAGCTCGAGTTTGTTGTTGTTTACATTTATATTGAAAACGCCATCCATAGTATTTTTTTCTAGTGTTTTTCCCATTAATGTAGTGCATCAGTGCTACACTAACAAGATAGTGGTAATTATCTGGAATTCATTCTTAGTGTATATTAGATTATAAATCAGGTAATAAACCTTGTTTTTATGAATAAATTTCATTTTTGTGAACTTTTACAACTGAATAAAATGATAAATAGGGGCAATTCTATACAAATCCCATTCCTCAATGGAGTTGGTTATATTGTGCAAGCCAGAGATGAGTGTACTTGAGTACACTCATTTCTGAAGTATTGATAAATCTGTTTTAGATTACATTGGTTTTGAATGGGTGGGTATGGCGACACTTATTTTAAATGCTATTTTAAAGGTTAACCTAAACATGAAATGTTGAATTTTTCTCACAAGTTGCTTCTAATGATATATTATTTTTATTATCTGTCTATCTCGCACAATGTCATTTTAGTGTATTGTAAATAAATGCATAATTCATTATTTCATATTTATATATTTGTTGCGGTTGTGGCACATCATAGCTAAATCTGATAAAGATGAAATCATTCCAGACTTGTACAATCGAATAAAGTTATGCGAAAAATGAAAGGAACTCAGAATCTTAGGGTTGAATACGGAGGTGCAGCTAGAAAATTTTTCTGCTTCCTCACTGGTGCACACAGTCTTAAGTATTTATAAATGGCCCTTATCTTACACTTTGCACAATATTTTTTCAAATTAAAATATGAGACAAAAACACGCATTCAGGAATTTTTAACTATTCATTTTATTTTAATTTATATTGACTTATATTTTTTTATTTAAATTATTATAATATTAATTATAAGAAATTAATAATTGCGATGGACAGGCGAAATTTAGAAAAAGTACTAAATTGGAACCACAGTAACCACATCGAAACGAAATTTATTTTAATAATATGAGAAAATAACCCTCTCTCTTACAATAATTATATTCAAAATTCAGTTAAGGGTTATTTTTATTTGTAAAATGAATTAAAAAAATATCACATAAAAGAAAAAAATATTTTTATTAAAATTCGTATAGTAGGGTACACAAACTTTTGGAATGAAGAACTATGTGCCCAGATATTTAGAAATGTTAACTGCAATTATGATAATTTTAATGTAAACGCAATGTTTTAGGCACAGTTCTGTTTATCAGTCAGCTAACTTATTTGAATGAAATTAAATTATTTTCAATATTTATGATTATTTTTTTATTTTCTTAATTCCTTTAATTGATTCTTTTTTATCAGTCAATTTAGTAATATAAAAACTAAGGTAAACAGCGTTAAAGAGCACAAAAATATTATTAAATTAATATTTTTAATAATATTTTTGTGCTCTTTAACGTTGTTTACCTTAGTTTGTATTTTAGCACAAAGGTCGCCCACTTGTGTATTTAATTTAGTAATATATTTGCATAAAATTAAATTCTTTTAAACATTTAAAAAAGAAAACCAAGCTGATTCTTATCAAATAAAAATATTCCATTTTAATCAACAAAACAAAATATTTTTTTATCAATAAAAATGGGAAAAAGGTGATTTTTTATCATCTTTTCCTTATCAGATTTCCCATTTCCCCTAATTGGATGATGATGAAATCGGCACAAATTAAGCAAATCAAAAGTGACGATTAAAATGTCTGCTTCAAATATAGTCTATCGTTAAAAACATCAGGATTTTTGAAACCCCGTGGGAAAGCCTAGCAATTAGAATAAATGTTGGAAAAACCATGTAAAAAGGAAAAGAAGAAACTGCTAGATTTGCGATGAAATTTGCACAAATAAGCATTCTATTAAATGTACGATACAGTATGCGTGTAATGTGTTATTTACGTCACTGTAGGTGGGGTTTCAAAGTTGAAAGTTTTATTGTCCTTAAATTTTAATAAAACATAAATGCGCAATCAAAAACTTCCGATTTTTTTTTTTCATTTCTAGGAAAAATTATAATAGGTTTTATTATGTTCAGGTACTATCAGGGATGGCACTTCAAGAGCTGACGGGCCGCAGGTTGTCTAGATCATGTGTCCTGAAACATCGTGCCCCCCCCCCCCCCCCCNCCCCCCCCCCCCCCGTGAAGCAAATGTGTTATTTACGCCTCTGTTGGTGGGGTTTCATAGTTTTAGGGATTAAACTGCTTTCAATTTTAATTATTGAATAAAATTCATAAATTAATAAGTACATCAACATACTTAAAAATATGCTGAAAAACTTTACTAAGCATCATTTTGAAAATAACTAGTATTTTTTAATAAATTTTTATCTTCTTATTTCATTTATATTTTTTAATTAACTTTTATCTTGAAATTTTTTTTCGTACTCACATTTATCTATTTACTATATTTAAGCTCTACTATATTTAATTTTCGGATAATTTTGAAAATTTTTTGTTTTTTTAATCTATCTTATTTCGTGGTGAGTTGCAGCTACTTGATGTAGTATATCAAGAACTGGAAATGTTTACAATTTCTTTCAATTCTGTAAAACTGACGAGGAAAGCATTTACAATATTTTCATTCTTTTTTATTAGTTTCTTTTCACTATGGATAAGGTTTCTATGAATTAAATCTCTTTTCTAATCAGTGCCGCTCTGAACTAATTATAAAGACATGGGTCGATGTAGAACACCGAAAGTTAAGCATCACTGGCTGAGGTCAATAAGAGGGTTGGTAACCACTTTGAGCAGCCTGCCTAAGAACCGAGTGTGTGTAGTATTGATCCTCGTGGAATTGCTCTATTGTAAAGTGCTGGACTTCACGTGCAAGTCGTCGTATTCCAAAGTGGAGGAACCACCCTCTCTGTTGAGGATCAAAATTGAGATGGCGTGTCTTCGGCTCCTGTTCCTCTGGCTTCCTGGTACCCTTGATAATTATAAGCTTGCCCCTTTCATGAGCTTCATGATACTATATTTATTCAGCTGCCAAACTCAGCAATATACCGACTATCCATTTCAACTTTAAGAACGCTCCCCGTTTTGTGACTCCCCATTGATTAATTTTATCTAGCAACAGCACATAAAAAGAATCATTACATTATGCATAAGGGCAATTGAGAGAAGTTTAAAAATCATGCAGTTCCACATTGTTTCTATTGCATTTATACAGCATTTCTTCTTATTTGCCACAGTAAAATAAATTTCACTGTTCTCACAGGCTGCAGTTAGTGGCTGGGTGATCTCTTCAATTAGGTCACGAAGGGACTGAAGGTGTGCCGTATCCGTCCTCGCTAAGCTGTTCTACCGGAAAGTGCTCTACTCCTGAGCAGATCCTTAGGCTACCAAAATGGGGAAGCCACCACCTCTACAGAGGATCAAAACTGTGATGGCATGTTTTCGAATTATTCTCTGGGCTGTTTCCCAGACCGTCTCCAATGGCTCATTGCGAAACTCATCTAGTTCGATGCAAATAAAACAACCTCAACTACTACAACAAAAAAATTAGTAAATTTACACGCCGGGAGGATGCTGTGTTGGAATAAAGAATTTTTAAATGTTATTGTAGAAGTTTGATTAGTTATTTATGGATTAAACGTCAATAGCGTTTGTAAAAAGTATCTACAGTCACTCGATTCGAGTGACTGTATAAAAACGTGAATGAACGCAAAAGTGATTAGCCAATAGAATGATCACTTTTGACTCATTTTAATTTGCAATCAGCATATGTATAATTTTAGTGAAAGAATACCTTGAAAAATGTATATGTTGTCCATTGCCAAAACTAAAAAACTATACTCTAGAAATTTCTGGAATTGAATTTATAAATATCAACTACGTCTTATTTTTTCTTAATTTTGATTGGTGTACGTTAACCCATTTCTCCAATAGAAAATTAGGAAAACTATAAAGAGTAAAAGCGATATTTAACCGTAAAATATCGTCATTTCATACATTGTTGTTGGACGAAGTTAATGTGATTGAAATTCTTTCTCTTGTGTTGTGCTGATTATTGATAAAGGTCGTTATTAAGGACATCTGATTTGATAATTAATTAATATTGAAGTTTTGCGGAAAATTTTTACTATTCGTGTTTATTTTAAAATTTAGTAAAAATGCCCAGACGAGGCCGATCAGCTCCCATGAGGTTAGTATATTTGGACTTATTTTAATACTACTAGTATTTTTTTCTCAAGATTTATGGCGAAAATTAAGCGATGAATTTTCGCTATTTCTATTTTAAATATTTTTAAAATCTTCATCTTCTTTTTAACTCAACGTTTATTTTAGTTTAGTTATTGAATGACAGTTACGTAAGTACTAAGTATTACATAATTGAAATGATGCAATTATTTAGTATTTAGAAGTACGAAATTGTAATTTAGAAAAAAATACTAAAACTGAAAAAATTGATCAAAATTCGATCCAAGGATTGATGCATTTCTTGAGTAAAAAATGCCTTTAGAAGTTAATCTCCTCTTGGTTAAATAGAAGTTACTTCCATATTTTAATGTTTTATGTAGTTGAAATTTTTCTTTATTCAGTTTCATATTTTATCTAGATAATATGTATTGAAAATTTTGAAATTTAAAATAATGAAAGTTAAATAGTTTTGTAGTACATTGACGTACTTGAAATTTAAAATTAACTGCACTTTTTGTGCAGCATGTTATTCAACTAATATAAGGATGTGGCAGAAATCTCATTTAAAACTTTTTAATCATTTAAACTTGTCACAATTCCTTTTTGCTTACACACAAAAATTGCTTTGTGATCAGTCTACAAGCCACTGCAGAGCTCATTCTAGGCAGAAAAAGGTGCAAAAGTTTAAAAAAGAGGGCATTATTATTCTAAAAAGGCAATAATATCTTTCTATGGGCTATACACGTTCTATTAAAAAACATTTTCAATTAGTAAAAAAAAAATTTTTTTTACTTTACTAAAAGTAGCAAAGCAATCATATTAATTACTAATTTTTATTAATAAATTAACATATATATCGGGTTAATGAGCTAATTAACTTAGTAATTTATTTAAAATGCATGCATATATTAATAAAATAATAAATGTATGTTTTTAAGTGTCTGTAAATATGATTTAATAATTAAAATGATTAATATAATAATTCTGATTTAATGATAGTAGAAGTAACTGCAAACTTTCAAAGACAAGTGCAACAAGGGGGTGTGATGGCTATTTTTCCTTACCCATATAAATCTATGTATTGACAGCAATGACAAACTAAATAAAAAGAGTTGAAAATAAATAAGTTTAAGAAATCCATTGTAGAGTTGGGGGAAAAAAATAAAGAAGGGTTGAGGAAAGAAAGGGCAAAAAAGGTATGGAATTTATTACATCAGGGCACTAATTTACTTCAGGGGCAACAGGGCGGATTCTTTTGACTGTGCCCTGTTTACCCTGCCTAGAATGAGCTCTGACCACTGTATATGGATAACTCAATGGCGGAATCATTCATATCAGTATCTGTTTGCACCAACTGTAATCGCCAAGGCACCAAAAGGAAACTTTCAAAAATTTAAAAGATTAAATAAGTTTACCCAAGGGATGCTAATGATTTATACCTTCTAAGTTAGTATCTTTCTGGAATCCTTTTTGATTTTTGCTGGCCACTGGAAGTTGTCATAATTTAGAATAGGTTGAGACATGGAAATCTTCCTATTCAATCATTTTTTAAAGGACAGTTATGAAGTCAATATTTCTGTTCATTTCTTTATAATTATTTGTGAATTAAATTATCAATATTATGATCATAGGTCTGCTCCAAGACCAGCAAGTCATGTACCTGCCAGAGCACCTCCCACACAGCCTGCCCCCGTTGCAGCTGCTCCGCCTCCAATGGTTGCTCCTCGACAACCAGGAATGTTTGCTCAAATGGCCACAACTGCGGCCGGTGTTGCTGTTGGATCAGCTGTTGTGAGTAGTAGTTTTTATTATTTAATTTTGATTTTTGGTTAAATCGTATATGCTAGTATGTATTTCCTTATGAGTTTATTATGAGTTTTTTGGTGGGTTTTCTAAATCTCTGGTCTAACAACCATGTGGTCAGCATGTTTATTCTTCATTTTTTCCTTGAGTTTAGATTATTATAACAGGCATGATGTTGTAAAATGTAATAAGATTTTATTTCTTTTCGACATTAAGGAATAAAATTAAGGATGGGTAAAACAATATTTTCTTTTTTTCATAAAAATTTGATAAAAGTAAAGCATTGAAAATTAGTAATGGTAGACTCTGGTGGCAAAAATAAATAATACTTACAAACTAATTTTAAAAAATAGTTTTTTTTCCTTATTTTGCTATGACTGAAACATTTTACCTAAGAAAGCCAAGTTTTACATGACATAAAACTTTAAAATTGACAAAATTTTTTTTTAGAATAACAAATTAGTATCCCAGATGCAAGATCTGATAATTAACATTAAGAAAAGTTGATGTTATTACAAAATGTATTATAAAGCGTATAGTCTTACTTTTTCTCTCTCTATAGTTTGCATTAATAAATAACTGAACACTTTAAAAGGTTATATTCATATTGAAGCTGAATGAAAATATGATACAAATATTTTTCAATGTAACAGTGGCTTTAGATTTGAGGTACTTGTGTATGAAATTGAAATCGTATGTTCCACGGGTTGATTCAAGTAATTATTTTAAGTGAGAATTGCTTGTCGTTTATTACTCACACACTCGTACATTATACTTGTGTTTGTAATATCAAGGCAGAATATATTATGCATGTATTAATCAGAAATGGACAAGTTTCTCACAGTAAATAAAATCGCCCCAAAATTAATACGTTCCTTTCAACTAATTTGAAAATATTCACATTAAAAAGAAATATATAATCATAAAACATTTTAAGGAGTTTATAATTTGAATAATTTATATTAGTTTAATAATATTAATTTGAAAGCTGTTTGTTTCATTAAGAATCATTATCAAATTATATTAGAAGATTAATATTTAAAATCAGTAAAATAAATTAAACAAATAGTAGAAAAAATTTAACTGTTTGAGACAAAGTTTTATAATGGGATATTTTATAAAGGAAGTACTTAATCAGACACAAATAATTCTATCTACATGTTGTAATTAAATATTTTTTTAAGACAGAATTTGCATAAAAAAATTTCCCCTCTGTTTTTCTTGAAAATTTAAAATTGTAAAAAAAGATAAATTTTAGTAAAATTTTATAGGACATATTTCCACTTTTTTCTTTTCCTTATTGATTTCTGTACCTTTTAAACGAAAGCTATAGGTTGATTCTAACTTTGCAGTCCACCTAAATAAAACTAAGTTTTATTGATTTTACTTAAGATTTATCATATTGTTTAATTTTCTACTCATAACAAGTCAATTAGCCCTTTTTTTAATAATTAATGAGCACTTTCAGAAAATTATATTTCTATTATTTGATAAGCGAAATAATGAGGGTGGGGTACAAAGATGGCACCACCGTATTAGCTGCTGCAGTTATAAAAGGGATTTCTCACATGTGAACTAAATAGGGATAAAAAAAGAACTCATTCTGCTCTGGCAAATGATGATTAATGACAATGTTGTGGTTTCAAATTTTGTTTCTGAGCATGATCTAGTAAAGAAACATAAAGAGACTGAATCTTCACTTAGTCGCAGCAGGAGTAATTCTAATTCATGTAAACCACGTTCTGTACTTGTACTGAGAGAAACCAAAAAAGGTGTAAAAATTTTGCTTTTTGTTCATAATATTGTTCTTATTTCAAATGTTCAAAGATCAATTTAGTAACTAAAATATTTTATAACTAAATATTTAGTATCTAAAATGTTAATTTTATTTATTTTAAGAGAAATTTATAGTTTCGTTGCAGCAGATTTTGTCTTTATTGTAAGATATTCATAGATTAATTTAATAAACTTATAGATTTGATTTAATTGTCAAATATTCTTTCTTAATTATAAAGAGACATATATGTATAATAGTTATGAAGAATTATTATATTTTATTTTTTAGGCTTTGAACATGATTAAAAACATTTAATTCACGTTTTTTATGCATTAGATTTTGGTGTTTTTTTCCTGTTGCAAAAGGAAAATTTAATAGAGCACATTCAGAATTGATAAAAATTCAATGGTTTTGTTTACTTGTAACCTCTAATGAGAGTTTAATTTTCTAATACCCTATTAATTTATTTGCTTACAGAAGTTTTGATAATTTTCTGTTTTAAAATTTTCTGGAAAACCCAAATCTCTAAATATGCAGGATCCCTGTGACATATCTCTCTAATACTAACATCTTTCTGCAAGATACTTTTAAAAATAACAAATATATGTGTTACTAATTTAGAGTAACACAAGCATCAAAGTAAAAAAAAAAACCTATTTGGGTCAAATAAAATAATTTTATTAAATGAATATGTAATGATTTTTGTGTTTGGGAGATATTCTTGCATTTTGTAGGGGGGGAAACACGCTAATTATTTCCTTCTTCGCATTTTGTAAATCGTCATCACATTAAAAAAAAATTTTTAATCCGTAGCAGAAAACCGTGTTATCCGTAACTACAAAAAAAAAAAAAAAAATTTATTACGAAATCATGCGAATCGGACTCTTTAAAAAGATGTTACTAAATTCCCGTTTTCATTTTGAGATTCAGTTGTTGTAATAAATAATATATTTAAAATATCATATTTTAAAAGTTATGTGGTAATCAATAGTAATTACTGCATAAAAATATAGAAAAAAAATTTTTGCAGAAAAGAAAACCTAATTTTTTACTTCATTATTCTCAAATAAGAATAGAAAAACCACAAGCATTCCCCCCCCCCATCCGGTGCACGAGAAAGGCATCTATTGAATATAATTCTGAAGAAAAGATAAATTTTTGCAGAAAAGAAGACTAAAATAATTTTTTACTTCCCTAAGATAAATCTTTCTGCAAGATTTCTGTAATGTTCTGCAACAATGTCGCCACGGGGTGCAGGATAGTTTAATGTTATAAGTTGCTCATAATTTAAATATAAGCATGCCTAATAACACAAATGTAATTTAAATATAAACTTATAATTGAGGTTAAATAAATATTAAAATATATAAAAGTTTGTATTTAAGTATATAATATAATAAGTAATACAGTGGTTGCAACTGATGAAATCACTGGATTATATCAGCCACTTTTTAAAATCAAATCTGTGAGAACTGTATCAAAACTTGCTACAGCTATCTTTGATAGTATTATTATCACCGTTTAATAAAATCGAGCTTTTGTAAATGCTTGTGTTTTGAAATTGAAAATCTGTTTTTTCTTGCCTAAATAATTAAAATTTTCTCTAATTTTAAAAGACATGTGACATAAAAGCTACTTTTATTCTGCCCTTGACAGACTATAAAGAGGAAAGTTACATGATTGGATGACACTTGGGGAAATTAAACAGTGAGAGTGGATAAAATAAAACAGGAATATAAGGATACCAAATGAAAACTGTATTACAAGAAGTTGACATTAAAAAAAGTTTAAAAAATGACTTAAGAAAAGTTACTGAATGTCTCATTATATAGTTTCAATGATCATCACTAAGTCAATCAATAAGATAAATCTATCTTTAACAAATTTCTGAATTTTAAATTGGTTTGGACTTAACCACAAAGAGAATGAAATACTGTAAGCTATAAAAGCTTTTGTAAACTTAACAATCATATCAATTAAATAAATAATGCACTAATCAAATAAATGCACTAATATTTTAAAACCTATTGTGTGAATTAAAGAATGTAGCTCATATTTAGTTAAAATGTTGAATGTAAAGTCAGTAAAGATAAAACATATAATGTAGAATTTAACTTGTAGTTCTCCAAGTTTCAAAATCAGTCGTTTTATGAAATCAAATAAAACATATGTGAATTTATTACACTAATAAACAACCTAGGAATGATTTAATAAATAAAAGAAAATGAATAATTTTTTTTCCAGAAAAAACAATTATTCATTGTAAAAAAACTTATAACTTTCCCATTTATTAAATGTAAGCTATTTCCTAATTCACTATTTTTTGAATTTTTTTGTCACCAGTTTATTTTTATATTCTGCATACCAGTTTATCTTTATAGATGTATTCTTTATAAATTGTTATTTAAAAGAATAGGTTTGTGGCTTTTTGAATGGATTCATTTTGATTTGATTCCTGGATATTAAACTTTAATTAGTATTTGTGTTTATTGCAGTGCTTTCAGTTTTTTTTTTATATACTGAACACTTTTTTTAATCATTTATTTCAATTAATTAAAATAAACAACAATTAATTACTGCTAACTTAAGGATAACTTTTACAAAATATTTACATCTGACTTTTGGTAAGTTGTAATGTAATGAATGATATTAAAATGTCTTAAGTTAATCTTAAAACTGTGGATATAAACTTTTGTTATAACAAAATGAAATGTCATACTCATACTGTAAACTAAGTTCTTGAAAAGGAAAACTATAAACAAATATATCTTTACGCTGGTCTTCATTTCTTAAATGTTTCATATTTTATTGTGAAACAAAAATGTGGGGACCTATATTAAAACAAGGTCTTGTATCTTTTATCAGAGGATTTAGAGATAAACTCTGGAGTGACATGGAGTTTTTCTAAAGGTGACTCTGAACAATTGTTTGTATTTGTCATAAGCTTTTGGATGAAACCAAAATAATTAAAAAAAGTAATAATGAATAACACTCTAAAAACTAAACATTTTTAAGATAAAATTTTAGATTATTAATATTTACTCATATTTACTATTCCTTTGATGCAAATGAGACACCTGTGTACCTTTTGCATAAGTATTTATTTTTTTCCTGACACTCTTAATTACCAGCAAATATATATTTTGCTATTTTTTTATTAATAAAAAAAGAGTCTAATAGTTACTTAGAAAATAAAAATTTGTTAGATATTGCAATTATATTTATACTAAAATAAAAATTCAATGTTCAAATTCAAAATTTTAATGATGAATAAACTGTTCCTCTTAGATCTAAATAAGTGCAAAATCATTGTTTGGAAGATTTTATCTTTAATGCAGATAGAGACACCAGTACTTCATGGAACATAACCATTTCATAGTCATAAATTATTAAAATGCTAAATACAGTAGAGCGCCGATTATCCGAACCCTTATTATCCGAACTTCCAATTATCCGAACTATGTCTGAATTCATTTTTTTTTTTTTTTTTTTTTAAAGTTTGGAATACTTTTTAACCTATCGACAATTTTTCTATATTAAGAAGAATAAGTAATATCCCCTACATCTGAAGACTATATTTAATTTACAACCTTTTTAGCAGTTTTCTTGTAGTAGCCGTAATACATGTATTGTGATACAGTTAAACCTACATAACCCTTTACAACTGAAAATTATCTTCCAAGAATGCGAGCTTCATTTTGATAGTCTACAATGGTAGGAATGCAGAAGGAGTTTATGAACAGATAAGTGCTGAAGTTCTATAATTGGGGAATGGGTAGTTGTCACTCATGGTTAATTATTAGTGATTACAGTGCTTGGAATCTTAAATCTTGGAATAAAATTCTTAACAGAAAAACAAACGAAACTGAAGTTTCTGAACCAGTAGATCATTCGGATGAAAATGATGACATTGTTGCTGAAATTTTGAATGAAAATCGGAACTGCACGCAATTCATTAGATATTGCAATGAATTGGCTAGAACGTCAAAAATGATGTTGATCCAGTTCAGTTGATTTATTTAAAAAGAATAATGGATATATGACTGCTATAAAAAAAAATTCTTTGAAACAAAATCTTTGCTGAATTTCTTTCACAATGGAAAATAATAAAAAATGTGGTAAAATCAGTAATTGACAAAAAAATTATAAAAAACTGAAATATGTATGATAAAAATAATTCAAAATGAAAAAAAAATTAAAAAAAAAAATTAATTTAAAATATTAAAAAATTGAAAAAAAAAACTTTTAACACGCCAGAGCTACTTTAGATAGTACTGCCAGTCCTAAGCCTACAAAAGGTGCGAAGGGAAGTTAGTGCAGAAATAATAATCATTTACACTAGATTTTAAACAACTTTCCAATTATCCGAACTTTTCATTATCCGAACAATGTTCGGTCCCGAACAGTTCGGATAATCGGCGCTGTACTGTATAATGTTTTTCTTATTTTGACCTAAACTAATACAAGATAGTGAAAAATATGTTTAATAAAAATTCTGCATCAAAGGGTTAAATATATTTTGAGAATAGAGTAACAAAATATATAAATATAATAATAAAATAAAACTCAAATTTAAAATAAAGAATGTACAAAATATAATTTTAACAAAGGAAACAGTTTAATTTAGTTATTGAGGTTTTGCTTTTTATTATAGCAACTATATTTAAAATTTTATTATTATTTTTTAGGGTCACACAATAGGTCATGCATTAACTAGTGGAGGAAGTGCTGCAGAAGCTGTAGCACCAGAACAAGCGCCTGCAGCACCTGCTCAGCCTCAAGCTCAGAGAAATGCCTGTCAATATGAATTCAAACAATTTTTGGAATGCACACAACAACAATCTGATATTAGTTTATGTCAAGGATTTAATGAAGTTTTTAGACAATGCCAGCAAGCTAATGGTAAGTAGCAAATAAATACTTTAATATTTTTATTTAAATTGGTTTTATCCGAGAATCTGGAACATAGTTTCTCTGTTTGTATTATATTATTTTTTAGTGAATTGTGAGATTTTTTCTGTGAGTTCATAATTTCTACCTTTAAGGTATTTCTGAATGTGTCTCACTAATTTTACTGAGTAAAGTTTTTAGCTTTTTTTATTTAATCTTCTGATTTAATCGAATTCTTTTTATCAGTTTCCTAAATTAAAGAAATGGTTAATTGCTTTAAGTGACAGAGTATTTTATTAAAAGCATGCACATTGTAATTTTTTGCAACTTAATAGTGTAGTATTAGTAGTGTGATATCTGCATATTATTACTGAATTTAAGTAATTTTTGATGAACGTGCTTTTTTATGAGAAATGTAGTATGCAGAAATAAAAATTTGTGGATTTCGTTACAGTTTGTAGCAAATATTATAACTAAAATGTTTAAATAAACATTTCAAGTTTATAGACTATTAAAAATAAAATTCATTTCTACAATTTTTCTTATTTTTTATAGGTTTGGCTCCTCAATTAAGTTAGATGTTTGAAATTCAAGATCAATTAGTGTAGAATGATGTTTCCTAGGTTCAAAATATTTTATTTAGTGTGTTAGGCATGAATCATTGTAACCCCAGTTGTAATTGATAATAAATATGTTGTAAAATATAGTTTCTTTTTAATTTGATATCAAATTTGTGTATGCAGAACACTTTTTAAAGGGAAGTAAATTAAAAGATTAAACATGTTAGATTAATTAGAGAACACTATCAACCCCCCTCTTAAATACAAATAAATAGCCAGGACAATTTGGGGTAAAAATTTTTTTTTTGAACTGGTACTTTTATTTATCTTAATTCTGGTTACTTTTACATTTCCTAGTAATTAATAAAAATTGCATTCAAATAGGTCTGTAACTATTTTTTCATAATAATGAAGATATTGGTGAACTCTCATATTTAGGTTACTAATAACATAAATTTAATCAATGAAAAATATGAATGCATTATTCAAATAAAAATAATTAGTTTCTGAAGTGCTACAACCAAGTAATGCCAGTAAACGTATGAAAACATTCAGAGGATTCTTCTTAAAACATGTCGCAGTGTGTTCTTCGCTAAGTTTAGTTTGCATCTTTAATTTTCATAAGTGTTGATGTCGGAAGAACAAGAGATTCCAGACTAGAATAATAGTTACAGAGAGACACTTTTTTGTTTAAATACAACTTTGTTAAAACTTTAAAATCAGTTAAAATTTTTTACATAGCAATGAAGTGAAAAATTGTATTTTCTTTTATACAGTTTAAAAAACAAACAATATACCGGATTAACCTTTAACTATACATTTGCGGGATTGTTGAACATGAATGTTTTTAAGCTAATTCATTTACATTTGAAAGAAATATTTTTACAAATAATAATCCTTTTTATTTTCAAGAAGGAATCTAAAGCAGTACATTAATTTTATAAAGTAAAATAAGGTAAACGACATGTGTTGAAAAAGTAAATAATAAAAATACAATAAAAAAAACTTTTTTCCAAAGAAAATTTCTACAAAATTCCAGATAATTTTTTTTATACAAACAGAAATATTTAATCTGAAATTTTTATTTTATTTAATCTAATAAACAATGGCACTTATTTTTTTTTTTTTTTAAAAAAAAGCAGACTTATAAACTTGGTAAAAGAATAAAATTTCACACTCTACAAATAATAGTAGGGTGTTTAAAATTTGAACAACTCCAATTTTGGATATGTTGTTTAATTTATCAGGTTTTTTAAATATCTGTAAACTTAAATTTTTTGGCTTAAAAATTTGTTTAATTCTCTAGTTCATCAGAAAATTGTTTTGTGATCTTTCACCTTAAATTTGTTTGCATTTTCCTACAAATATATTGCTTTGTAAACCCCACATAAGCTTATGATGATTTATCTTCATTTTATAAACCGATAAAAAATCTCCTTGAAGCAGTTGCTGAATTATAATAATCCAACATATTTAGCTATTTTTTTTTTGATAAAAAAAAAAAAAAAGCTATGTAAAAATGGATATTTTATTTAAAATGAAGTGAATTAGCATAGTTTACTAAGGTGGGTAGTTCATTATGTGAAGCTAAAGTCGAAATTATTATGGTTTGAATTAAAAAATATCTATTTGTGATACTGATTGTTAGAAAAATTAAATCCAAAAATTAAATAAAACATTTATTACATAAAACAGTAGTATACAATTTTCATGTACTGTACATTCTCCTAACTACAAGCAACCTGAAAAATTATCAAAAATATAATTAAAATATAAAAGTAAAAGAAATCAGTACATTGATAAATAAAGATGACTTACTTGAAGTTTAATTATCAAGTTTTTTCTTCTTTTTATGTTTAACTTTCTTTTCAGAAACAGTGTTAACAATCTAGAGAAAAGATGAGTTTTGCAATAAATATTGTTTGAATTAAAATCAACTAAATGATATTTTTAAAAGAAAGAGAAGTCTTTTACACAAATTTTTATAATAATGAATAGGACTTTATTTATTTGTTCAACTATATGGATTTAGAATTAAATCAAGTTTAATAAAGCAAAGATTTTTAATTAAATATAAATGCAATGCCCCTTAAATAATTTTAACTGAAATTAAATTATCTTTGGGTAAATAAACATTGTAATTGTATAAATTTTAAATTCGTACATTTATATTTAAGTTCAAAATATACGTTTTAATACAAAAATAGGGATAAGGAAATTAAACTTCTCTTCGTTGATACTGCATTTGTATAATTTTGGCTACCATGCCCCTCATGTGTACTAAATCCATATTCTGCATTTCTAGGCAAAACAGTATAATTTCCAAATTTAATTAATAGCTGAAAACTTAAAAATAAGATCAAAAGTCCTTCACAACAATTTCTGTCAATTTACAAGCATACACGGAATATCCATACTTAATTAAAAGTTGTTTCTTCCAGTTTTTTAAGATGAAAGTTGTATTTATGAATGTCAATAACAACAGACTTCTAACAGTCATTTCACAGATAGCAGTTTTCTGCTCAGCTTATTTTATATATTATATCCAGTAAAAAATAACTATTAAAAAGAATTACATAAAATGTATTGAAAATGATTTCTGCAATATTCAGGGGTGATTAAATTCTGGTTGATGCCAGGAATTTCGGGTTCTTCGTATCACCCTTCCAAGTCTAGAAACTTGGAGCAGGGCATGTCACTTTTTCACGTAATTTTGCATATCTTTAGACAATTGATTTGCGGACTTCCAAGAATCAAAACTTCTGATCAGACGAAATTTTTGTCGCTATCTAAAATTTAAAGTAAGACTTAAATTCTACAATCTTAAATTTAAATTTGGAAACCTTTGCTAAATTGGGTTAATGAGACGTTTTCATACCCGCGACTCTTCTGTAATTTTGGATTTCTTTCTTCCAATTTCAGTTAGATGGAATGTCATCATTTTTATTATTTGGAGCTACGCCGAAATCCGCTATTAATTTTCACGAGTTAAAAATCAAATATCGCAATTTGTATTCACACGAATTCAAAAGCCAATATTGTGATTAATTTTTGCACGATTTTGAAACAATATCGTGATTTGTATTTTTGCATTTTTAAAATGCAATATTACGATTGATATTCAAGTGATTTTAAAATCCAAGATCGTGATTCCAGTAAGAGCTAAGTTTTTTCTTAAATAATTTACCATTAAAAAGTGATTCTGAACTGGTAGGTAATTTAATTATAAATCTTAGTTAAAAAAATTATATAAATTAATGTCTTGTTATCGAGTTTTTGAACATAAAATTTTCAGGGTTTTTCACTCGGTGTCACAATTACCCCTGCATATTGAAACTTATTCCACTACTTTCATTGCTCAAACTATCTAAAATCAGACATACAATACTTTTTTTCATTCTAGTGTGTAAATTGACAACCCATATCTACATTCACATGCTTGAAAAGTCCATAATATCTCAGAAAATACATTTCATTGTCGTTTTTTTAACATCTGCATCTTAATGTTATGGTTTAACTTATCAGTTGATGGTTATAATATATGATTGAAAACTCATATATATTAAACAACTTTTTAATTGAATTTAATGTCTTTACACAATAAACATCAACAAAATTTATGTGAGCAAAATATAATAAATATGAGCAAACCTAAGATTTAAGAAAAACATTTTAATCTGAAAAAAAAAAACATGTTTCAAACAGTCTTAAAAACTGTTTTTCCCCTCAATTTATATAGCAATAATTTTTATTATAAGAAATGAATGTTAAATTACCTGATCATTCTGTTTAGATCTATATGGTTTCTCCACAGGTGGAATAAAAGATTTGTTACGACGTTCCTGTCTTTTGGCTTCTGCTTCACTTTTCTTTTCCTATAAAATATGGTTTGCAGATTTTATAAAGTTAATTTTAATACATTTAATATATAAAATATTAATGTGTGGGTATCATTTGTTTGATATCTGTAATTTATCATTATTTCTTTATTTACATGTTTGGTTCACAATGAATGAATGACTAATTATTACTTCATTATAAATAATTTATTTGGTATAATTTATTTAAAAACTTATATTTGATTCAGGTTTTTTTCTGTATTGTTTTAACTGAAACAATCTAAAATTCAATTTCAAACTGAATTGAAGTTCTTGATTTTAGTTAAGAAATTGTATTACTTCCTTTTAGAAAATGGACAGTTTTCATTCAGAGTTTCTAATCGGTATCTTTCAGAATCCTATATGCTTCCAACCAAATTTGTTGTTTGTCATTAATATTAGAAATGCAAATTGGTAAATATTTTTTTCATTTTAAGGTTCTTTATTTCAATATCTATTAGATGAAAAAGAAAATCTTATATTACAGATTTAAATGAATAGAAGATTGATTTTTATAAAGGTCTAAATACCTCAACTATACAATTATCATCATTTAAATTTGTAAGTCTGTCCCAATGTTTATAACAATATATTCATATATGAACAGAGACTACAAATGTAATCGAGTTTCCACTCAATTTCAGAAAGAAAAAAAAAATTTCCTGACTTTCCCAGGTATACCAGGTAAATTTCAATAAAAATCGAGAACATATTTTATCTACATCATGTGATTTCTCATCAGAAAACTTTGGTTCTTTTATTTGTAACATCAAATATTAGATTTTCTGAATAAAAAAAATACAATTAAATGAGGATGGGATCATTTCAGTTTGACTAAAATGTGAAATTTGTACATTAAATAATTGTAATAGATGTTAGAATTAATGAATTCTAATCTCAATAACTGATTAGTGTTACTAATAATTTTAAGACTGGTAATTTTTCAGGTATGGTGTTAAGAATTTTCCAGGTTTTGGAAAAAAAATTGCAACTTTCCCTGATGTGGAGTTTTGTGGGAACCCTGATGTAATTATATTTCATAAAAAAAAAAAAANAAAAAAAAAAAAAAAAAAAAAAAAAAAAAAAAAAAAAAAAAAAAAAAAAAAAAAATACTAGCTTTAATACCATTTTTTCAGCAAGTCTCTTCTTCTTTCTGTCTTCTTCTTTAAGGAAATATTCACCAGAAGCCAAAAGTTTATCAACCTAGAAACAAAAGTAGCTTTTAGATTTAACTTTCAAATGATAGAAAATCGATTAAAACCTTTTTATGAATTAATATTCCAAAAGTAAAGATGATTCTAAAAAAATACGAACAACAAATTGTAAAACTGCATGAATTTGAAAAAATTTATGCATATTGTTCATAAAGTAAATTTCTACAATAAAGTGAATTAAAGCAAACGAAAAATTAATAGAGCAAAATGCAGCTTTTTATTAAGTTAAGGAAATTCTTAATTAATTAATTTTCTTTTATGAAAAAGTACAATTGCTAATAAATAAAGAAAGAAATTCAATAAATAAATAAAACAGGCTATTCAAATCAAAATGCATAAAACATTGAAAATATAATGCCATAGACAATTTAAAATTTTATTTTGTTCAATAATATAAATATATATGAATATTATAATTCAATATATTAGGCTTATATTGCTTAAAGCAATTTTGTGTGATTAAATTTATATGTGGTTTGGTGATAATGACTAGAAAAATTTCTTGTTTACTATGATAACAATGCAAATTAGTAGCTTAAACACATTGAGTTAACAAAATTAAATATCATCCAAAATGGATGAAATAGTATATTTATTGCAAATTTTATGGCAGATTAAGTCAAGTAAAAATTGCGCCTTACTTTGCTTTCTGGTTGCGGAGGTGGAAAGGGTGTATAGTCCTTCTTAACCGTCTTTTTCTTAGGTTGTTTCCGCTGGACATTCTTGTTGACATACTTCGGAAGATAACGATCCCAACTCTCATTTTTAAGAGATGCATTTTTCATGAGTTCCTTTTTAGCCAAGAGAACCTATGATAGAAAAATCAGGTGGAAAAGATTACATGATAATAATTGCTGGAGATAATTATTAACACAAGTCTTAACAAACAATGAATTTATACTCGTGTAATGTCATTAATAGTTCAAAAGAAAACTAGTATTCAATGAAAAAGGCTGATAATATAGTTTGTCCGTGAGTCTTTCATAAAAAAATAACGGAAAAAAAAACTGAATTGTGCTGAAGAAACAAGCATTTGCAGATTGGTTCCAGAACAGGTTAAAACCAAATAAGAATATGCAAAAAATATTGTATACATAAACTTCATTATTATTAACAGCAAACAATAAAATAAAAAGCCGAAAATCTAAATAAGCTTTGTGCTATCAGCACATTAATTGCATTTAATATTCATTTTATAATAAATAAAGAGAAATTAGTTCTGCCAAAAGAAAATAGTAATTGCCGGAAATTGTTTAAAACCTAAATACATAAAAAGTAGGAACAAATATGCATTAGAAAAACATTATACATTAAAATTTAGTTGCATAGAAATTCCTAAATGACATTCAACACTTACACAATATGAGCATTTTCTTTACATATGCTAACTTAGTTTTAAAATAATTCATTAGTACACTTATGCATGTTAGATATGAGTTCGGTTTTGGAGGTCAGAGCCTGAAGAGTTTTAATCCGAGTCTGAGATATACAGGGTTACATATAATGCATACTGTTTCCATAAGAATGTATTTTTACAGAACATTCGCAATACATTGAATTTTGTTTTTTGCTACTAGACTTATTTCCCACTGTGTCATTTGAAAGCTGTAAGTTTGCCATATTAAATATTTGAATTTTGCTAACAATGACCCATTATGGAACTATGTCCAACGCTTGGTACAGAGTTCACTGAAATTCCAAAATGACTAAAACAAAATAAAAAAGAAAAACAAAATTTTAAGCTGAATATAAGTAATTTGACAGTTAGTGTTAACCTCACTTAGCAAAAACACTGAATAGAAGTAGAGGGTGCTGAAATTTTTTATTAACTTAGAATTTTTACATTTTTTTTGTAATTAATGAAAGCTGCAATAAGCACAGCAATGATTCAAACTTCTATTTTTGGTGTTATCCTTTTTTATTGGGGAAATTTAAACAGTCTTGATGTATGCACAAATGTTTGAAAAGTCTAGGATCATTTTGTTTCATAAAAAGTATTTATGATAAAATTTGTTTGACAAAAACTTTTTATATTTGATACTTTAACTAGTTATTATATAAGTAAATAAATTAAAGTGACTATTTTACATAAAAAAATACATCTGATCTTACAGTCGTGATTATAATTTGGGCTATGCATAAATAATATCCATTTGAATTATACACATCTTAGAATATCAGTTCCAGCTTTTTCTTAACTTTAATCAGGTGTCTTTCTAGGCCACAAGAATATATCTCTCCCTATTACTTTTCAAAAAGATTGCCACGTGCAGCAAGAAATTTTAAATACAATTTATCCTAGAGGCTCAATGCTTAAAGGTTTAAATACAAAAACAATCTTATTTATGGCATAGAAAAATATTATTTTGATTCTCTTTTAGCACTGTCAACAGTCATAATTAAATAAACCACTGCAAATGAGTAAATGTTTAGTGTCAATGATACAAGTTATTTCGATACTTACTTTTAAGTTATATATAGGATGAACAGTATTATTCATAGTATCTTCAACTATTTTTCTAACCTATAATAAATATAAGTAAAATTAAATAAAGAAAGAAATATCTTTTAGAAAGACAAGGAGTTAAGATTTAGATATTGTGGGCTGAATAAACTATTATTTTAAATAACATAAAATCATTTTTTAAAAAGCTGTCTATCTGCTGTCTAAAAGCTTATCTACAGTTAAGATGACGATATATCAGCTCAATTATTAGTAAATTGAAAGTATGCATAAATATTTATTGATTGATATATAAAATTGATGAATTGATTTTGTAATGCTGAAGAGTGACTTTTGTTGAACAATGAATATAATTGCTTGTGGAATAAGAAAACTTGCTTTTAGAATAAAAAAATTGTGCAATATATCTGAATAAGCGATATGGTAAAGATTATTTTAAAATAATAAAAAGGATAATGATCAAATACATTAACAAAAAATTTATTAGTAATACATAACAATAAACAACTACATTTAAATTTATAGCTACATTACTCATACACAATCACTTATTAAAGTAATAAAATGAATACCTAAGAATTGATAAATAAATTTTATTATACAATTAAAATTAAGAATGAATTGAAAATGAACTAAAATTTTTTTTACATGTTATATAGCAGGCAATTATTGTATAAGTTTTTAATCTCGTACTTGTTTTAAACAAGGCATAGAAAAGTCAAACATGCATAAAAAATAATAATAAATAGTGTAAAAAGCAAACATACATGTTGAAGTCCTTTATAAGGGCCTAATGTTGCAACAGACTTTCCTTGCACAAGAATATAACAATTTGTTAAAAGTTCCATGGCCTAAAAAATAATTTTTTAAAGAAATTATAATGAATTTGTTAGTAGAAGCATTTATAAGAAATGTTTTATATTTTAATTACTTTCAGAGTTGTTCCCTTAGAACCAATCAAACGTTGCCTCCTTTTAACGAATCTGTCTCTTCTTCTTACCATTGAACCGATTTTTATAATATCACACCCCATGTTATCATCTAATACTCTAAGAGCCTATAAGAAATAATATATAAATAGAATATTTAGGATGAAAATAGATATCAAATTACATAAAAATCTGGTTACAACTAACCTGTTCATAGGGTACACCTCGAGCAATAAGTTTTATTGCATCCCTAGCTTTAAGAATTATGTAAGGATCCCATGTTTTCCTAGTTGTGGCAACAGTCATGCTACCTTCAATTACATCCAAATTTGCAATTATACCCTAAAAGTATATAAATATATTTTTAAATATGTGGTGTATTTTAAAACAATTAAAGATGCCAAATTTTAAACGTGTAACCATGGCAATTTTCACAAGTACATAACTTTTTAACATTTAACAATAGTATCGCATGTATTTTAATAAAAAAAAAAAAAAACATAAGAAATATATTCTACACATTGAATTGCACTCAATCAGAACTCTAGAACTCTTCATAATAATGTTTCGAATTTGAAGAAATCTTTTCCATGCTAACAATTATTTTCCTTATCAGCAAGAGACAAGGTAGTAATTTTTTGAAACCTTTCAGAGAATCTAAAAACATAAAAGTTTTATGCAGGTTTTATGTATTTTTTTTTTTTTTTGAGTTAAACACATGGCTTTTAATCAATTCAGTTAAAAAGACAATCTTTATTAAGAGCTGTGTTTGCCCCAAAAATTACAACACCCTATTTTAAAAACAAGCAGGAACCCTACCATGAGCTCCATGGAATGAAATTCCATCTGGGAATGACGTCACGTTCCAACGGGAATTATTTTTCCCCACCACGAACACCTTGGAAAGAGTTTCTTGGCTGGAATTGGAATCGGTTTCATTCCAACCAGTCTCCGGCACCTGGAATCGTCGTTCCAAGGAGGGAATGATGAATTTTTAAGGACTAAATACGATATTTCGTCGATGAATGTCTTAATTTTTTTCTATTTCATAAGAGAAGATAACAAAATTTCTAAAAGATAAACGTGCCCGAGCCATTTTCAAGACGATAATTAAAAGAGAAATGTTTTGTTTCATTAGTATGTGTGAACGAAAAGATACTTTCAGAGTTAACTAAGAAATTACGGCAAACTAAAAATAATTATGCTCTCATTATATAATAATTGTTACTATTTCTATGTTATTATTACGGGATGTATTACTTGGCCAATACCTTTTTCTGAAGTTCCAATCATTTCTTTTTTTAATTTTCTTTCGATGAACTTTTAATTCAACAATATTTAACTTCCTTTCGAACGATAGTTCTTTATACTATACACCAATGGCAGCACATTTAAAAGAATTTTTTACAGGCATGATGTATTATAAAGTAAACAATTTATTTATAATAAGAAATACAAAAAAGAATAAAAACGTTTCAGAAAATATTTATGAAATTTGTATTTATTTCTTCTTTTACTCATTTTCAAAATTTTTATTCTCATTCTTCCATTAAAATATATACTATAAAAGCTGCGGAAGTAGTTCCCTGAACTATAATTTTTAAGTATTTCATACGTAAAATGATTTTACAAATCACGAAAAAAATTTTACGCAGTTCTATAAATTAATTTCTTGTGAACATATTTATTTAACTATCAGTAAAAACAGTCACTTTTATAATGTAACAAATAAACCAAAGTAATAAGCAAAGTAGTAACTTTAGTCATTCATACTGTTACAAATTTAATTGAAAACTAATGAACTTTTCTGAAATTAAATTAATTTCAAAGAGATCAAGGCAAACGTTAATTTTTTTGTCTGATAAAATTTGAATTCTTTCTGGCAATTAGTTTGGATTTAAAAACTAGTATAATTAGTAATCTATCTACATGCAGTTCTCAGGCACGAAATTTTGAATCTTAATTCATTAAAATATGATCATTATTTTAAGAGTTGTACTTTTTAAAAAATATTTAAAATAAATAATGAAACGTATTAAGGGATATATCAGAAATATTTATTATGAAAAAATGATTTTATTTTATGAATTATACATGATAAATATGACAGTTTTTAATTAATAAAACTATATGTATAATAAATTGAAGAATATTTCAAAGTATTCGCAGTTCATGTTTTTTTAGTCTAATGAAAACAAAAAACATTATAAAAAGAAAACAATAAGTAGTCAAAAATATTATCTAAATAGCAGAAGCTCGTTTCGTTTTACTCATGCTAATGCTGCCAAACTCAAAAAGAAAATCTAAAGTAAATTGTGTGATTGGTTAAATTTTAGCCACGCCCTGAGAGCGAGTTATCGTGGAATGTCTGATTCCAAGGGAGTGTTCATGGTACGGTATTGAACATTCATGGAACCAAACTTTCCCAGTTTCACTTTCCAGCCGGGAATCTTCATTCCATTCCCGGTAGTTCATGGTAGGGCTCCAGGAGTGTGTGTGAAAAAATTCCATTCCCTCCACAAAACCCTCTCTATATAAAAAATTAAATATCCCTCAACAAAAGCATAATGGGAAATCAAAATGCAGCATATTGAATCTTATTCATGCATAATAAAGGGGAAGTAATAGCTTTATTTGTCATTAATTTTTCTTTAATGACGCTTTTCTAAACTCTTGACATATGTTTTTTAATTTCACATCTTAGATACAAGACTCACTATGATCATATAAATCAAGGTTATGAATATTAATGGGTAATAGACTATCAATAAACTTATGCAAAAATAAAAAAAAGAGAGAGAGAGGGAGAATATAAAGCACAAATGAAAACATATATTAGACATTGTGCTTTATTTATATTATTTGCTTTAGCCTACATAGCAAAAAGTATACTCTATTCTTTTTGGACTATAACTATGTTTAACACATTTAGAGCTGTTGGGAAAAGTATTCCACTCTATACAGGGTTCGCCAAGTGGGCCCACTTTGAAAAAATCCACTTGGAAGTGGGTTCTTAAATTTGGTTGAAAAAGAAGTATCTCCTAATACTGTCACTGGACACATCGTGGATGTTAATGAATATTCTAGAACTGTGCATCAAGCACATGGATGGGCAACTGAAATAAAATGCTTAATGGCCCAATTACCAAATGATATATAAGTTAGATTTATAAACTTGTTCATTTCATATTACTGTTGCATTTATATTTTATAGTGCTTGAGTTAAAAATTGTGAAACATTATGTAACAACAAAGTTTAACATTAAAGATTCAAATATGTATTAGTGATAAGGCATTCTTTAAACTTATTTTAATTTTGGTATAGATATTTTATATAAAATATTTGGATTTATTTCAATTTATAAGATTATACAACACTATTAATAAATAAAAATATTTTCTCAGTAAAACTTTTAAGTTTATGAACACTAAATTAAAAAACCCAATTTTTCCTGGGTTTTCTCAAATAAAACCCTATTTCCCCCAGATTTTTTCAATAAAACCTGGACCGGTTGGGTTTTTTTCAAACCCTGACTCTGCATACAATCGTAATTAAAAACAAAAATATTATTTTCAAAATTTTATAACTTAATTTAGTAATTACACTGCACAACGGGAAAAATGTCCTTTATATGAAAATATTTATTTCTTGAATAATTTTTGCAATAATTAAGTCGTTAAATTATGCTTTCCGTATACCAGTTACCCAAAAATCCACAGCTTAGCTTGGTGATTTTATGCATTTTAACAGCATACAATAATAACTTATGAACAAAAGAAATTTGCTGTTATTGACAATGGGATCATCCCCAACTTAGCAATCTGGAAGAAAAAAAAGTCTTATTTACCTTCCTGAAGTTTTGAAGCTCTAATTGCATTAGGAAGAAGTTTGAAGAAGATAGAAGTTTGGTGACTCTTACAGAAAAGGTATGTGATAGACCATTTTAGTTTTGATACATAAATTAAACATTTTTGTTTATATACAAAATCTCGGAGATTCACCAAAGAGACAGAAAAAAAAATCATTCAAATTTGTTGTGCAGCGTAATAATAACTTAACAAAAAGTTATTAATTTTTAACAAGAATTCTCTAAATTTTTAATCTAAGAAATAAAAAAATATTCCTTAAAGTTTGGTCAAACAACTGTTTTTCTTATATCTGAATTTATTAATAGTAGAGTTTTCAATAGTAGAGTGATATTTTAATCTAACGATAGTAACAAATATTTTACAGGAGTTTTTTAATACCAATAAGCTAATTATACACTCACATAGTCAGAAAATGCATTTTTTATGAAAGAGAAGCATTCTCTGATATACTTCTCTCTGTATTTAGGAAAAAGAACAGCAAATGAACTTTCAGCTAATAAAGGATGTTTCATATCTTCTTTCTTGAAAGGATCAATAGGCAGTGACCATGCATCTTCAATTTTTTCTGTTTAAAAAAATAAAACAAAATAAACAGAAAGTTTTTATAAAAAAACATAATTAAATTTTAAATTCAAATAAAATAAAATAATTTTTTTATAAATTTCATTTTTTAAATAGTTAAAATGATACCAATTTTGTTTTGTGAAAAAATAGCACTATATTTAAAAGTACTGTCCTAAAATGGCTTTCCTAAATATCATAGATAAAATTTAAAATAAAAAAACAATGAGGAGTTTTTTAAAAAAAAAAATTTTTACCAAGTTACAGTGCAGATATATTATTCTCGTGAACGAATAAAAAAAATATACACTGGGAAAAATAAATGAAAAAATACTTAAAAATTGAGTTATGTGTAGGAAAATACAATAAATATGTATTTTAAAAACTCCTCAAATTTATGGATTATATAGTAGTATACAATATTTTCTCAAAAATTGTAGAGCTTCTTAAACCAATAATTAAAATCACAACTGGTATCATGAGAGACTTATAATTAAACATATTGTCTTCAAAGTAATAAACAAAATAATAATGATGCCAGATCTTTTGCTAAAATTTTCGGAGATATTTCCGTATTGAGATCTGTCGCGCCAATTACAATCGCTAAGGTGCCAAATAGATTTTAAACTTTCAAATTTAAAAAAAAAAAAAAAAAAAATTATGTAGATGTTTACGAGTAATACCTTTCGAATTGGTCCCTTCCTGCGATGCTTTTTAAGTTTCTCGCGGGCTACTGCCCGGATTATTCTGCCACAGATCACGATACGGAAATATCCCCGGAGAAAGAATAAAAAAACATATTTATTAATTATTTTATAGTTAGTTTGTGGAAACATTAAATACCAATATGTGTATGAAAAAAATGACCATACCATAACAAACAACTATGTAGGTTGCGAAACATTTTTCGGAGAGAAAAAAAAAATTCTCTAGTAATTAGAACTAAAGAAGATTAGTTGATTAGATTAAACCTATAACATAATTTATAAAAAAGAATCAGTGACTTTGATTTAAAATTAAAGAAAATGCACTACAAATAATACAGATTTGAAAACCATGTCCACATAGCATAGATCTTTTAAACCCTTAACATGATAAAAATTTTTTAAAAAACCCCACTTAATCAAATAAAAAATGCTGATTTATTTACCGTTTAAAGCCATTTTTATTAATAAAACGTGAGCATGGATGCAAGTTCTAGCAATGGTAGCGTATGAAAACAATAAACAATCAATTAGCTATCAGTCAATCAATTTCATTACTTCACTTCAGTTTAACATCTGTTCTCTTCAATTTTTTTAAGTATCTGCCAGAGATATATTATTAAACTTATCTGGTATCAACTGCTTCAACGAATTTATTCAAAATGTAGCTTTATTTGTTAGTGTCACATACTTTTGGCCCATTATTCCCTCCAGAGTGATTATTCAGTTTATTCAGTTCTATTTATGGTCCTCTATGGGTTCCACATCGTTATTGCACAACAACAAAAATTGATGATTGTTTTTATGCAATGTGCATGCGTTCACATAAGTCGAAAGTAGTAAAAAGACGAATTTTCTTTCTTCATTGGAATTTGGTAAACTAATTCATTTCAATTTTGTTAATAATTGAAATGAAATATGAAAGCTTTTATTTATGCTTGCTGTGCTCTCTTTGAAGGTTTATTTTATCCAAAAAATACTGGTTTTCAGCGTTTAAAATAATCAAATAGTATAAGGGATTTGATTAAATATTTATTTTAACTCTGCATATTTTTGATTTCAATTTTTATATTCTGTTATATTGGATATTTTGGTTTAAAATAAATAAGAGTATAAATGTGGAGTGTCTATAAAAGTATTTGTGATGTTATGCAAACGTTTTTACCTTTTAATTTTAGCTCTCAGCAATAATTATTGGATTAGGTCAAATCCAATAGTTATTGCTGAGGTCAAATATATTTAAATCAAATACAATGTTTTTATGCAAATAATGACGAGTTTGACTTAGTGCTGTGTAGGAATAAAAACTAAACCAACATGAAAAGACTACGAATAATGTGATTTAAAGAAACCAATATATCGTTTCAGTTCTATAGTGAAGCACTTTCTCCTGTGTTAACGAAGAACAAAAGAACACATATCTTTTTCTTTCAGTGTCCTGAGACTATGAAGAAAGTGTTTCATTTCAATTCCATCGTTGATCTGTTTATGTGACCTTATTTTGCGCTCTTGTTAGCATTATTGTATGGTTTTATGGTTGTGCAGTCAAAGTGGCATCTAATTAAATAAGACGTTTCAACCAAGTTTTGTGCATAAATCTTGACTTTTCTCATTCTTTTTATTGAAGTTTATCACTAAGTGTTTAGGCTACACAATGTATTATAATTTAATTTTCATTTGTGGCAAAAACTTTTTATTAAATTTGTATATCTATTTTATTTTTCAGGTTATTTCGTCTTGTTTTCTCTTCATGTAATTTCTTTGACAATTTGTGAGTATAAAATTATTACTCTCTTTATGATTTTCTAATTATAAAAAAAAACTTATTCTAACTTATATGTTTATTGTAATATTTTCTATTAATTGGAAGCTAGAGAGCTTAAATCTTGTAATCTTGCATTGCACTGTTTTGAAGGTATTGCACCTCACCTAATTAATATTTCTTATACTATTATGAGTTATTAATTTTCCTAAGTAATATAGTCTTAAATTCTTTGAATGAATCAAGGTTTTATTGAATTTATTATACTACCTATATTTCATGTTACGTTACTCAACTAAATTTGCTATTTTTTATTGTTTAGAAGTGCTTATAAAAGATATATTTCAAAGTGAATGATGGTTTTTTAAGAGATTATTTTAACTATTTATTGTTTTTAAATTTTGAAAAAAGTTATAACAATTCCTTATTTAAAATTGAGAAAGATTTTAAACCACTTTGCCGAAACATTGTAAAAAGTCTATGTCACATCATAATCAATTATGAGTCGAAGAAGCTAATGTAATAATAACTGATTTAAGCTTGCGCCATTACACTAGACCTTATATGAAGAATTATGTATGGTCTTTTTCTATGTATTTTTGTATGGGATTTTGCATAAAAAATTTAAAGGGGAAAAAAAATAGATAAACTGAAATCTTTTATATTACAATTTAAAAATGCTGGAGAGCTCCAGCCATCAACATTTGTATCGAGCATTAGAACTGGAAGCTTGTTAAAAAATATATATATTTATTAATAAGCTTCTGTATCTAAACATTAGTTTCGCTGAATAATATTACATTTTGATAATTATAATAAATGTATAACATTAGTTTTTGTATATGTGCATAAATTTATTCCTAATGTGGCTCCTAATGGTCTGAAGTTAGTTATTATGTTAAAAATTAAAAAATGTGTTAATAACATTCTCTGTTACACGCATAACATACCTATCTTTGACTTAGAAACTAAATTTTGATGACAAAAAAAAAGTCTACAATTATAAAACGATCCCCAATATCTTATTTATATTTAACAAAATGTTTTGAGTTTTTATTTTTAAAAAGGACAAAAACAGTCGCTTAGCAGTATTTTAAAGCATTGCCAAAAAAATTTTTTTTTGAAAAGAGACAAAAACAGATGATAGGAAAAGTAAATTCCGATAAAAACTATTTATAATGTATTTTATGTTATTTTTTAGTTTGATCATATTTATAAAGTCTGTAGAGGAAGCTTTTTTAATATATAGAAAAATCATCTATGCTTTGCCAGAAAAGCCTCTGGTTTTACATCTCTGTTAAATAAAGGTAATGAAAACTGGGGTGAATTAAAAACAGTTACTTTTGTTATATTTTATGGAGAATTATTGTATTATATTTTTTAATGAAAATTAAAGAAACGTAATTTAGAGTGAAAGGGGAAAATGAATTACATAATGCATTTTTGACTCTGATTTAAAATTCAGATTTGTAACTTTTTTGTTTATCTTCAAAATTCCCTTATTTTCACCCGATTTTGATTTAAAGAGTCGATTAACAATTTTTTTTAAAATGCAAACATTTGATGTGTTGAACTGAGGGATCATTCACAAACTATAAAAACAATTGAGATTATCTTTTCTACCAGATTTGTGGTTTCAGAATTTTTAGGACTCTAGAATAATATTTTTAACTTGATTTGTAAAAGCTCAAAAGGGGAATTTTGTGCCATATACTTATTTGATATTTTTGTAAGATGATGATTAGTTGTTCTAAAAATTTGATTTGATCACTTTGTACAGTTTATTTAAAATTAGTTCAATACAATCACAAAGTTTTTTTTTTTCCGTGGTGAGGAGGTTGTTTGTTAAATAATTTTTTAAAAATAAAATTACTAAATTTGAAAGACATTTTAAGTAAAAATATTAAGTTTCGATTAGTAGTTATGCAAAGAATGTTTTTATGTTAAAGAATAATAAACCAAACTACAATTTAAAATAATTTTAAATCATCAAATTGGTTCCCAGTAAGAAGTTATTCTAATTAAACTTAAAATAAAATTTCTGATCATGTTTATGATAATTTTTATGTAAGTTTTGTTTGTACCCAATGTTTTATTTATATTTTGGAAAACACGTTTCTCAGGTTTTTTTTGACTACACAAAGTGCAGCTTATTATTTCAAATCTTCTGTGACATGTCTAAGAATTAAAATATTGTAATCTGAATTTTAGTTTTGTCTATTTCAGAACAAAATATAGAAATTTTCTAAAAATAAAACTACTAACAGATTAAAACTATGTTGAATTCCCATAGAAATAGACTAATATAAGACAGGAAAAAAACTGAAAAATTGCAAATCCTGTCTTAATTTGTCCTAAATTTATTGCATTATCTGCAAAATTATAGATTTTTTTTTTTGGAAATATTTTAAAAGTCTGCAAAAATATTCACTAAAACTCACACTGATAAACTACTTACTAATTTGTTAGATAGTAATCAAAAAATAGTTTATTGCACCTAAACTCTATTTAACTATGTCTTTTGAAGATTAGAAAAGTAAACTTTTAATATTATCTAAACTTTTTTTGCTGAAAAGTGTACAATATTTTCAAAATCATGAAAATTACAAGAAAATCCATCTTTTTAAATGATGTTTTAAAGTACCTTAAAAACCTATCCCATAGCACCTTAAAAACCTCTCTAATTTTAATACGCCACTTACTTTTGTACTACAGCACAGTAGATCTTTACAGTACCAGAGTTATTTCAAATAAACTAAAATCCACATTTAAAAAAAAAAAATCATATTTTATACTGTTAAAAGTAATAAAATTATGATATGAGATGGACAACTTAGAATAATGAAATTTGCTATACATGTTAAGAACACAAATGTGCATTATTGAATGAATTCATATTTTAAGTACAATATAAAGATTAACTTATAATGAAATAGTTATGAAAATTAATATGTAGCAAATAAATTTATTATTATGACAGGAATTTTTTCAAAGCCTGTTTTCTTAAAATTTGAACATTGGGTACATATAAAAAAAAAGCATAGGTACAAATAAAAAAAAAGAGAAAGTTAAACATATAACGCTTTGTTATAATGTTTACTAATTCTCATTCCTCTCATATCTATTCAATTTCTCTATCATTTTCTGGTTATGGAACATTGGGTGATAAAGCTAAAGTTTGAAGCTATGATGCTAATTTGTCAGTGATGAATTACTCATAATTTGTATAATTCAGGTTTAAAATTAAAAATATTCTAATACTTGGTTTTGTTTTTGCTTTTATTTATATGTGAATATAAAAACTGAATGTCCCGAAAATAAAAATGTAAATAGATTAAAACTGTATCCACTCATATTTACCGTAACCATAATTTTATAATTCTACCAATCTTAGTGATTAAGGACTTAGATGTTAATATCTCATGAAAAACTTGGGTTCTAGCCCTGTGTCCTCTTGACCTTTAGCTTACTTTTGCAGGAGTGCTTTACTGTTTCACATTAATCTCAAACAGTGTCTCATATTAGCCCCTGACATTGATAGTCAATGATGTTGTATAACAAGATTAAAACTGTGTTATCTCATATTTACCATATGCATATGAGATTGCATATTGCACATAAGTTGCAGTCTCATAGTGGTTAAGGGGCTAAGTATAGTGCAGGTATTAAGAATTATTAATAAAAGTTACACATTAAATGACTGAGAAGATAAAATCAAAAAACATTAGAATTTAGAACAATTAAATTTAAAGTATAGGGTAGAAACGAAGCGAGTGTCGCCAGATTCGGCAGAACACATCAGATTGAAAACAATAAAAACTTAAGTCAAAAGAATCCATCACTCACTCAGGTTACCTCTAAATGTAGAAAATAAAAAAAAATAATGGAGAGCATTTTACAATGACAAAAACATTTATTTATTAAGCTCCATCGCTCACAAACACACCAACAAGGAAATTAAAGCGACACTAGCTGCTAGTTAAATATAAAGGAATTATCATCCCAGAGAGGAAGATAAATTAGTTAGGACAAAATTTGAATGTTTTTTTTTTGTGATATCATGTATTCTCTGCTTTTATGTTAACTTCTTTTGCGCTGAAACCGAAAAAAAAAAAAAAAAAAAAAAAAAAAAAAAAAAAAGGATTGGTTCGGGAAACAACTGTGCTGCCAAGAAAAGGATAAAACTAATATTAAAATTGGGTCTGCCAAATGGGTGACACAGGACAAAAAAGAATGTTCTTGAGCCTTCAGTTTTTACTGACAAAGGATTAAAGTTACCTTAAGGTCAGGGATGGACAGCTAAATTATAGTTAGTCTTAAACAGGTGATGAGAAAATTCTCATACACAAAAGAGCACACAGTTATTCAAACAAATAAAGGGTACTTGATTTAAGATGGTAACAGTACAAAAGCAACATTAAAGGACGCAATTAACAAACTAGGAAATGCCAGAGATAAATTTAAGAATATTGTTATGTTTTCTTAATTAGAATTAAATTAAGAATTATTCCACATAGATGTTAACCATTCAAAATAAAATTAATATTCTAATATATATAATTATTTAAATAATAAAAACTTTTTTAAAATATTTAAACCCAATATTAAGAATTTAAGAAGTAATATATAAAATAAAATAGCTTAGTTGACACACAAATTAAATTACATTAAATTAGTAATAATTAAATCACAAAAATTTTTCTTTATAAAAAATTAATAATTTAACAAAAGTACACCTTATTAAAGTAACATAGTAATATTGATTGCCAAATATTTAACATATTACCAAGGTTATATGTAAACAATATTTTAATGTCATAAACAAATATTCATATGTGGTATGTAATACCACACTAAGATACCTTGTAAACTTGTTCTAGTCCCCGGGCCCCTTGACCCACAGCTGAGTGTTGCAGGAGGGTTTTACTCTTTCAAGTTAATCTCAAACAGTGTCTCATATTAGGCCCTACCATTGCTCAATAGTCTATTGGCTACATTGAATACATTTTAATCTTATAATACTAATTATTCCTTGATAAATAAAATCCTATCATAATTTACCTAAATTTTTATTTATCTGTTATGTAATAAAAATTTTGATGTTATTTAAAAAAAGTTTTTTCTTCAAATGAGTAATTTAATTAATTGTATGTTTGTTTTTTTTTAAATTTCTTTTTCGCATTTTAGATTTGTTTGTGATTTTTTAATTGTATGGTAGTCTAACAAATAAAACAAAGCAATATTCTAACAAAATAAACAAAAACTCATATTTTTTTACTAGAAAATAAAGCAGTTTTTATAAAGTGCCTCTTATTATCCCCATATCAAAAAAAACGGCTCAATCGTGTAGTTGTACTTGAGGTTTTTAATTTACTTAGCCTAATTATAATCATCATTTTATTTTTTACCTATCTGTTTTATGTTAACTATTTAAGTGAACAATGAAAGATTATTAATTCACATTTTGTTTTATTTTTAGCATTCATATAAAATGGATAATATTACCAAAACTATTAAAGATTTTGATTTGGAGGCTTCAGATTTAGAGTATTCAGAGGATGATGATTCAGATTTAGAATATTATGTGGGGGCAGAAGATAACGAACATGCCCTGAAATCTATTTCCAGGCCCCAATGTCCACAACCGAATCAACAAAAGGGAAAACCTAGCACTTTTCAGCCAAATGAAGGCCTCTGGCAAAAGTACAGCCACAAAATATCAATCGAAAATTACATTAGTTCACGACTTCCTTCTGCTCAAAAATTTTTTGATCAGGAGGGTAGAAATAAAGTTGCCCGAGTTAAGGATAAAGAAAGTAGAGCTACCATGGAGCAAGTATTAGATCCCAGAACACGGGGAATTTTATTTAAAATGTTGAATAAACGTATTATGTCTGAAATTCAAGGTTGCATCAGTACCGGTAAGGAAGCCAACGTATATTATGCGCCAACTGAAAGTGGTTTAGAAAGAGCAGTCAAAATATATAAAACTTCTATACTTACATTCAAAGATAGAGATAAGTATGTCAGTGGAGATTATAGATTTAAGCATGGTTATTGTAGAAAAAATCCTAGGAAAATGGTTCGCACATGGGCTGAAAAAGAAATGAGAAATTTAAGTCGAATTCATTCATCTGGTTTACCATGCCCTAAGCCAATAATTTTGAAAAGTCATGTCCTGGTTATGGAATTTGTTGGCAAAGAAGGTTGGCCTGCTCCATTACTAAAAGAATCGAATGTGGATGAAGAAGAATATGGTTCATTATATATACAGTGTGTTTCACTTATAAGGGATTTATACCATAAATGCAAGTTGATTCATGCTGATTTAAGTGAATATAACTTGCTGTATATGGATGGCAAAGCTATCATCATCGATGTATCTCAATCAGTCGAACATGATCACCCACATGCATTGGAGTTTTTGAGAAAAGATTGCACAAACATAACAGAATATTTTAGAAGAAATGGTGTTTCTGTTATGACTGTTAGGCAGCTTTTTGATTTTGTGACATCTTCTTATGAAGATTTGGATGTAAAAAAATATGTTGAGGATAGAGTCGCTGAAAATATTAAAAAAGGGGTGACAGAGGAGGCAAAAGTGGATGAAGAAGTTTTCAAGCAAGCTTTTATTCCCAAAAGACTGGATGAAGTTATTGATGCAGAACGGGATGTATTTTCTCCTGAGAAAAATGATACAACGTATCAAACTTTAACTGGGCCCAAATCTGGTGAAAATATGGAATCAAATTCCTCAGGTGATTCCAGTTCTGATGCTTCTTCAGATAGTGAAGATGAGTGTCAAGAAAAAGCTTTTTCTAGCTCTGCGAGGCCAAGAGAAGAATCCCCCAATTCCAAGAAAGAAAGAAAAAAAGCTCTTAGAGATGCTAGGAGAGAGAAACAGAAAACTAAAATACCAAAGCATATTAAAAAAAGGAAAGAAAGACTTGGACGTGAAAGCAGAAAAATTAAAAAATAAACTATGCTTGTATTCATATTTAAATTATTGCAAATAAATTAAATTAAAAAACTTTTCTTTACTTCCCTGTTATTATTTTAAAAAGTTATCTAAAAATTATACAGTAGAAAATCTATTACATAATTTTATAAACTGCAATTCTTGAAAAATCACAAACTAACTTTGTGAGTGCTAATAAGGAAAATTGCCATAGAGAAAATTGTACAACTAAGTAAGAACAACAACATTAATTGTTTAGTACTAATGTTGCTGAAAATTTCAATTTTTTTCCCTTAATATAAGTAGTACTTGAGTATATTTTGTGTTTTTATGTATTTCTATCTAAAAATTATTTTAAGTCATTTTAAGAGTGATCTGTTCCAGACTAATATTGCCATATACAGTAAGTAAGTTTAAAAATAAATGAAATGATCTATAACGCGAAATTTCATTAATACAAAGCCTTGGGCTTTAGAAGTTTGCCTTATTAACTTCTGTATATTATTGGTATAAAAATATCATTCCTTCTATCAAAATTTTATTTTCTAAGAATTAATGAAGATTTTCCTTTTCTATATATTTTTTAAAATTAAATCTGTTAAAAATGAACTTCTAGGATTTAACTTGTGTAATTTTGCTGGTGTAAGAGTTTAAGTTTAGCAATGTAAAAGATAGAATTTTAATAGACTGCTTGGATTCAACTAGGTTGCTAATGTAATAGTTCAGGTTTAGCAGTGTAAAATATAGAATTTTAAAATTCTTGTCTTTGAAGAGCTATAGTTATGAGAAAAAATATAATTATTTAAATGTAAACTATTATCTTCAAATCATCATCTATACAATCATCCTACTTGATAAAAATTAATAAGTTAGAAAGTAGAAGTGGCCATTGTGCAATGACATCACAGTTCAGAAATGTTGTAGTTAGTTGACTTGTGGGAGTGATTTGCTTTTTTATAAATTTACAATAATAAATTATTTTGATTATAAATTGACTTCTTTCTTTACTGGTTATTAATATTAGTTTTTTAAATTCTTGATTAAATTTTTTTTTCTATTTTGACTCGTGAATAATACAAATTTTTTTTAAATTTAATTACAAGGTAACTAAAATAGCTTAGTAAAGTTTGTAATTAAACTAAAGTAGTGTAAAAGTGAAAACTGCAATATTTTCATTGTTATTGATAAAGAGATTTCAATATCTATGGACTAACTTTATATTCACCTTTATACAGCATACCTTTCAAACAACACCCTAAATAATATTTAAATCAAATAAACAAATCTTTGTGTGTCTATTGATATTTGGCTAATGGTGACATTGCTATAAAAATTACGCATGAAGGTAGGTGTCGACTGGGATCAGTATGTCTTGTAGCCTAGTTTTGAAAAATTTAAATTTTTTACAGGGATGAGATTTTTCCGCTTTTTAGCGGATTTCCGCTTTTTTCACTTTTATCTCTTGAATTTCAGCTTTCTATTTTTTTATCAAAAATTCAGATT